TACACAACGCCGGTCGCATCAACACTCCGGGAATCTGGCCCTTTACGATACAGAGATGCTCGTATTACACTATGGAGAAAATCGTGGTTAAGGGATTGGCCGAAATAATGAGCATGACAATGGGCGTCAGATATTATCGACGCTGAGCTGATGCTTTTGATATCCCATCCCAAAACGTTAAACTCATAATTAATACGTCCATGTCGGCTATGAGATTAACGGATAATTATAGACCAGGGATGGCTTATTCATTCTGACCCACGCTATATTCGGACGAGGCGAATAAAATCTATAATTTTAAGCAAGGCGCAGACGTACCCTTTACATATCAGTGTTGTCTGGCTGGCTGCATGCGTTAAAAGGGTTTAATAATATTGCCAGTTCTGATCGCAAAATTTTCCAATTCTGTTTTTCGTTATGTACACCAGCGTTTCTATCAGCACGTATAATTTTGTTTACACCTATGAGCTTGTATTACAATTTAACGAAAATTTTCTTCAACCTGATGCAGCAAAACTAAAATAGCCCTCAATCGGGAATAAAGCAGACATTTGTATATGGAAGATTAGTTTATAATATGCCAGTGACATATGATTCTGGCGCAGAATGCACCTGCATGGCTCAGTCAACAATCTGGAAAGCTGTTGAGTTACTCGCAATACATGGCTTCATTGAAAAAGAAATATGGTAAGCCGGTAAAAGCGGGGGTTACTACAGTGACACTCGTCGACATCAACTGACCGGTGCCCTTCAAACAACATGTATACCAATACTGAGTTGTGCCGCGCCGATACTAACAATACACTGTCCTATACGATTGGAAACCAAGTGGTCAATTTGCAAACATCTTGGACGACTCAAATGACGCAGTGTCAATAGTTTAATAGCCCAAATATAGAGCGAGTTTGTTCTGTAGCGGAAAAGCAGCCGATTTGTAAAGCCGCTTTTGTTGGTTGCCGGAAAGTAGCGGGCAATACAAGCTGTATATATGTTGTGCCACGGCACTGCATTATACCCCACCTGGCACATATCCGTTGTGAGCTGTCGCGCATCCTAAAATACTAACAATGCGGCTATTTTCCCAAATGTTTTCCTTAAGCGCTTGGCGGTGGCTTTAATTAAAAATTCGATGGGAATTTACTATTTCTACGTATACCAGGAAACATATTGAAATACGAACATCTGTATTGTTATTGCCCCGTTAACGCATACCTTTTTATTCTTGATTAAAATGTTGGTCGTAATCTGATCGACGTTGCCCTATGCTGCAGAAAAACTTTTTATTTATCAAATACTAAAAATAATACGTGAAATTTTGACAGCCATCGTCTCTTTTCGTACAGAATTATATTGGGTATTGCTTAGTACGCAGATGTGTATGTCCGACTATTATAACAACGAATTAAGTAAGTAGTTTTCGTTGTTACTATTGTAACAACGAATTAAGTTATTTAGTTTATCGATTTTTATCATGTTGTTTTTCAATTCGTTCGTATGTAAGAACAATAGATGCATGTGGTAGAAACCGAGGAAGAAACTGTGTACAATAATATGTGCGAAAATCTGATACAACAGACACGGAACACAGTCAACAGGAAAAGATTATGACGGATCTAATTACATTTCCAACGCCTATCCATTTCCCCACTGTATGAATCACACTAGGTATTGTTTTGTTAAATTCTTAAGGATAATCCGGACCTAATTAAGTGAGAGTGTGTAAACCGTGCAGCGGTCGATACAGTTCATGGACCGTCCTGCTCAATTAACTCCCTGCTAGTCAAGCTTCTGTTTTGTTTCAATTAGAAACATGTTCTTAATATCCCATTACACGCCAAAATGAACGACCACATTGTCTCAATGGCCAACAATTAACCATTCTATTACCGCGTCCAAGACGAAAATGAGCAACTTCATTTTCTCACACATGCGATCGCGGTCGGCATTCAACTGAACGTGTTCGCAGTTTACTTTGGTCTTTGAAACGTGTCCTTCGGTGATCGCAAAGAAAAACAGTGCGGATGGACTGTTTCGTCTACATGTACGAGTAATTATGTACTTTTCCTGCTTCTGCCTCTTGTACTTTCAGTTTAGAGTAATATGGGTCTCAAGTAATATTTGCTAGTGCTGCTTTTTTATTACTGCATCTTGATCTTGCAAAGAAAAATTAAATTTTATGTTTTTTTTTATTGCTGTACGTTCTGCATAAAATGAAATTATTTAAAGGCATAATCGACGTATGCGTGGACAGCTATCCCAAACTATCAAAATGATGCAGTGTATATAACTGCGAACTGCGTACCTACCACGCTACAAGTAGAGCACACATTCGCGTGTACACTTTGTGTTAAAAATAACTGGAAAAACAAAATTACCAACTACGGCTTCTACAGAGGTATTCGTAATAAATTGTTACATGAATATGAATATCTGTATAATATATTATATCTGTACACCTGTGACCGGAGTATAGCGCTTGGACTAATTTAACTGATGAAGTTTATCTACGAAGTATATACATAAATTTGAAATTTTCTCATTTTGGTTGTGTAGTTAATTATTGATTTATCGTCACCATTTTTATACGTCTGTCAAAACCAAATTAAAGGATGCACTAAATGTTAAACAAGAACAGGACTTTTTCGTGTATTGTTTCCGTTAGTCGTTGACGATTGCACTATTTTAAGAAGTGATTGACCTTTTCAGCAACAAAATTCGGTTCTTCCAACCGATTTTGTTCATGGCCATTGAAAAATTTGACCATTGTCGGTATGCTTTTGATATTGGCATTGGTCCGGAAAGGATTTCCGGGATTGTACCAAGCATCTCGATTTCCGACTGCTACACGGATGACTTCCAGTTCTCCTGAGGTCGCTTTAAGGGCGTCTCGTACTACGGGCTCCGCAAATTCACTATCCAGACACCAACTGCTTTTCGTCAAGGGATCGACGCTGCCGTAAAAGTACGCTATCACCGTCGATGAACGACCTTTAACTTCCTGCAGCGCGGTGTTGTATTCGCTCCATGTTGATACGTCATGAATTCTTGCTGCAGAACGCACAGCGGTGGATATCCAACGATTAAACATAGAGTGGGGATCCAGTTCAAGCTGGTAGATAGAAAAAGACGATAGTTGCTATTAATTATTTTGCTGGTGTGGAAGTCGTAAATCCTGATGTAATTCCAAGACAGTTCTACTGGTTTAGGGATTGTGTAATAAGAAATAACGTGATCCACTGATCATATAGCAGCCGGGAGCCCACTTGCTGCATCATATTATCTGTAGATAACAGAGGATAATTTGCTTTTCGTCGCGCATATGCATGCAAGCGGCGACCTTAAGTTCTACATGAAGTCTTTAATACTTGTACACCACCATGATAGTCAAACGTTTTTCTCGATAATCCAGTTGCGAACATTGTCACATTAATTCTTAAATTTATAAATTCTAATGCTCTAAAAATGATAATTGATCACAGGTTTTGAAGGTGTTCCCACTTTCCAGCCCTCGTGAAAAACTGTAAATTTGTAACCAAATTTTGTATTTTCTAAGTACGAGTATATACTGATATGGTTATACCATTTATACGTAACGCAAGTCGTAATAAAATTAATATTATCCATCAACCAACACTGCCAAATTACACTTTAGACACTGTCATCTGAATCATGGGATATGAAATTCCAGAAAATGTATGGTCCAGAGTCTCCAGACTCAAGTGTCAACCAATCTCACTTTTATAGTTTTTTTATAGTTCTTTACTGTATTTATTAAGTACTTTGTATTTTTACTGTATTATAGTACTTAATTTACAGTGATTGCTGTACTGTGCTAAAACGGAAAACCATAAAAAACCAGGCAACAAGGATTTAGTCAGACTCAACTTCAAGTGAATTCCAGGTACTGTAAATACATTTTTTAATCGTTACTTACGATTTACCTAAGACTACAAAACATGACTGAAAACTTCCAAGTGGAACTTAATAGTAGTATTAGTTACTACTGCTGTGGAAAAATCGGAATCGGACGGCGTCACAGCACTTTTTCGATATATTTTATTCCTATAAATTACAATTATATCAGAATGTATTACGAAATCCACTGATAATGACATAACGTACCCGTATGGTCGTTTGAGTGGGCCACTATGGTAAGTCAATGAAAGATGGTCGTTTGAGTGGGCCACCCTAAATATTTTTTTCCCGAAACCGATTTTCTTCCGGTTTTCTTCTTTATCTGACCAGGCAAGACTTACCCTTCACAGAGTACTTGAAATTTTAAAAAAAGGTTGAACCGTTCTTTTGCAATTGCGACGTAAAAAAATCAGCGACGAAAGCGCTTTAGCCACGCCACCGAAGCCACTGCACTACACCAAGAAAAATGTAGCCACTGCCACACATGTGCGGCTGTTGTGAACGACACATGTGCACAATGTCGTAACGCTTTAGTTCAACTTACAAAGACCAACTTTGAAGAAGTAAAGGCTTAAATTTAAAATAAAATAAATCTAACTGCATTGCTCAGCAGCACATCAGCGGTCGTGATTGCATTTTCCTTAGTGTAGTCCTTGATGTGCTGCTGAGCAATGCAGTTAAGATTTATTTTATTTTAAATTTAAGCCTTTACTTCTTCAAAGTTGGTCTTTGTAAGTTGAACTAAAGCGTTACGACATTGTGCACATGTGTCGTTCACAACAGCCGCACATGTGTGGCAGTGGCTACATTTTTCTTGGTGTAGTGCAGTGGCTTCGGTGGCGTGGCTAAAGCGCTTTCGTCGCTGATTTTTTTACGTCGCAATTGCAAAAGAACGGTTCAACCTTTTTTTAAAATTTCAAGTACTCTGTGAAGGGTAAGTCTTGCCTGGTCAGATAAAGAAGAAAACCGGAAGAAAATCGGTTTCGGGAAAAAAATATTTAGGGTGGCCCACTCAAACGACCATCTTTCATTGACTTACCATAGTGGCCCACTCAAACGACCATACGGGTAGTGCATGACTGATGACTGCGTCGAAGATTTAATAGACAGTATTGTCAGGAAGAAACACCAGTATTGTCAGGAAGAAACATTCTAATTCCACGTTAAAAAAGTAAAAAATTTCCTTTAAAGAACAGTCAGCGGATATTCCAAGAACAAAAAAATAGTATCACGTTCATAGTTCATTTATCAACCTAGCGTAAATAGAAAATCATAATATGGAAACAAAAATTATATCGTTACAGTCGGTTATACTGAAAGGTTAAGGCGCTATTAAAAAATTAAAATGAATCACACAGTAAGAAAAACAGTAAAAAACGATCAAACTATGAACGACGGCAACGGCATCGAATCAATATTTCACGTAAATTATAAATACTTCAGCTTCGTAGAAAACTGTTAACCTTCTCCGGAGCAGCGCAGTCCAGTTCCTCCAGTCTCCCAGCCTCTTCGCCATTCTCCAGCTTGATTAACGTGGGAATGCATTTAACTTTGGCTTTCAGTCTGTACACGTTGTCCGGGGTCTTCCAAGCAGCCCTCTCTCCGACGGCCACGCGAACTATCTCCAGGTCCTGGGGCGCATTTTTGAATGCTTCTTTAATGACTGGATCAGCTAGTACGCAATCCGGACACCAGCTCTTCTTCGTCGCCGGATCCTCATTGCCGTAGAAGTACGCGAAAATTTTAGGACTCCGCACTTGGACTTCTTCAATGGCTGCGGAATATTCGGGGTAGTCAGATACGTTATGAATTTTCGCCATTCTTATCTTTAAACCAGTGACTTTGTCTAATGCGCATAACAGAATCTGCAAGTAAGGTCGAGAGGAAGTTAACATACCAAAGATGTAATACCGTTACGACTTACGTGACGCCTTCTGTACGAGCTGTAAATAATTCACAGGTGTCAAGTGTAAAGACAGTAAAGTAAAAAAATGTTTTCTTAAAACTTGCCAGAACAGTCAGTGCAAGCACGGTACGATGTCCAGACTCCAAAGTTCCAAACGAGAAAATTTTTTATAAAAGACTGCTTCCCCGTGGTGGCTGCAACCACCACGTAATAATTCTCAAGTAAACTCGATCTCATGTCATTTTCTTATTGTTCCTTCAGCCTTGAAATCAATAAAGTTTTTCCTTCAATTTCAAAATGATGTTTGAAATTCTCACTACAGTCGCAAACGACAGCAGACTTTTCGGAATTTAGCCTGATTATTACCAAATTTGCTCGTAACAACTACGAAGTGCTTAACGGTTCAGCCGGATTCATGCGCTTTTGGCCTTTTTCGAAAGGTTACTTACTTTATTATACATACCTGCTACCAAAACATTAAATTTGTACAAAGGTGAGACCAGAAGGTCAATAATATTGCCGGCCAAATCTTTAGGCACTACAGCACTCTAATTCTTTTACTGACAAATGCTAAAATTTAAGATGTGAATCATGAGGTTGCATTTGTATTTTAGATGTACTACGTACATAAACGCATAATATTATATGCTGGTGGGATACAATATTACTGTATGTATCTGCCACCGCATTTCTGTTGCACATTCTCTACCAAAAACTCTTAACATTTCAAACATGCAGCAAAAAAAATCTTACTGCTTCATCGCCAATAGCAGTGCTGAATGTGCCACCATCTGTAGTCTGTACACACAAAAGGTATTGCTGAAAAGTCAAATGTAATTCTGAAGGTCTGAATTTTTTCCTTAATTTTTCTTGGGTGTTTCTACTGGCATAACAGTAGGAACATCTCCTTCGATGACAAAGTCTTTCGGATAGGAAAATAAACGTGGAAAATTGTTCCTTTCTTCTTCGGAATATTCATGCAGTTTCTTTGGTACGAACTGTATTTGCCGTATTTGTGCAGAAACATTCTTCATGATATGCTCCGGTACGTCCTAAAAAACAATCATTGCAACAAATACTGCCGTGTAACTCTAAGGCTCACTTTATGATTTACTAGTAAATGTAAGAACCGACGGCCAGTTCATCTGCTTGAATATCTCACCAGTTCCGGATAAACATGCAATCGGGCCATATATTCATCTCTCAATCTGTTCCCCTTAATTTTTCTTCGAAGATTACGCCGAAACATTTCCGTGGGATTCTCCTGATGGAGTTTCCAAGCCGGTGTCCATACCGCTCCTCCAGGATATCTATCCAAAATCAAAAGCTATGAGACAGTCGAAATTTCAGCTACATCATTACAATGTGGCTTTTTCCGTTTTCGCTGGAGTAATTACTAATGCATTTATACAACACTGGCAATAAAAGCAAGCATTCGCTGGTCCTCAGCTTCCAATAGTGAATATTAAACTCATCATAATTATTTTGCTTATAATTTTGATTAAGCTTATCATAATTGGAAATTGATCAATTTTAATTATGATCAGCATAATCAAAATTCAACAATTTTAATTAAACTGGAGTAGCCTTCCAAAAGTCCCAGTCTGTGGTCCAGTGCTAATGCATATATATTTCAGATGAACGAAGGTCTTCCACAAAAAACCGTACAAATGCGCTCAAATAATTATCGAAGAACCGCGGCGCGTACCCAGTATGGTGATAATATTCCACTCGTTCCCACAGATCGTGCTCCATAGTGATGTGCTTGGCGTTCACGACGACCACATGGTCTCCGTGGTCACCTGAGAAAAAATATCTCAAACCAGTCTTCCCTTAAATCGCAAGAGCCAATTAGCCAAAATATTCACCGAGCGCGACATAATACGGCTTGTGTTTTCCTTGGAGATAAGGCCGAACTTGAAGTGCGGACCGAAATACGTCTTGTCCGTATGCATCATACAGCCACCATTGCCGCGCCATCACTCCCCATTGCTAAACAGTGCAACGCAGAAGACATACATTTTCTAAACCACTATTGCAGTTGGACTGGCTTCGCGAAGCATCTGCAAAGGATTCCATACCTGGACTCTCTTGAATATATTTTTTGGCACTTCGATGTTGTACAAGGTGGTCACCATACCCATACTGTTAACACTCATTTTCGCAGTTTATGATTTATACGTAATGTACTGCAAAATAAAAATTAAGCAGCGTCCGCCGTTAGGACAAGTAATCAAAACAGAAGAATATGATGTCCGCGATTTTAGCAAATAGAGTATAGACCCTTCATAAACAGAAACTGAAACGAGACGCTCAGAAGCAAAATAAATCAAGTTCCTAACCATAAGAGTCATAAGACTATAAGAGTGCTCGTTTGACGTACTTGTACGCGTGTTAGTAATAACACGCGTACGTTTGACTTTTGGTCAAAAACTTGGAAAAATGCAAAGCTGTTGTGGCCCAGCTGCTGCAGGCGGTTGGTGTGTACGCAGATTCCGTTCGCGTACGTCGCAGTGTCGCACAGTAAAAATATGTAAACTGTCAAGTGTCAAGCATTATAATGGTAAAAGTATCTATAGTTTTTTCGTGCTACATAAAATTTTAATTTTAGTTGTATGTTCTGACGATGCAAAACAGTCACAAGTTTTCTGTAAAGTGACAGATTTTCTCTGACTGAACAGCCTCAGCCGACAACGGAAATAGGCGCTTATGTATACGGAACATTTCATCTAAATTACCATTTCCTCTAAAATTAATAATTATAACATTACCTCTGCAATTAATTATGAATAAAACAATATAGTTTAGCCACCGGTACCGGACAGCATTCACATCAGGAGAAGGTAAAACAGGAAGTTACAATGCATGGGACCGGTGACCTTAGTTCGACTATTCCAGCGAAACACATCGCCTGCAGTTTATTGAATTCAGGAAAACAATATCACAATTCATAACATATCAGTAAGGATGGAGCTGAGCTATACCATCAGAATCCAGACATATGTAGGAATCTCGGCCAACAGAAACATCCGAGCACTTTTCCTCCATTGGTGTCCAAATACCATCGACACGTTTCCTAACGGTCATGTTGTCGCCGACCACAACGACCACGTCTGCATTGTAGATGCCAAACCGTCTGCCGTTTATTTCATACGGTACATATTTCCTGTTGCCGAAGTCCCACCGCCAGATGATGTGGTTAGAATCCGCATAGAGCAGTGATCCATCTATTCCCAGACCGACCATACTAACGTTTTTGGCACTTTCGTCCCGCAACCATTGATGATCCAGCCAGCGGTACAAATCTCCTGTTGCTGTTGCCGCTTCGTCATAACTGCGAACTGCAACGAAGGTTGCGGCGGCGCCAGTTGGTAGATCCGGCAGCTGTTGACATTAAAAAGTCAGTCAGTGCTGATAACACTTAAGATTCGAATAAAATTAGAAAGCGTCAAGTTAAAGATATTAAAAAAATTAAAAAATCCACTTTAGAACGCATATACACTAGTTGATATTAAATTAATAATTAACCACTCAAACGCTTTGTCTAGTTGAGTCTAGACATCTAAGACAGTACGACTATATTATTATAATAATAAGAATAGTTATTACCGGCTCAGATTCTTTTGCGCCGCGAATTCGCCGAATTTGACCATTCTGCTGAATGTACCATACACTTCCATCAAATCCCTGAGAAAAATGGCGAACATTTTCGGCAACGACAACGTCATTCCGGGTAAACAGACCGGTTATTTCGACGCGCCGGAGTTCATTATCGGCGTTAATATAGTGAAATGTTCCCGGTAGTTCGCAAGAATTGATGGTTCTGGCGTCGGAAGCGTATACAACGTTCCATCGGAAAATAAAATCCTGTGCTGATTTAGAGCGGCTTGCAGTTTCGTCAGTGTAGTTGACGAATGCGCCAGATGACGCAGTGACGGCTGTGTCGTTTTTTGGATAGCGATTTCCGTCGTCCAGAAGCAGCGAATCGTTGATGGTGTCTGTGTCGGTTGGTGGAGTCAATTTCTTGCTTGCCTTAGCACTTTTGTTATATTGCATCTGCTCGTCGAACGGAGATTGTTCGAATAGGTTACCGGTAATATTGCTCGAAATATTAGCAACGATCAGTGACGCGCTTGTTTCCACGACATCGCTGGTATTAGAAGGGAGTGGCATGTTCAGTAAACTGAAAACTGGTTTCATATTCTCCCGAGTGCTCGATGGTGCAGTGGCTGGTTCGATGCTGGATGTGTGGTGGTCACTTCCTAATGTGCTGGGTTGACCGCTGAATGCCTGGTCGTTTGGTATCGATACTCTGGTCACACCCATACGCGCTGATGTTGCTGGCCACCAGTTCGGCGCATCGGTAGTCGGCAAAATAGGTTTTGGAATGTTAAGATTAAAATCTGGACTTGGACGGGAATTTACATAAACCGGTTGGCTTATAAACCCTTGAGAATAAGAGTGGTCCGGTTCGTATGAACTACCCGAATACTTAGACCACATATAAGCCAGTCCTCCTGAAACGTCCCATACATACTCGTATAAATGATTACTTATCTTAAGCTCTTGCTACCAAAAAGTACTGCAGCTGTATTACATAATATTTAACGTAAACATACAGATACTCAGTATATTGTCATATGTTGTTTTTGCACTTATTGCGTTGTTGCTGATTAGTGTTGCTGATTTGCACATGAAACCACCTACCTAACCCAAGCAGCGCTCCCCAGAATAAAGGACCCATTGCGTTAATTAAGAAAACCGGTATTTATTTTCACGCAAGTCGATTGCAACACTGATTTTGGGAAAAATGCTACGTTAACGTCATAGACATGATACGGTATATGATATTTATAGTATCTGCGACACGGATTTGCAGGTGACACCGGAAGCAAAAGTATGAAACCCGTTTTGGCAATATCCGGCGTTCGCGGTTATCCGGGTTAACCAAACGGTAAGTTACCAACCGAATGTGCCGCAGTGCCTGGACACCAATTAACTCAATTAAACAAAACCTGGTGGTATTGTATATTACACCGGAAATGGATTGCCCTGGAGGGATGGCTTGAAATGGATTGTCCTGGAGGGATGGCTTGCCTAAAGGGAATATTACATATCTCGTGTTCACATAGTGCACTTTTAATAGAATTTTGGTTTCCTATTACAAAATAATAACATCAGCAATCAAAATGATTTCTGATCTTTAACTTTAATGAACGACAATAACAGTGAGGGCTGACCGCGGATAGCTCAACATGCACGTTTTCAGAAATTACCACAAAGCAAACTGCTCAGGTCATCCAGTATAAAATTAAACGGCTGTAATCAGGTAATATTGTCCTCATCTACAGATCGTTACAACACACCCGATATATGTTAGCAAAAACACAAACAAGCATTTCCCGCGACTACATAAAAAACAACCAATAAAATGGTTTAAAGAAAGAGCGAGATAAAACCAAGGTTCTGCTCCATGTCTGCCACTTATCCAAGGGCAGTATTCGAAATGGGACAAGTGATGACTGGAATCACACAATTCATCCTACGTCAAAACATTCATCGCTCAATCCACTGTGTGGAGACTCATTTTCGACTCGGCGCACCTTGAGCACTACGCAGTTTTTTCACTTCCCTCAAGGCCCAACTGCTGAACGTTTTCGTTTTCCCCTTACTGGACTTCTTCCCTTTTTGCAACAGTTCAATAAAATCCGCTCGGTCCAACAACGGAAGAACTTCAGTGCCAAATAACCCACACAGTTCTCTGCAAAGCCGAAATGTTTTGCGACACCCCCATTTAACTGAAGTTGCAATATACTATTTAGTAGCGTTCACCGTAATACGAATATAAGATTTCTTGAAAATTCGCTTGTAATGAATTGTCCAAGAAGACAATGGTTTTGCTTATAAAACCCTTTAAAACAATTTACGCACCCAATAAGTCCGGCCGAACTGAGAATGGTACTGTCCTGAACACTGCTTGAGCCGTTTTCAGTGGCAACATGGCTGATCAAACTGATGATAAATTTGGTGTAATGGTGCACGACACTGCGTGCATCTTCTGCAAATACCACGATTACTGCTAATTCAAGATCTATTCATCAAACCGCTTACGACTCCATGTCTCGCCATTCCCTTTAAGACCATTAAGAATGCTGAGGGAAGCATCTAAAATGGCGTCTAAAATCTCCAACCATACGTCATGATCCTAAAAACAATCCCTATGTCAAAACAGGAACCCAGGTATCATCACAAAATTAGCAACCAGTCATACCTGAGGTACCGAAATCGCCATGAGACATTCAAAAGACATGAGTGCGTAATTCTGAAAGTGGGTATTGAGAGATATGGCAATATCCCCAAGTGTCTGGACAGCTTTTGGTTTCATAAGTCCAGATGGATCACTCACATGCTGAAATGCAAACATTTTCACCCATTACAAATTCCCAATCCGTTTACAAAGAATTCTGTAACTGGTTTTGAAACACCGCAATAATTTAAAAAAATCAAAACGAATTACTAAATGAATCAATAACACTTAAAAATAAAAATCAACACGAATTATATCACTCACCTCAATCTAGCAAATTAAGTAACTGAAATGTCTGAACTTATCCCAATTCAATACTTACTGCGATAATGTGTAAGATAGCATCCAAGAGCTCGCCAATTAGAGGCATAATCTTCACGTCGAACACGCGACACAACTCGCCAACAAAAGCTAAGGCGCTATTGACCAGCTGCAAAAATCATGTGAATAAATAGCGCCGATTACCAAATGAAAAGTGCATGCAAAGCAGCAAAGGCAACCCGCAGGACTCACCGAATGTTCATGATAAGCTTTTAAAGCATTCATAATGTGCGGCTTCACACGCTCCACAAACGGACTAAACATGTCTTGCAAACCTATGATTATTATCTTCATTAATTTAAGACTGATGAAGGTTAACTTCTTTTCAGAAACGTAAACAGCAAAACACTTGCCTTCCAGCATGACATATAAACACATGAAGGCTTCAGGTTCGGCTTGGAAACTCCGACCAAGAGGGTGCAGTTTCAGGATACTATCACAAACCACATACACCTGCTCCGTAACACCTGAGAGTTCTTCTCTACGCAGCCGTTTTAATACTGTCTGCAACAAAAACGCACGAGAATAAAATTCTGGGTAGAAAACCACCATAATTTTTCTTGTATTGTCGAGAGCGCTACTTAAGACGCAAGCACATTCGTATATCATAAATTTCGAATACCGAATTAGAAGTACACAGGAAACCTCACACGTGTAACAATCACAAAAAGTAAACTTATGTAAAAGAACTAACCTGCAACAAGGCCAAGAAATGCTGACAGAAATCTCCATGTTGGTGTCGCTCGCTTGCAGAGAGCTGTGGATCTTTCTGTATGATAGCATTCAACTGAGAGAAGATGACATTCGAGTATCTCAGAACGAATGGATAGCAATCCTGAAAAAAGCAGCAAATCTCAGCAACACTCATCTTCAGGATACTAAAAAAATGTAAGTAAGCTCACCTGTGGCGCATGACTGAGGAATTCCCCCAAAGCTCCAAATGCTGCAGTGCGCAAGTTATTCTGATCAGCGTCCGGGCTAAAAAAATCGAGTTAGATCTGCAAAGGTGTCTTAAAAAATACGTCAACGGGTGAACGAACGCATACCGAAAAACGATTGTTAAAAGCTGGCCAACGATAGCTTCGTAAGCGGAGGATAACGCAGAAGTAGCAGGAATTTCCGAGCCGCTGCCTTGAGCAGCTTCATAAGATGCTTGTGCAAGTGTTCCTAATGCCTGAAGAACGGGTTTCTTACAGTGAAAATAACATTGTAACCAAATTCCTTCTAATACTCGTCAAATTAGATTTACCCAACAAACATTCGACGCGACGCGGGGAGGATCATTGAGATGGCCGCACAAAATTTGGACAGTATTTTGAAAGCGGTTCGGAACAAGAACGGCTTCTCGCATCAGCTGGCACATCCGCTGAACAACCCATGCAGCGCTATCACGGACTGCGACGTTTCCGTCATCCATTTTCGCTAATATCACGTCGTACGCCTGGATCACTATGGTTCTCAAATACTCTGGCTCTGGTCCTTCCAGCACCGATCCTAAACATTTCGAAATAACTCAGACCAGACTAATGATATATAAGTAATAAGCGCAACAGCGACACACTCCTTCATAACACAGATGAAATCAATTCTTGCATTTACAGTCCTTAACAATAACTGCTAATTCCTTACCGAATGCAACGCATGCAGCATCGCGAAAACGCCAGTCAGGATTATAAATATTTTGATCCACAAAAATAATAACAGGCTCCAGCACAGCCTTCTGAACACACTGAGCGATCAACATTAAGCACACACTGGCGGCTTTACTCGGCACCCAGTCGTCGCCCTCATCAACTTCGGGTTGCTGCGCCAATAGCGTCAGCAGACATGGAACAACAAATTCGAGGTATTCCAAGGAGAATTTATAGGATCTGTTTGCGGGTGTTCGGCCTTCATCTCTTGCCTAATAAATAGATTTCAGGCCTTACTATTCTTAGAACAAACATAAATCAGGTAATAAGTACTTCAGCTTCCTCAAAATTTAGGTTGATCTCCGTTTCGCACACAGTGGACCAGAATTCAATACCCTGGAGAGTGATTTCGGGAACAGTAGCGCTCATTGCTTGGTATGAGATCTGAAACATTCAGCATGCAAACAAAACTCCTTAAAAACTCAAAAGAAAATTCTTACCGGAAAAAGAGCGACTTTCATGTAAGGATGCATGAATTCATAATAGTACTGCAAAATTTTTACGACACACTGAAGAGCTCCAATCCGCAACTGAAACAAAACCAACAAAAAATTACAAATCAAGGAAAGTTTGAGCGTTTCCGCTAACTTACTCGGGCATCATCGGCTTGTGTCGCCTCGCAAACCACTGTCATAATGTAATTCCTTTCTCGCTGCAAAAAAAGGGTCGTAAATTCTTCATGAACACATTCAGATTCCAATAGGACAACATATAAGAACCAGTAAAATTTTCACAACTGATCTCCCCTCACGAATGCTCTCACCTCGGTCTCGAAATTTGTTTTGAAGAAGTCCAACGAATTATACAGTGCCGTAGTGGCAGCAAAACGAATTTCCACACTGTAGAACAGCACAAGGCTTTCTTTACACACTGTTAAAAACCAGACTGCTGTCGTTAAATAATCACCTCGGCTGCTCTTTCTGCATGGACAAAACGATTGCCGAGAGGATTTCATTAGAATAATTCCTCACAGCTTGGGTGCTCTGTAAATATTCAGATGCATCACAGACATAAATTCAGTCATAAGCGAAAGGTATTAAATACAGTACGATAGGACTTACGATCTCCTCGCAAATATATCCAATAGCTTCCAAATAGGACTGTTTCGCAACGTTTCCAGTTTCCGAGCTCATAATGGAACTGGAGAGGAAAGGCAACAGATCCTGCCATTCGGAGCGTACAATTTCGGCCAATGCGATGTTGGCAACACACTGCGCAATGGAGCGACCCACAACTGCGTTGTCCGTTTTTAGAGCTTCCAAAATCTGCCAAGATAAAATGTTTTCATGATATTATCGCAACATGTCATCTTCAGATACTCGGATTTTGACGCGCTGCGTTTTAGTTAAAAACATAACAAATATGTATAGCATAACGCTAATATTCACGTGACGTCATCGGCTGGCTTTCCGGTTGGGTCCTTGCTAAACAAGACAGCTTTTTACTTACGTTCTGCTTAATCATTCCTCGAACACTGGGAGGAACGGCCATCCAAGCATCCTGTCGACGCGCCTTAATTTCCGGGTCCTTCGCGTAAATGGCATTCTTGAAAGCCAACGCAGCACTCTGCTGCACGGTATCTGAGTGGGCAGCATTTTTCACGATTTCCGACAGCAGCAGAACGGTTTGTTGCTGTAACACAATCAAACTAGCACCAACTTCGAATGCACCAGGGGAAACCAAAATCACTTACATATTCGCGTTCCAAAAAGCTGGCTAACGTTTGTTCTGCTGCCTTTTGTTCCGCTGAATCTGAAACGCAAATCAACGGCAATTAACGATGACTCGAACGCAGCACCCGAGCTCTACGGAACTTCCGCAATACGAGCTATCAATACCTGTAGACAGTAGTTTCTCTACCGCTCTCTCAAGGTCCATTTTCTATGGTAGTTCTCGTTTAGCAATATACAGCTGCCGTTGAAATCCTGGATAAATTAAACACATCCAAACGCAAGATCATCAGAAAACAACGAATGCTCAATGATATCAGTTTTCCGTAGCACCCCAGAGAAGTTATGAAACCCCAGAGGAGTTAGGAATCTGGTCGTGTCACCAAGGAGTTATGAAACCGTGAGAAAACAACGAAGACAGACAAGTCAAAAAGTTCCACAGGATATTGTACCTTTTAACTGTTTTAATAGGACGATCGTACGAATCCGATTTTACCACCGCTTTAATATTGCAGTTTTGAGTTTTATAAAATCGCGAAATGTAAAAAATAATCACCGATGGAAGCTGACAGCTCAGTACTGCACGCAAGCCGTGTTTGGAAAAACGGTCGGTTCCCAAACACCCACCAAACGAACCAAACGCAGTGCATACTGCATTTAAAATTTTGAAGAAACATGTACTGATGCACAGTCCAGTTTTGTTTGATTTATTACCTTTTTCAAAACAATGAGGTGGTAAAGAGAAAAACTGAATTTGACCTTAATTCGGAGCCATAAACAAGTAAAATTTAAAATAGTTTGCCTTCTTTTGTTATAAAAATGCTCTAAAATGGAAAAGTAACGGCTCAAAATTGGTTTTCCGCCGGCTAAACCCGATTGAAAGCTGTTAAATACACGCTTACAGAGAATCCTTTACTACCGTCGTATAATCATATTAAAATCGCAAATAGTTGCTGTCAAATATGCTACGTTTCGGGACTCTGATGCGAATTGTATCTAGGTCAAAACTCTCGAGTGCGCAACAACTCACGCACTGATTTGTGAGTCAGACAGATTCACTGATAACGCCGCGCGCATTGGTCAGATGGAGAATCAGTTGCTGAATTAGAAAACCGAGCTGTTGAGCTCGGTTTTATAATTCGCGCTCACATTCATGACCGCTTGCAACTCTTTAAAATTATCCTGCGCTGCTAATAAACGTTCGAGGTGATCCAGGCTGCATTGAACTGTATGTAATTATACGCTGTACTTCGTCATTAAATTTTAAGATAATAAGGTTTAATTAATTAACCTAATAATTAGTAACTGAGCGAAAATTTGATGAACTAACTAGAGTCATTCACGCCTAATTAGCACATTTAGCAGCTAATTAATTAGCGAATCTGCCCCTAATTAGTAATTTCGCACCTGGCTTTTTTAGCACCTAATTAGCAAATTTATTGCACATGAAGAAAAAATTAATTACATGTCATTAAGCTATGTGAGGTTATTTTTCTTAACAAGTTTGCGCTTGTTGTGTTGCGTTGTCCATGGTAGTGAATGGTACTGAAGGCAGATTTATTGCAGAATTCACGGTGCTGTCAGATTTGGTGTTTATTTCTACGAGTGTATTTATTATCAGTAGGCCCGATCAATCCTGTCTAATCTTCTCAAAAAAGATATCGCGAAATAAAATGTGAAAGCAGAATGCGTCACCAATGGATGACACACAGCAAAAAATACAAATGCGTTGGACCAGTAATAAGCAGTGGATCACCACAGAAAACGCAAGCACTGACTGTTAAATGAATCGTGCTGCGTACACACAAACGAATTGTACAGGGCTGCAGGCGCGTTTTAATCCACATGCTTGAGGTGTCATTAATAAATGCAATTAATTTTCAACTTAACTGAAGAAAAGAATGTATCCATTTACTCAATGTAACTTAGCTAATTAATACGCGTTACTAATTAATGTAATTAGACTTAATTACAGTAACGCAACCTACACAATATCACAAGTGTGCATTGATAATTGCAATCACTAATAATAATTACTTTAATTACTAATCGTAATTACTAAATTAACAATCACTAATAGTCTAATAACAACAACTAGTAACAACTTTTCAATCTAACAATAAGTGAGGATAAATTATTAATGCGGATTAATACCTGACCACATTTTATTAGCCAACTAGCAATTAGAATGCTTTAATATTTACTATATGTTACGGGTTCCGGTGACCCTGTGTAAAGCTCGGTTGGCTATGCACCAGCAGCACCACAACGGAGGTGAATGTGTATGTAAAACAGAAAACACAGCTTCGAAGCTGCGTTTTGTAATTCATCTGTGGATCACGTAGCGGACCAATGAGCGCAGCCGTTAGCTTTCGGCTTGAGAATGTTGTGGTGACTAACTCGGGTTATCTTTCGGGCACGCAACGGAGCGTTGTGCCCCACTTCAGGCAAAACATCAGTGAGATAATTCTCATAGGATTGATTACCCTTAGTGGTGGGAACATGTTTCACTTTTTTTCTCTTAGTCATAGCGGAAAAATGAGTAACCGATACGTGCGCAGCAGTCGTGCCGCAGGTACAAGCGGGCTGCTGATATTTGACAGTCCTAAATAGCAACTGTCAAATTTACCACGTATTGGGATTCAGATGCGAATTGTATCTAGGTCAAAACGCTCGAGTGCGCTCCAACTCACGCACTGATTTGTGAGTCAGGCAGATTCACTGATAACGCTGCGCGCATTGGTCAGATGGAGAATCAGTTGCTGAATTATAAAACCGAGCTGTTGAGGTCGGTTTTATAATTCGTGGCCACATTCACGACCGCATATCAACTCGTTAAAATTATCCTGAGCTGCTTATAAATGTTCGTAATGATTCCGTGCTGCATTAGACTGTATGAAATTACGCTGTAGTCCATAATTAAGTGCTGAGATAATATGGTTTAATTAACTAAATTACTAATTAGTAATTAAGCAAAACTTTGATGAACTTTGAATAACTGGAATCATTTACGCTTAATTAGAACATTTACACCTAATTAATTAGCAAATTTTGCACTTAATTAGTAATTTTGCACCTGAATTTTTAGCACCTATTTAGCAAATTTTGCACGCACGAAGAAAAATTTAATTATTGCATGTCATTAAGCTTAAATTATTTTCTCAATAAGTTTGCACTTGTTGTGTTCTGTTGACCGTGGCAGTAAACGGCAATGATAGCTGATTTATTGCAGAATTCACGGTGCTCTCAGATATATGGTATTTATTTCTACTCGTGTATCCGTTATCACTGGTGGGAACATATTTCAGTTTTTTTCTCTTAGTCATAGAAGAAAGATGAGTAACAGATACGTGCGCAGCAGTCGTGTCGCAGATACAAGCGGGCTGCTGATATTTGACAGTTGCTATTAAATATGTTATTGCTCATTTAGCAACAGAATTTCATGCCTGTTAGCAATTCCCTGTACATATTCGATCATGTTTTAACGCGCTGGCGTTTTGTCTGAACTTCGCTAGTTCCTACGATAGTTGACTCATATGCATCTGTTAAAAATTTTCCATTAATTTAATTTTTTGTATTCTTGTCTTCAACACGTGAATGACCACTCGTTCTAAAAATTTAGAATTATTAGATGTAGCACTAGCATTTTTGTATTAGAAAATGAGTTACTGTATTCAAGTGATGACATAAATTTGTGGGTTAGGCGTCCGGCTGATCTCCTCTGTGGAATTTCGGAAAATTTGGTTTGGACATGCCTCCTCTATTTCGTTGCACCGCTCCTAGTCAGTTTTGTAAGTCTCCGCCTGCGGATGCAGAAAATCGAAAGCGCCGTTCGGATGAAGCGACGGAAACCCGTGTAAAAGTTTTGAAGATCGGTTTCGAGAATGTGTTCTTAAGCCACAAGGAATTCAAAGCGCCACCACAGGAACAGCTGGATGGCCAGATCCAGACCATTTCTGCCCACGAGCAGTTTATTCGACAGATCCTTGCCAAGCCTTTCAAAGTCCCCCTACCCGGTTATGAAGGACTCAGTGGACGAGCTCTGGGATTTCGACGGGATGGTGTACGTCGCGCGCTGCACGATCCTAACGGTGATAATGCGCTTGTTCTATACACGCCTCCAGAGCTCACTGCACAGGAGGAGTTATCCATCAAACCTGACAAGCGTCTCGTGCATGTCGTAGTGGATCCCCTGCTGACCAAAGTCCTCCGGCCACATCAACGTGAAGGTGTTCGCTTTATGTACGAGTGTGCCACGGGGGTTCGAATCCCTGAATTCTTCGGATGCATTATGGCTGATGATATGGGCTTGGGAAAAACACTACAGACGATTTCTCTTCTGTGGACTTTGTTGAAGCAAAGCAAAGAAATGAAACCAGAATTGGACCGAGCAATGATTGTTGCACCCAGCAGTTTAGTTAAGGCAAGTGATTAGTTTGGCAAAGCGATTAAACACTTTTCAACCGATTCAGACTGCTCTCGGTTTTCTTTTGCGATGATTTTCGCTCTAGAATCGTGCAGCTTTAATAGCAGTTTATAGCATCGTAGTTTTGAAACTAACGGAATTTGAAAAGAAGTGTCTGCTCTAGATCCGACACTGCACTTTTTTGGATTTTTGAAACAAACAATTTCGAACCTGCGCATGTAAAGTGACTATTTCCGTTAAATAAGTTCTCTTGTTGAATATTTTGAGTAATAAATGAGTGAGGGGCTGAATTTTCGGTTGTATAATTTTATTCCTGGACTTCATGTTTCAGAATTGGGCTAATGAAATAAAAAAATGGTTGGGAATTCGCCTTACGCCGCTGGTAATCGACTCCGGCTCAAAAGATCAGATTGATAAGGACCTTGGTTAGTACTTACCTAATACCTACTTATTTACCATTAGTAGTAATTTTATTTCTGGAATGCGTGGTACTCTTTGGTACAATAGTTCCGAATTCCTTTATTTTGATTGATCCGATGTTTCAGACCAGTTTGTGCGTCAAAGCGGGCGACGCATTGCGACTCCGATTCTCATCATATCGTACGAGACCTTTCGCTTGCATGCTGCTGCATTGCAAAAAGGCAAGAACGTTGGGATGATTGTTTGCGATGAGGGGCATCGGCTAAAAAATGCTGATAATCAGACGTACCAAGCACTGGATGCGCTGGAGTGCAGACGAAGAATTCTCATATCCGGCACACCTATTCAGAATGATCTCACTGAGTATTACAGTATGGTTCATTTCGTCAATCGTGGCTTGCTGGGTACGCAGACGGAATTCCAGAAGAAATTTATGAATCCGATTACGAAAGGCCGGGATGCTTGTGCCACTGACGATGCGGTAAAGAAAGGCGAAGCGCTTCTGGAAGAGCTAACGAAAATGGTCAACCGGTGTATGATTCGGCGTACATCAGCTATATTGTCAAAATACCTTCCTGTCAAAGTCGAACTGGTTGTGTGCTGCAAGCTTACGGATTTGCAAATGTCGTTGTACGAGAGCTTCCTCCAGTCTAAAGCTATTAAAAATCTTGCGAAAGGCGATGATGATACTAAAGGTATTGGATCTTCCTTGGCAGCTATTACTTCGCTGAAGAAATTGTGTAATCATCCGGATCTGGTGTACGATCTGTGTAAGGAGAAGGCTGTAGGCTGGGAAAACGGGTTGGAGAAGTTTCCAGCTGGACATAATCCGACCAGGGCATGTGTACCGGAACTGTCAGGAAAATTGGCGGTGCTGGATGGATTGTTGGCTATCTTGAAAACAACCACAAAGGATAAAGTTGTGTTAGTGTCAAACTACACGCAGACATTGGATGTCTTTGAGAAGCTGTGTCATCAGCGGAGGTAATTACTGCACAATACTTTAAAATGAAATTTACGTAAGTTAATGTTATATTGAGTTTTTTATCGAAGAGCGCGACATTTTTGTGGCTTTTTATCCGGCTAAAGCCTTTAAGTAATCTGAAACATATTCATAGATTTACTGATGTGATAGGCTTACTGAAATCTGATTATTCATTTATGAAAATTTCGGGTTTTTTATGGCTTCCATGCGTGGTTTGTAAATAAGGACAATTAATCCCTTTAAGAAGTCCAAATATTTTAGGTACCGATATGTTCGCTTGGACGGGGCAATGACGATTAAAAAGCGAGGAAAAGTTGTCGAACGGTTCAACAGTCCGGACAGCGATGATTTCATTTTCATGTTGAGCAGTAAAGCAGGAGGTTGTGGATTGAATCTGATTGGAGCCAATCGTTTGGTGATGTTTGATCCCGATTGGAATCCCGCCAATGACGATCAGGCTATGGCACGTGTGTGGCGCGATGGCCAGATCAAACAGTGCTATATTTACCGTTTGCTGAGCACTGGAACTATTGAGGAGAAGATCCTCCAGCGTCAGGCACATAAAAAGGCCCTGAAGGATTGTGTGGTGGATGACATTGATGCTGAAAGGCATTTCAGTGCAGCCGATCTTCGAGATCTGTTCAAACTGAATAAAACGTGCTTGAGTGATACTCATGACCAAATTAAGTGCAAACGGTGCACAATGGGCAAGCAGGTGGTCGCTCCACATCCGGACAGCACGTGCACCAGTGATTACTCCCAGTGGCATCATCACTATGATCGGCGCAATGTTCCGGATGTCCAGTTGCAGCAGATCTGGCCCGTTGGAGTCACCTTTGCATTTCATCAGCGAAGCCATGAACAAGCTAAACTGTGAATCTAGATATCTTTTTATTGTCTGTTTTACTGAATCTGTTGTGTTTGTTTACTAACCTTTATTCTTGCTTTTTTCAGATTTGGTCAGTTTTCCGCTTAAGATCGATTGTCTGAATTTGTTACTTCAAGTGACCTTTCTTGTTTTAACAGCTGCTGAACTATGCGCGGAAATTTCACACATTAGATAACGATCACTTACTGAATTTTACTCATGTAACATGTTAGCAAATTAGCATTCCCGTAAATTATTCACAACCGCCAACAAAAATCACTCAGTTCGAGGAAGAGAATAAGCGTAAGAGTCAATTAGGGATTTGTTTTCAACTCAACGCCAATAGCTTGCAAACAATATTTAGCCGCTTCCGCCTTGGCGATCTTTTTACTGCACCCTGGAACTGTCGGCCGATATTCGACACCGTTGATAATCACTTGAAAAAGGAACGTTTTTCGATGCGGTTGACCCCCTTCTTCCACCAGTATGAATGATGGCGTCCCCCAACCATTTTTTGTACACACCTCGTTCAGTGCCGAACACGGATGCTGATTCTCGTATCCCGGAAAGCTGACTGTCTTCACGCCACGAAAGGACGTAGGCTGCTTCCCTCGTATTTCTTCCTGTGCAATCAATCCGCGTTTATCCATTTTAATGGTCATTTTCAACGGCTCCAGGGTTCCATGCTGGCGGACGCCCAGACTCTGCCCCGCAATCCAACCCATCTTCTGCAGTAAATACTGTCCTTTTCCTCCAACGGGCTTCAAATTCATCAACTGATCCTTTCGTGCCCATGCCTGTTTTCCGCTAGAGTGCGCCGACGCAGTGTTATATCCAGCAGTCTCTCCCGTAAATTCACCAGGATTTCCTGTGTAAGTGAACTGATTAGCCCACTCCAGCATTTGCTGTTGCGTCTCCTGCATCTGATTCAAAATGTACGGATTATCGGGATTTTTCGCCAGTTCTCGCTGGAACTTCAACAAGCGCAGCTTATCCGCAAAACTAATCGGAATTCGGTAGTCCGGAGGCGGTGGCTGAGCCTTCAGTTGATCTTCCAGTGTTAAGGCAGGTTTTTCCTTCTCTTTCGTTGGCTTCTTTTTCGGCACAGGATTCTCAGCATACCGTTCTTCCCGTTCATGAGAGATCACCGGCTGCCAAGTCATCTCGCGATGATTCGAGCCCGTGGAGACAGGATATAGTTCCCGCAGCGGCAAGTTCAACGCAATCCGTTCTTGTTGCGTTTTCACTGGCACGGCTTTGGCGTTGTTAATGTGCATAATGATCTCAGTCAGAAGAGGACGGTCTTTGACGTGATAAGGATGATTATAAACTGGCAATTCCGATGCCACACTACTTTCTCTGTCTCCTTCTCTACTTCGTTGAGCCATCCGCTTGCAAAACGCGGTAAGATCCTCTAGGGATTTTCCTCCTGATCGCCACAGTGCGCGTTCTTCTGCCGACATTGTGTATTCTGGTGGAATCTTTCCCATCCGACGTAACTCAATGGCATTCTTGATGGCCGCTTCCCTTAGCTTCTCGCAGTCGATCTGACTGCTGGCGATGGTGTCAAAGGAAGAAGCCCTTTGCCGGCGACTCAACGGCGCCGGGCTGCGACGCCGGGCGGGTGACACACTGCGACGGCGGGGTTGCCGGGTGCGGGTCATAACACTTAATGGCGACAACGAACGTCGGCGCTGACGCTGGCTATCCCGTTCCACGGATTTTCGTCGCGGTGTGTTCAAAGACGACTTCCGCTTCCGGTGGGACTTTTTCTCCTTATCACCGAAGACTGACATTTTGGAGATAGAAACAACACTTTCCGTGTCCGAACAATCTGATTCCGAGGACACTTCCCCGTTTTCCTTCCCGCCTGTCTTCAGAAGGTGCTTTTCCAACAGATCCAAAATGTCTTTCATGGCTCCTTCACTGTCAGTAGATTCTTTAGGAGCAGGTGCAGGAGCGGCTTTTTTAATGGCAAAGGAAACCGGAGTCCTCTTCGGCTTTTCCGTAGAACGCTTCTCTTCTTGTCTGGTGCTGCTGGTGGATTTCGAACGACTCCGGGGAGGCGATCTGGAACTTCGCGAATGATTATCCGAAGCCACCGATGACCGATCATGAGAATGTTCCCTTCGATAATCACGTTCCGTCCCCGCGTACTGGTACCCAACTTCATGAAGGTTTTGTCGCGGAAAACTACGTTCGCGCGAGTTCGACTTCACCCGCATTACTTGCTCACGATGGCGTTGTTCGCGCATGAACCAGCTGGACATACCGCGCTCTTCATCCTCCCAATCGACAATTTTCGACCGATGCGGCAGATAATCCGGAGATGGGGTCCTGCGTTCCTCCGGAGAATGGAATGACCGTCGCGTGTCTTGTGGTCTTTCCTCATTTCGATGCTCCCATTTATGATCCTCTTCGCAGTCAGGCCAGGGGCACGAATAACGGTCACAGCTGGATCGTCTTTCAAGGCTGTGTCGCTTAAAAAGCATATCATTTTCGGCATGACTATTCCCAAACGGATGTGGAAAATCATTCTCCTCTCTGGAGCTCCGTCTTCTAGTTCTGTTCTCCTTAACCTCCCAATCGTAATCACGATGACTCACGACATCATGCGGCTTTGACGGCAGATCGTCACTGTCTCTGGAATGCTTCCTGCTAAATTTGTTCTTGTTAAATTCCAGTTCAGTCGCATCCAGAATTTCACCCTCTTCAGGTTCCAACAGACTACATTCGATATTGTTACCAGTTTCTTTAGCCTTCTTCTTTTTGCCACTTTTTTCCGATTTCGATCTTTTCTCTTTTTTCTTCTTCGTCGATTCGTTTCTGCCGGATGAATCGTTTGACTTCTTGTGCGAATCACGAGATCGTTTTCTGTGCTTCTTGGATCGACTACGCTCTTTTTCCACTTTCTTATCGCTGTTCTGTTTCACCGATTTGTCTCGCTTTCTCTTCCGGTTAACTAAATCCAAGGCAGAATTTTTACGATCATCCTGAACGTCCAGCACATCCAAAACCGCTGCCGAAATGCCATCGGTAGGTTCAGTCGTTGTAAAAATCTGAAAAACATTTAAGAAAAACTGTCAGAGACATATTCATGGTCATTCATTAACGGTCAAATCATCCAGAGCGAAAAAGAGAAGGGTTGGTTCAACAAAGTTTAACGAAAGCCACCAAAACTTATGTTTAAAAGTAGCTAGTACTTTTTTTAGTAGTTTTTAGCAACTTAAATACGACCTACGACTAGAAAAATTCTACCTGCAAATTTTTAAAACTTGAATGAATTTGAGCATCAGTATTTTAGACACGCCAATAATTCTGCAGTAAATATCTTGCGAACCATACTTGTTTAAGCAGGCAGCCGCTCGCTACGCCAGCACCGGTGGAAACCGGCACGGTTTCCTTCGCCTCATCCAGAGCATGGGCAATGTCCTTCTCGTCTGCGGACTGGATCACACGATTCACACCAGAATCCTCTTCGCATGCGCTCGGAATACGATTACTGATATTTTCATTAACCGTCTTTTCCGGTGGCGGACGTAGCTTCTCAGGGCTTTTCGTAGCGCACGATTCCACCAGCATCGCCGAATTCGTCCACAAATCCGGGACGTCGGTGACGACATAATTGGGCCGTTTATACTTGTACGTAATCGTATTCCGCTGTGCATCTTCTTTGCGACGCAGCGTTGTGCCGAATGTGGCGGCCTGCACGGAATTCGATACAAAATTCACTGGCTTCATAGCCAGTGAAGATTTTTCCTTGGTGGGTCGGGTCGGAATGAAGGACGGCGGGGGCATAAGATGGCGATCAGCTGTGCTGGAAGGGCTGCGCGGCGAACTGTTTTGGTCAGGCGTGCTCGATCCGTCGTCCGCCCATGTTGTTTTCCGCCGGGTGTTCGATGCGCTACTGCTGGGGGTTGATACAAAAAGGACCTCATCTTCGTCAGGAAGGAAATCAATGGCAGACAGGGGCCCATTAGAATAAGACCCGTTAATCATGGTAGTACAAACATGGAAACAACTGCAGTTTTCTATTGCAGGCTGCTCCTCTCCATGTCGCCAAGCTTACTCATTCATCTCTGAAAAACGCAAGAGCTTTATAAGATCAACGAATTTTACCTCGTTTTACTGTGCTGAAAACAAGAGGAAAGCCTGCGGGAATTTCTTACTTTGAAGCGAAGATCTTACGTTTCGCGCGAATCTTTAAGACGTTATCGATCAGCACAGAAACACTTTAACGCTGCTAAGCTAGCGTCGGTAAGGCAGCAGTAACAGCGGGAATTCGCTTCTGTCAGTGAAGGTTTCCGTTAATTTTATGTCAAATCAGCTAAACTTCCTTAATAATGGCCCAATAAGTTACAAGCGCTTGCAGGAAGGCATTTTGGTAATTTGGAGATCCCTCCAAAATAACAGAACTTATCATTCTTTTGTGAAAAAATTTGATAATTAAATTATTAAAATATATAGATTTTCCGTAAAGGGCTTTCGATGTTTATTACTGCCTCTTCTGGGTGGTTGTGTGACTTGTGTCGAATACGCACAACGCGTCGAGCGACTGGATTAAGTCTATTAATTAATTAAAGTTCTATTAATTTGTCTATTTAAAATAATTTTTCTATTTAAAATATTTAACTGCTACCGATCGCGAAAAAGCGTTGATTGCTTATGTGACAACATTGTCACAACAAGCACCGTTTTTCTCGATTGAACTAGCTTATTGAAAAAGCGGGCACTTTAACTGCTTTTCGAGAAAAACGTTTCGTATCACGTAATCTCAATCGCCACGCTTAAAAAGTTAAAACCTCTACTGTATAAGTACCCTCCTTTTAAATTAAATCAGGTTTTCCGATTATGTTGCCTGAACTCCAGAATGCAAATGGATTTGGTGATATTGGGTCCCATTTTTGTAAAACATTAGCTTGAAAACGTAATTTTGGTTTTCATAGTGGTATATCTTGAAACATCAATATCGGATTTCAACTATTCTGTACCGTAAACTATACATATTAAATTTCTCTCAAAAAATGTACTCGTTACAAAATAAAAACTTTCAGGATCCCTATGCATGTGGGATTGAATATGGTTTCCGAACGATATGCGCATGGTCATACTCGTACACATCTATATACATATGACTGGGTAGCAGACATTTATTACAACACGTGGAACTGCATTGTAACAATATAGATATACTGCATGCAGCAAAAACAACAAGAAGCCACTTTCGTGGTACCGAGTAAAATGAAACCGGAAATGAGTAAATATAGTACTCGTAGCAATCTAAGACGCAGTTTGACAGAACCTAGAAGTTCAAACCCTCGTACGTAATTTCTCGCTACTGGTTGGACTATTCTCAAAAGGCGTGTAGAAAGCCGGTTCTTTGACGGGAAAGCTGGTCTTCTGTGTGGAGATTTGCAGAATACTGAGCCGTTTCTCCCTCGCGGCAGATTTAGCATCCGTGCCGGTTTTCGAGAAATTCTCAAATAAAACAAATAGTTTGCGATAATAAACATAGTAATACAAATAACTAAAACAGCGTTGAACGGTATACAGGGCACGATATCCGACGATAAACATAAATGTCGTATCGCTCTGATACCACTGATTAATGGCCCAAATGTGAACGCCCAAGCATAAACCAAAATATCCCGTCCAAAATGGAGCAATGGCCACGTAGCTAATTAACGTCGGACGTGGTCCACCGTTCCGTCCGTAAAAAAAGGAGAAAATCTGAATACAGAAAATGGCTGCCGCTAGAACCAGGCAGACATCCTGCACAATGTACAAGGAAACTTGTATTTGCGTTGTTTCCATAAAGAGACCGACGATGATGTTGAAGGTCAAATCGGCCAGTAGAAGCACATGCTGGAAGAAGGCGAAAATACGGAAACCATGTCCGGAAGCAGCCATTGCCCAATAATAAATGGGTGCAATCAAGGCGATTAATTTTTACAAATCGACAACTGCGAGCATTACAATTCACAAATTCGACCCACGTTGCATCATATCTATACATTTAAGGAAAAATGTTAACACAACAATACTGGTCAGTTTATCGAAAAATCAGACGAATGCTTTAATCGCACGGTAGTAAGGTGGTAGTATACGAATGTGGGGAAGATAATGAAAATAGCATCGGTTAACGATAAACGAATTTACAACAAATTAGACAATGATAATAATACAATAATGATCACCGTTCCGCACGAGTACAGTCATGCTCGAGGGATCAATTGAAACAGGTACATATTCTGTAAAATACGTGATGGCGAGGGATCTAAGGATGTTGTAGTACGCTGTGTTTGTCATGCTGTTCCGGTTGACTGTGAAATTCACAACCTGTCGGCCTTTCCATGTGCTGATCGATGCTGTGCCGGATCATCCGGTTGATCTCCGCATCGTACCGACCCACGCTTCCCAGGATTTATTTTTGAGAGCCAGCTACCTTATCCTTTACTGAGTCAGGTACGATTTCATCAGTGAGATATTATTGATTACTAAAATCTTCTTACCGTCTAATGCGTCTGCTCAGTTGCAAGGTACTCGCGCGTCAAATTCAATCAAAACATGGGTCCATATCTATATACTGTATGTATGTATGGTACAATGTGCATACTGCCGCGTGTCAGTGAATGTGGTTTCTGCAGGTTCAAACTAGTACTGGAATCTACGCATCCATGGGTAATCTACCGGCAAATATCGACAGCTGTTGGATCGACACTTACTGCTGTATTTAACTTTTAATAAAAAACGAATAATGGATTGCATAGCTGTTTCTCCGAGTTATATCTGCTGCTCCTGTTAAGTTTGTAAATCACATTCGGATGCTCCAATTTGGGTGGGAATTCGTTTTAATTCTGCTTGCCTCCAACCTTTGCGACTAAAATATTTTTATGTTACCGTTATACATTTTTTTGTTGGTCATGATACTTATTGAAGCAGTTCAAGTTGGAGCTATTCATGCCTTGTAATAAAAGCTGATCCAGCGCTTCTAACGCAATAAAATGGATCGTCCCGATGAAAGCTTTGCAAAAGCCGCTACCAAGCACTGGTTTCGTGACTTGCTGGGTGGAAAAAATAACTCTGCAAGGTCCTCCATTCCCAACACCGCGCGGACAGTCACGGAGCAGTATGACCTTACGGAACGGATTCCGTCCAATAAAAGGCGGACGCGATCGGCTGGACACTTAGAGTTTTCCAGACCTATGACCTTTGCTGCTGTTGACCATCCTGCTGGGTTGGCGGATGAGAAAGATGGTTCATACAGCGCTCAGGTGGCAACGGAGAGCTGCGAATCGAACTACGGATCTGAGACTGGTGGTCGAAATGCAGTTAGCACTCCGGAGAGCTCGCAAGGTATACAAAATTTATCTAATGACTGCATTAATGCGCCCTTCGGTTGCCAAACTGTCTTTTCTAAAATTGCAGGACGACACGACAGCCTCCGTATAGAAAATGAAATATCAGAAAACTACGCCGAAGAAAATACCTCAACTTCACCAAGAAAGGTACAGTCCTGTGTGGTGTTGAAATTAGTAAATACTTTTACATATATTTTTCAACACTCGTGATTAATTTTATCATCACTTGCCCTGCCCGTAAATTCTGTGGTTGACTAAAGTATACAGCTCGCGTACAGCTTGGCTGATTAGCTGACAATTATTACTTATTTTACCAACAAACTGTGATTTTATGATATCGCAGTCTTAGTGTCTTACAGTACTAAATTTTTTATTTGTACAATATTTTGAATTGCATGAAGGTCACTATTTCAAGGCACTATATAATATAACTACATATATGTATGTCAATATTTTTCAGAATTTCGAGCATTCACTCACTAACCACGGTGACCCCAAAGAATCGGTAACTGACAACTCACTTATCGAACGGAGTGCTGCTTCCCACCAGTCAAGCCACGAAATAACTCGCTCGGACAGCAGCTTGGCACTTCCTTTAAAACCATTCCCAAATAACAACGATTCTTATATCAATGATGAAGATGTTAGGACAAATTCGGCAGAAAAGAAAGACGAAACATTAAAGCTACCATCACCGGGTTCGACCGACTCCGACGAATATTTGGTTGTCGTTAGCAAAGATTTGATACCAATAAAGAAGTACCGAAGGCGAAGGAAATTAGAATCCCCAGGTGGCGATCACACCAAAGAAACCGTGAATCTGCCGCCGAAGATGATCGTATCCGAAGTTAAATTACCTAAAGCAGAATTAAAGCACACTGAGCAGGAGCAAAAAGCGGAACCATCAGCGAAGATTGAAACTGAAGATTTCAGTCGTACAATAAACGTATCGGAAGAAGATATGATTGTAGCCGAAGAAAGCAACGAAGGTATTTGGCACAGCAATTGAAATAATTGTTGATAATATGGCATAGTTATTACAAATATTAATAGTGTATGTAGAAACTTTTGAAAAGCTTGAAAGGTCAGAAATATTGTTAAAGCAATTTATAAATAAGCAATCGACATAACCAGTAATCACAAATACGGGTTTACCTGTCGTTGATCATTATATATGTCATAAACGGTAGTTTGCTAACACTATCAAGCAATCAATCACAATGTGAATTATAAAAAATCTAAACAGGTGTGAGGTTTGCAGAACTTGAAGTGCAAGAGGAGGAAAGGATTTTGACTGCTTCCAAAGACAGATTGCGCAAAGTTTTCGCTTTAATCGTTCATCGTACAGACCGGCTGGCAGTGAGTTCTCTCGTCCAAAGCGTGGTGGTCAGAATAAGCATAATCGACAGATCGACTTCCGACTATCTTAAAAAAACAAAGCGGTACGCGCAAATCATATAACAGTCGACCATACTCACCATAAATTTCTCTCTTCTGTCAGATACGTATGCACAGAATTATAACGAACCTGCTTAATTTTTCGTGTTTTGACCTAAAATCTGATAGATTTGATCATTTTTTAGAGCAGCAACTTTTTATTACGAGAACGCCCGAAAGGACCTGGATTATATTCTGCCGGTTATGACCAGAATCTGTGATATACCAAAGTCTTCGAATCCAGTTACAAGTATACCGGCGTGGGAGGAACAGTTGCTATATAATGAAGAGTTCGCGCGATTTGCTTCTGAAGATGTTTTGCTGTTTTTCGAGGTAGTTATGAGCCGCAGTACGTGATGTCGTGATGTAATCAAACTTCGAACGAAACACATTTATTTATGCCAAAACAAAATTTCCGCCCAAACAATTAGTTCAATTAGTTAGCAATTTCTGCCCAAACAATTAGTTCAAATGCCCGATGCGCGTATGCCATAATATTTAATTGCAGTTACATACGTAAGATTTATATTTTTCGTATAAAGTTGCAAAAAGTTATAAAATTTTTCGTATAAAGGTATCTGTAAAAGTATAGAAGTATATATATTGCAGTACATTAACTGCAACTTATCATTTTAGCTGGCTGACTTCATCCCAGCAGCAAAAGCCACCAACCCATCCAAATCACACAAATGGGAAGATGCCTCCTTCAAACCAGTTGCTTGGGGGTTTTACAAAGTACAATCAGAAAATGTGGTGCAATATAGTTGTATTTTTTGAGTGCCGATTGTTTGGTTGCAGATGCAGTCGCTGTCTAAGAAAGTGACTACTGGAAGGAAACGGCTACAGCTATATTTGCCTATAAGTACGGGATTATTAAGCAAGCGGTCTGCGACATTCCCCACCATTTACCGGTGGTACTTAACAAAAATTCGCATTCGCTATCCCTCGACTTTGTATGTAACATTAGTGGAAACAGAAATTTCCAACAAAGTGCCACCAGTTTTGCGTTCGGTGTTGCCGAATCAACCGGTAAGGAAAACTGGAACTGAAATTTTGTTATCGTTTGTGCGTAAGTTCCTGTTATATAACCGAAAGTTTTCTAGGAAATCGCTAAAGTCAGCTATACTCGTCTGAAAAGTATGCTAGGATCACAAATCAATCTTGAAGGGTCAAGGTAAGAATGCAAAACATTGTCCAGGTAGATTGTCCCTTAACCGCCTACAGAGTAAATGTGTTTTTTTATTATAAGCCTGTTCGGTAATACGTAATCAGGAAATTTATCTGTCACGTTATCAGTTTTTCCTTGTACGTAGTGCTTCCGAAACAACGGTCGAGACTCACCCAAAGAACGATAACGAAAATGATGTAAAGTTGACCAGCGAACCGACCAAGCGCAAGCAGCGAGCTTCCGTCCGCTTACCACACCAGAAATGTCTAATACCGAACAATGTGCACATGGAAATCGCTGTAGGTCAGGAAGGAGCCACTGCTACAAAATTCTCCATTAGCGGCAGGTAGAAAACATTTACCAGTCATTATCTGCACTCCCGGCTGTTGCACGTGGCAGTCACCGAATTAGTTGACCTTTAACTAGGAATATTGCTTTTGCTTGTTTTGAGCGACAAGCGGTGGCCTTCGTCCAAATCAACGATGTTCGCAGTAGTATTGTTCGCGGGCGATTGTATGGATCGTGCGGCATTATTTACGAGCTGGACTGGAACCGTGCAGATAGCAGAATATTGGCTGCTAGTGCTGACGGTACCGCAAAGTAATACATTTGTAGTAACATGCAGCCGAAGTAAATAATAATAATAAGTTTTTTAGTATATTTTAGTCACTGTAGACTTTCTGGCTGGCAAATGATTTAGCCTCATATTCAGAAATTTTTGTTTCAATCTTATATCAAGCCGGTTGTGAATATGGTTTATGCGCCTTTATTTCGCTAGCAGAGCTTTTACTTTTTTATCTCACCGTACCCTAGGATATGGAATTCCGAAACATGCCATCCAAATTTTCTAATTTCCTTGCCACATCCGGGATTTGTTTACTCTGCTCAGTTTCATCCCGTGCAGCAACACATTGTAGCAACCGGATGTTTTGATGGTGTTATTCGTGTCTGGAACGTATCGACCAGCTGGAACGATGTAAGTCACCATTCCAATGAACACTTTAAACCAATATACCGGTAGATGCTTCAGATAATTTCAAAATTAAATTGTAACTTCAGTTCTGTAGTATCCAGTTAATCGAGTAATCTTTGGTGCAGAGTATTATATTTAAAAAGCTCAGATAAAAATATATGTTTTAGTTAAGCTATCGTACCCTTTTTCAGTTTCTCCTGATCGCAGAACTCTCCAGTCACTCTGGATTTATCAATTGCTTGCTGTTCAACGAGCTCGGCAATGAACTGTTTTCGGCCGGAAGCGATGGATACATTAAAGTGTGGAAGCAAGGAGAAAGCGCATTAAAGGTTAATGAAAATCTGGCCAACTGGAGTCCCTCGCATGAACTGCTAATTCCAATCAACGTTAACACTGCATCGGGAATAACGGATCTTAAATGGATTCCAAACCGAGGAGTACTGCTCGCTTTGACCCAAGACGAAGAATTTCATTATATTGACACCAAACGGTAATGCGAACATGCAGTGACGGTAATAACGGAAAGGTTTAGTTTTACATATATAAATTGGTGCAGATTAAACATTTGCGATACAAGGCATGAGATATACTGAAACGCTGCTTAACATAAACTAAAAAAGGCGGTAGAAAAATTGCCACCATCAGAGTGTTATAACAACGCAGTACGGACATTGGATGACGTTGATTAGTTCAAAGTGGTGTCTGCTTCCGTTATATTCAACTAAGGTATTTTTGGCAGCTTAATTGTAATCGGAAGTGTCGTGATCGGTGCACCGGTGAAGTATCGCCTGCGCGGAGCAGTCACACCATGCGGCAGTCATTTATATGTGCCAACTAACGAATCCACCATTTCGGTTTTTAATCTCAGCGACGGAAAGCAGGAACGGCAAATCACTAATGCGGTCCCAAGCGCCGTCCTGGATGTGGACTTTCATCCTTCCGAACACATGCTAGCATATTGCGGACTGGGTTACCGCAGAAAGGCGGTGATAATGAACCACTACAAAGAATTCACGGATACCCCCACGTTAACGCTAAAGCGGAAAACAGAAAAAAAGCGGGAAATTCTGCCGGTCATCAAGCTTGCTAAGGGAATGTCCTTGATTGACTCCGGAAGGGCGTATTCGCAATCGGAAAAAATTTCGGTTGTATTAGAAAAGCTGAATGAAATCACGGTATGTTAACGATTGTTATTCCGATATTGTTACTCGTTTGGCCTTCGGTCTTCCTTTCTATCGATAATACTTGACTATTTTTTGGAAATATTTTACCGTTGTGACTCGGAAAGATACGATCGGTGTACATTTTAACTTTCGTTTGTTGTGTATACTAACCGCTGTCAAAACTGTCAAATCTTAACTCCTTTCTTAACAACCAGAGTACCTGGTATATTATACATTTCGGTCAAATATATGCATAACTCTATAAACTTCCCTGTTTTGCTTTTGCAGAATGATTTAAAAGCCCGGGAATCTTTAAGTATGGAGAACCCAAACCGGTTGTCCACAGCGGAAGGCAGGATCGCAGCAGCCGCGGAACATAACCGCAATGGCAGCTGGATTTCCCAAATGACGCACACGGGTACACATCACCAGCACACGCATAGAGGCTTTATGCTCAATTTGAGCAAGTTGTAAGGCGCGAAATTGGCTTGTAAACAATGACGTTAAAGAAGTTAATGCTGTTGCACGTGTTTAATGCGTTATAGCGGTCTTGATTGTACTATTACAGTAATTTTCAGCTGTACCGTTATTGGTACTAACACCAAAAGTATTGTTACTATCAGACGGACCGAACCTGGGCTAAGTTTAAGGCTAACCACGAAAGGAGAACCAACTCTGTATAAAATTGTTTTCAGAGTGGATCCCACTTCTAATAAGATAGATGCTTCAGAACCAGTCACCAACGAAACGACTGTTTAGTACCGGGTACGACAAATGCTGACACGTTTCGAAAGACCGCATTTACAATATACACATGTACAGAGTACAGATACAACACAGCAGAGTGCATCTTTAGACTTTAATTGAGATCCATCAACACTGCCCCGAGTATTAAAATAAATAACAGTTGTTCAAACAACTATCATATGAAGTAACAGAGCTTTATACAAAATACTGTCAAAAAATTAATGTCACGAACCAAAATAGGTTTACTTTTTCCCAGTTAAAAAATAAGTTGTCATTTCTCCCTTTCCTTTGACCTGAACTGGACCCCGGCACTGGAAAATGTATCCTAAGGGTTCGAGAGTGCGATAAATTTCTTCCGTCACTTGGATCGTATCGGGTATTCCGGTGGATTCCATTCGTGAACTATGTAAAGGTCGTTCACGATAGTAACATGTACAGGCAGACAAATTTCCGATGGTTATCGATAACGCATTTCATCGTGATGATCCTTACCTTATATTGACTGCATTACCCCAAATGTCGTACTGTGGCTTTTTAGCGCCAATAACACCGGCAACCACTGGACCCATGCTCAGTCCTGTAAAAATTTCGCCGTATAAGACGTGTGCGGAAATTGCGAATATTGACCAACCAACTCACCTATTCTTAAAGTGAAATTATTAAAAGAATGTTGGTTCACTTCGTTTAATTGGTCCTTTATGGCCATCGCGTAATCTGCTAACTGCAATAAACAACAATGTCGAAACAAGATTAAAAAATGGGTGATACCGACCTCTGCACAAAAATCAAATAATTATAACGCGATCTTGTTGGTAATACTACTTCTGTAAACGGTTCACAGAGAAATATTTACCTGAACAACATGCCGAAACTTGATGCGGTCAGCTGTGGCTGCTGTAAGGCCGGAAGCCGCCATGTAGCATTCTCCGATAGTTTTTATCTTTTCGATACAATTAAACTGTGGCTGCGATAACATCTATCGAAAGGAGGCACTGGCAATTATTGCTAAATGAAACTCATTCACTATTTTTTCACAAGCTTTTTATTACCTCGTCAAAATCCGCCAGTATTTCGTTCAGTAACCGCAAGCACTCCACCCCTTCGTTATTCGCTTCCAGTTCCACATAGAACTCCGAAAAATTTGTAATTTTTGCGAACATTATACAAGCATCTTCGCATAATTCGGAGTAGAGATCTTCGTTTTTCCGCTCGCTTTGCATAAAGTGTGCCGCAACGTGGGCTGGCAGGATGTTCAAAACCAAAGTCTTGTTATAGGCCTGCAGCTTTTCCATTTCGTCCCTCTCTTCGTTAGCCTAAAGATTTCAGCGTATAACATTTTTCAATGTTTTGCAATAAATTATTCGTAATAACTCGTTTTGCTGTCAGCTGTTAAAGTAGCGCAGCAAAAAGGTCACACCTGCATTTTCCATAAGAAATCCAAGCGAAGCATCGATTCAATTTGATGTCCATGCGCAGTCAACATAATTACGAAGAGAAGCAGTATTCCAACGAATAACCACTTTGAACTGCTCAGATCTCGCAAACAATGGCTGAAACAGGCAACACGTCCTCTTTATCACCTATTGTGCGCGTGAAATACAAAACAATTCCGTACTTTGCACAAGATTGTACAATCAGGTCCCGAATGTCAAAGGCTAGTCCCATTGGCGTCATAAAAATAACTATCACAGTCAGAATTGATATTCCGATCAGCGTCAGGAATTTTACATTAGTATTGAGCAAACTGAATACGGAGCAAGACAGCATGGCAAGGATTACGCACAGTGTGATGTACTGTAAACAAAACGGAATTAATAATCAGATGAGAGGCGAAGTTTTGTAATGAGCCGGGAATACTGTACTCATTTGTACAGTAGTACATGTATGTATATACAAGTACGTACCACTGGCGATTCATACACGGAAATGCTGTTGCAGGATAAGGCAACATATTTAGTCGAGACATTGACACTTCCGGTTGTCACTGGTGGTGGAGGGCTGGCACTGACTATCGATATGTTACAAATAGGACTGTAAAGGTTTCTTGAGAAGTTATCCTCCAGAAAAAGCTATTTTAAGGAGAGCATAATTACTACAATGGAATACGACCCAAATTAGGAAGTTCTCACATCTCATACATGACTATGATGCAGGTGTCTTGTGTTAGTAAAGTGTAATAGCAAGTAAACAACTACAATAGTATCCTGTCATATCAGTAGAAATCTTATACAACGGAAAATTTGGTAAAGACGTTTGACTGCAAAAATTAGATAAGTCCAGTTCGATTCTTTGGTTTTTAAAGCAGTTCCACCGGAAGTATGCGATCCTGTTGTAGTGATACACTAATACTCACAGAAATAAATGCCAATAAGGACACGATAGCAATGATAGCAAGTGCCAAGAGTTGGGATAACGAACGGTGGCTAGCTATCCTCGTGGACATATTCCGTATTATCAGAGGAATCCATTTCCATTTCTCAAACGATATGAACAATACTAAGATCAGAATCATGACCAGGCATATCACAAATAGTCCAAGCGCGTGATGCGACCTGTAAACCAGCCATTTTATACCTTAAAAATGAAACATAATATCAAGTTCTTTATTGTACTTTTTTTGACTTACAACGGAATAATCGTCCATTGAATAAGAAATATCACAAGCCCAATCAAAAATGCACATACTGCATACGAGCTGAACATCTGATCACGGTTGGCTGAAAACTAAAAACAACAATCTTCCCAGACAGTTTCACGGTCAACAAGTCAGCGCTCATACCTTTGCTTCCACATCCGGATCACGAAAGGTCAACCTGAACTTCTTGCAGTGCTCAGCTCGTAGTCGGTCAATGCTGCGAGCGTCAATGGCGCGACTTAAGTAATCGTGCACATCATCGTCTGCACTTTTCTGCATTTCTTTTTCTGACAATTCTGTCAAGCCAAGCCTGTAAAAATACTCTTATTTTGCTTTTCCAGTACAATGCATAACGATAAAAAACTTAAGACATAATTCGATTTTTAAAACGCAACATGTTTACTGACATACTTGGTATGGATTGCCGTATTAGCAATTCTTCCTGCTTGACTTTGCGAAGTATACTGAGAGTTTTTAAACGAAGCGCGATTTTTCGAGTTGACGCGTCGTTGACTGAACGTTCGACGAGGCACTCTTTCTTTGCGAGTGCCACTAGTAATGAAGTAGGTCTTAACGTGGTTCTTCCGTAAATAATCATTCTTTTCGCTCCCGTCAGTGGGTGCAACTTCGTATTCCCCGTTCAGGTACGCCAGCGTTGTGCCGCTTATATGGATGCGTCTAAAATAGTAGGGTAGGGAAATTTTTACTTTAGTAATTAATTTTTAATTTAGTAGCTCATTCAGCCTTTTAACGTAAAATCTGTTGTTTCGCTAATACTAGTTCAAAGATCACGTTTTCACCCTGCAATGCAAGTGTTTAATCGTAAATAAATGTATAGCTAAGCCGGTTTTTTAAGAAATTTCGGTCACTTAAGTAATTCAAGGCGCTATAGTGGCCGTTGGGATAATCCAATGCGCGCCCTATGACAAGCTGATTTTCTTCGATAATCTCCGAAAATAGCAATCGAATGCTTGTCCAAATCGGATAAGCATTCTATCAATACCACCATGAGAAGGGGAGTTGGACAATCGATTTTTTTCTCTTCATTCATGATCGCATTTGACGACTCCTCTTGAGAGCCGTCGAAGAAGTGGCCGGCGTGGCCGTCTAAGGACGGCTGTATACACATACACATATACACACTCCGCACTCTTACCCGGGACTGCCTGACTGTTCCATATTCGAGCCGACAGTCACGTCATTGCTCCACACATCATATTGCCACTTGCGCAATCCCAACACTCCACAATGAACTCGCCCGCTGTGGATACCAACGCGCATGTCTAAGCCCTCGACGCCCGTAACATCCCGCACCAATCTATGCAATACAAGAGAGAGAACGCATTCGCTTGGTTAGAAGCAATTACAACAACGGCGGAACTGGTCAGCCGCTCCTGACAACTGACTTGATTGCTTCAATCATATCCAATCCCATCTCTAGACGACAACAAAAAACCGGCCATGCTAAATCACTCATGGGAAAATTATACGCGGTGAATTGACCCGCCGTACCGACGCAACATTGCGCATGATCCGCTCGGGCATCAGGTAGACCGGATACGCAGTAATAGCAGTCGCCCAGAAGTTTGATCCGTAAACAGTTGTTCTCTTCCGCCAGCCGGTCGAATCGCCCGAAGAGCTCATTGAGGAGTCGGACTAGTTCGTCCGCGTTGCACTGGGACGAGAGCACCGTGAATCCGCAAATGTCAGCAAAAAGAATGCTGCAAAAACATAACACTTTTCAAGATTACGTTACGCTCATCGGTGCAGCAGGCACATTAACACATAACCCCGAACCGCGTTAACAGTAATCGTAAAATCGAATTAATGTACTACGTTAGCTAGGCTAGAAATGACATCGACACATGTGCTATACGTTAATATATTCTGGCAGAATTCATGTGGGCTTTTTGAAGACGTTTAACGGTAATTACCAATACCATAAGAAAATACTATACGTTGCAGGTCATTTTACTGTAGCGATTTGCCATAAAAAATCGAATTGCACACGAGTCGTCGAGTGTACTGAATAACTGCAATGATTTACGGACTCGTACTGATTAATTAACAACGTTTATGGTTTGTGAATGTAAATAACAACGCAAACAATTGTAGTTTTTAGTTCCACTCCAAAATTTAAAGTTAATTAAAACTTCGCAAAATGAATCTAAAACTGTGCTCTCGGCTATGCTTATACTCAGTATTTCATTATTGACGTACCGGTACAAAGTGTTTGACAAGAGACATTTGTATGTAAAGTCATATTACAAAAATCAGAAGGAACAGAGTAACTTAATTCTGCATTACTAGTAAAAATTTGTATGATACAATACGTTTTTCTTTGAAATGTGCGTTTCGATCAGTTTTCTGAAAACCTGAAACCATAATTGCATGGCATCCGAGAGCGAAATACAAAGTAACAAGTAAAACCAGAGCAAAAGGAAAAACAACAATTTCATTAATGCTCTACCCGCAATGAAAAAATTAAGCATCGCACAAGTAACTCGAACACGATAAAATGTGCGGTACCAAGTTGTCGGATTACAGCAAAACTGCTAACCTGACGTTATCGTGGCGCTGAATATAAATCTTGTGGAACATGGAATCGTGCGGTTTTCCAGCAATGTCAGCTTTCATTTCCATTGCCACATGTCTTGGCAGAACGGAAAGTAGCAAGCGCTCCTGGAAGACAACACTCAAGAACGTTAATTGCATGCGACGGGAAAGTAACGCCCGTGTGCTCAAAATTTAGCGTGGTTACGAGATTAATAACACACACGTACACATGTGTGGTGAGATCAAGCTTATAATACAAAGTGTGGCTTATAAGGCCATTAGGCTTATACAGGTAACAAGAAAGCGATCACAGCGATATTAAGCACGCACTAAATCTTGACAGGAAATCGATATTTTTACCAATACGCAAAACAAAGCCGGCTAGAGGGAATATCCATAAATAATTCACACTTTCGTCGGAGTTACATAATTAGTACTGGCGCAAACACCCTCACCAAAAACATTCTACTTTTTGCAATACTCTACGACATCGTTTAACAAATGAATGCAACACATTTAAATTACAAATTGTAGGATAACTTACAATCTACTAAACACCGTCGTGAGATGCCTAAAACTTTTTGCTAAGAAATAAAAACTGTTTATATTTTGATACATAATTGCAGTTCATAAGTACTACAGTAGCTAAAAGATGGTTGGCAATTTTAATGTGCAACTATATCAATTCTCTTTAACACATACAAAAAGCAAAAAAGTTAGTGATGATAAATTTTACGCGTAACAAATTGAGACAAATGGTATTTTTAGACGATGTATGACATTTTCTTGGCATCTCGTGATGACAGAATGCAGACAAATGGGCCAATAAACATCAGAATGTTATTTTGTTGAGACATTGGCAAATTAAAAGATTCAACAACGTCATTGATCATTCGCACACAACAGCACAACTGACCCGTGAATATATATAATATACCGGTTTCCCTCTTCCCTTACTTGTTGTTCGTTTTCCCTTTGTGATTGCAAGCGGGATTCAATACACTGCCGTGTCTCCAGAAATGCCTGCCTTTGCGTGACTTCCGTGGCGAAATGGGTAAAGATTCCGGCTAAATGAGATCCTGCGGTATATGGAACATGGTAATTACCTGATCGCCCTGTGTGCAATGCGGAATCTCAGCGTTAAAATCAGCTTCCCCGCTTACCCACGAATATCAACAGATTGGCCGCCAGCTGCAACAGCACAACACACTACTGCAACATGCATGTGAAACTATAACAGCGGAACAATCTTAGGCGCAACCGGATCAGCTATGCTTCGATACGCTTCATTATCGCATTAGTTTAATTTGCTAACGCGATACACGCGCACAGGCGCTGTTTTTGGAAGTAATTATTTTATAATCATTAATCTTTGTCGGTATCCGATCGCCTCTCCTTTCGGAAATATGAGATCCAGTTAATTTTACCTTATGTAAACAAATTTATTATGTCACTTGACTGTATTGCAGTAGATCATGTACCGCATATAAACTGCTGTAAAATAACGATGAGCGATTTTGCCAGTTAAATCAAGAAGATACGGATATGATTATTAAGACACGTAGTCAATTATTTAAACAATCTTTATTATTTTGCTCATTATCTGTACAGTAGATCATTCGATCGTACGGTGGAAACAGCGTAGTATTTGATGAATAATGTAGTACTTCTAACGTAACTAAAATAAAGCCGGGCAACCGTTAAAAATCTTGTAATATTATTTAAAATATTTTTATGCATTCTTGGCATTAAAAGAGCTGGCGGTGGTAGCTAATCCACATTGTGAGTTTCTGCCTAATTTTTCGGCTACCTCTTGACATTCATGACATGTACGCAGAACACTCTGGATAACAATGTAACAATACGTTCAGCATGCGGTTCGATTAAGGAATTGGCAGTGTTTCCGTTCGAATGCGAAAATATACAAAAAAACAGCTGAATGGGCACGATGTAAAGTAACACAGTTGAATGCCACTATAAATGAGTGAAAAGTGCGTAATCAGTGCTCTTCAAAACAAGTTCATCTGAAAAGGAGAAAAAGTGCGCTGCCGCGGTTATAGGAGAAGTTTCAGTAGCGTAAAATGTATATTATTATTTCTGCATCAAACCGGATTAGATCGAGATACCATTTGTGTCCAATGGGCCACAACAAATGAGCTGAGGATGAAGGAGCAGTAAATCTATTACCACAACAGACGACGAAATGCACTTCCCAATATTAGGCATGCTTTACACCCAGACCCTGAATGCTAAGTTTCCGGTGGCACACAGCGTTACAGTATCCGGCATTGCAGCTACACTCTTAGCTCCTCATTAATTAATGACCGCTATTGATTTTCCCTCATAGGGATTATATCCCCTACAAAACAAACCGCTCTCTCCCCGTTCGGATTAGCTGTGACACTTTTGACAGATAGTCTTAAAGAAATTAAACAGCTGTTACAAAGCGGCGCAAACACGTATGCGTATATGTGCGGTGTACCTCCTGCCAAATAGACGCGGCACTGCTGGATACAGTCAGAATCAGGACCGATGTGAAGTGTACCACACAGATCGCCACACCACCCAGAAAGGAGCCCAGGATCCAAATGGGTAATAAAGTATAAGAGCAATATATGAAAAATATTACAGTCCATACGCCGGTTGTCGGACTGACGGGATAAGACTCGAACATGACCAGCACCTAGAAAATAACAAAATAATAAGCTCGGTAAACTCCACGTGCAAGGCAAGTGATATACAATATACGCTCGTAAAGTATGCCGACAATTTCAGCTAACTTTAACAACAGTTTTGAAATGTATTTCTCAACATCTAACGGAAATTCATGTACAACATTGTATGAACAGTTCCCAAAGCAGCAAAGATTTGCGCACGTAGCTGACCCTATTAATTACTGGTACACCGGAGATGAATTCAATATTTATAAAAGCATATTGTTACAGGATCATCCTGTCAATACATAATTTGAACGTGGGTAGCTCTTGCACTAATTTAGTTATTACTTTTGTGCTTCGTATTCCAAAGCCCACCCAAGCAGGTATTCCAAGCGGTAAAGTAAAGGATGAAACTTTTTATATACGGATACATACCTGAATGCCCAGCATGATCATTATCAGCGAATACGACGATATCGAAAGCCATAATTGATGGAAGAACTTCCTTTCAACTACCACTTCCAGGATAAAAAATATCACAAATAGCACAGCATAGCCGATTCCGGCTAACGCCGTTGTACGTCCACCGGAATAATGGAATGCCGTCAGAAGTCCAACAAAGACCATAAATATTAGCAGCAGTGCCGCTAATCTTCCTTGATTCGGTCGAAGGACATATTTCTAAAAGTACATATACAAGTAGTGGAAGCACACACAAGAAGGGAATTTATTGTAACAGTTAAGATACAACGCACTTACCTGGTATAAGTGTTCAAGCTTTTGGGTTGTAAACTTTCTGGAACGGATGAACTTCCGGAACATGATATCGAAATAATCCGTTCTGCCTTCCGAAAAATGAATTATCACAGAGCAGCTGTTCCTGTATCCGTACGGTGAAATTAGAGAAAACCACTTGCGGTATTATGACACCAATAGGGAAATTTTTTATCAAAGTGACTAAGTCAATATAGGCACATTTACTCGTAGCCGGTTATAAAAGCGTTTGGGTTAGAAAAAATGTTGAATAGATCATTCTTACACCCAGTAGAGGAGGAAAATGTGGAAATTATTGAGCCGGGCGTACCCCCGGCTTTTTATTTGCTTTCGGCTGCCGTATTGGCGCTACATTCAGGATCAATCGCTAGTTGTGCCTTTGTATTACGAGCCACGGTTCCGCTATGGCTTGCGAGGTTGTACAGTGCATATGTATACGCTATTATGTCCAATCCCGTTCAATACTTACTACATAGCTAGCTCGCTCTATTACAACTCGATCGGCACAGGCCAAAACCACCGGGAGAAACTGCCTTCTCTTCCACATATCCCCAATGTTGATGTTTTAGTCATCTTTTATTTGTTGTGGCTACTGGTTGCATACGGAAGGGGAGTGCGTACACCGCGCAGCAATGTAAATGTGCTTTATTTAACTGGAGAACAGTAAATCCTCACTTTCCACTACGCTGCTTCGTGCTTGCATTCCCATTGCTAACCGGTAAGGTAAAAATGCAGAGTTGGTAATTATGTCGATGTGCCTCGCCAAAAAATATCTGTATTAGAAAAACGGTATTAATTTTGTGTATTCTGCAACAATACGATAATCATTCCACACAGAACCGCATTAAAAAATTTATATATACAGTAAATACACCAATGAAACACTTGCAGCTAGTTTAAAGTAATTAGGAGTTGCGGTTGTAAGTTTGCGAACACAGTAAGTAGTCCAGAAGCCAAAAACCATTTTTATCATTCCATCACACCGTACTTCCGGTCGGAGTATTATTTGTGACCGGCTTAAAACGAGCACACTTTTGGAAGAACACTCCCGATATCGATGTCGTATTCGCTTTATGCACCGGCAATCAAAATTACAGCTGGTTTTGAAAAATTAGTCAAACAAATAAGATTGTTGAACACTTGGAGAATCTGTATAAACTCGGATTCATCTGTGATACAACCAGACGCAGTACTAACAAACAAATTGCTGCACACTGCTGTACAAACTTTATGGGCAATCCAAACAGGCCCGAAAAAGCTCGGTACATAAAATTTGTAGCCCAAAAAACTTGTCTTAGCACCTAGTTTCTTTAGTAATTCTTATTAATTTTGCAAAAAATAACTCGAAACATTCGTATGTCTTTTTTGCTTTGAACTGATCTTATATCAACCTAAAAAAACTGATTTCGCATTGCATTGTAGGCTGACCGTGAATAGCTGATTTTTTCAACTTATTGTGTCGGACATTAAATAACTGTCCAACAGTGTTTAGATTTACAACTGCACATATAGCACAATACACGCTTTCGTATTGCGCAGTATCAGGCGCAACAGTTCCAGCAAATTATGTGTGCGAAATAAATAAAATTAATGCGCCTCCCAGAAACGAAGCAATCCAGCAAGTTCCTTCCATAGGAAAACATAATATTATCAAAGTGCGCAAGTGACGCAAAAAAAACGAGGCAAAAACATCGAAGATTGTATTCGAGTGCAATTGAATTGCTGAATAATTATTATCGTACAAACACGATAAAGCCAAACTCTTTATATCGAAAGGGTGGCCTTGGCCTGGTCGGTTACCGCAGTTCTTTAGCAGCTGATAAGGAGCCGAGTGTGGAATGTCGGGAAGCCCTAGCAGGGACAGTGATACTGCTCCCGTAAACTCCTTGTCCCAGTGTGAATATGTTAAATTCTGCAACAGTTTCGGCACGGTATAAAAGAGAAAAAAAATCCTTTATACCGTGGTTTCAGCTTCGGAGTTGCAGGAAAATGCAGTTCCGATTCAAAAATGTATACTCGTGCAACTGCTGAGCTTTTTATGCCCATAAATATACTCGTACATGGCATTGATAAGTTTAGTGTACCGGTATATAAGAAAAACTTTTACTATAAAGGTTTTTATTGTGCACAATAAACTAATCAGTAACTCGTATACTCTCAGTCACAAAACGCTCAGCAGTTATATACGGTTTTGAATCGGATCTTATAAAACTTTTATAAAATCTGAAGGTGTGCTGCGTAATTAACCGACAATATTGCACAACTGTTTTGTAAACGCTTCTCTTACATCCCGAGAGCAAAAAAAAAATATCACAGCGCTTCAAGTTACCAGGCATTGTTAGATGTCGCTTTCCGAGTCCGAACCCGAACTGAGTTTTTTGTCGCTGAAATTTCTGGTAACCCCAAAGACGTGCTACTTTGTAGCTACTCAGCTTGCCGAAGCTTCATAGCTTTTAAACGGTAACCTTGCAGCCGTCTCCATGGACCCATTTGGTCAAATGGTCAAAATAGAGTCCGGAAGAAAAATACACCGCGCAACTTTGGGACAAACCATCAGCAATATTAGTAATAAAACCGGCGACATCAGCAAGAAAGCCATGACCGACTGATGTCACACGGTGGTCCGAGGTTTTTATCATTCATGCACTGGCAAGCGCTATTTTATTTTAGTTTCATCAATTTAAAATACAATCACTCCGTATGTAAGGTCGGCACATGACCGATTCGCAAAATGCACGATGTAGGAGATTCAGGTCTGATGCACTAATAAATTATAGGAGCTTCTTGTGATAAGTAAGTACGTATAAACAACAAAACCGCATGTCGGTATAAATTTTATTTAAATGCAGCAATAAATGATTCGGAACTATTACACAGAATACAAATTTTCCTAATCGCATCTGCTGCAAAAGCACCAGTTAAACACGCCTTAGTGGGCGAACCCGGCGAAGTATTGTGCAATACGTATGCAAACGAGTGCAGTACTTATTTATGCCGGATGCGTGCAGGTTAATCCCTTGCTGTAAGTTACTGGCAACGGTTACGTATTCATTATCATGTGCATTTTGTTGCGTTAAAATCCACCCAAATTTTGTTTTATGCCACAACTTTCGTTGACATCGCATCATGAATATTAACCACGCCTAACCGTAACAGAATCAGCATATATGCGCATATTTACACTGTGCAGCAAAATCGTAGTCGAAAGGTCAAGCTCCAAGGGATTTGTTGCCGTAACGTAATGTATGAATGTTTGATTCGGGTGTTATGCCTTTTGGAACACTAGTAGCACAGCATGAAATTTTAATCTGACCACTTTGAATTAGAAATTACTTACCTATGTGCGGAAAGTGTCTTTACTTGGAAAACTCTATCAAAACTCCAAGCTCAACTCTACGCGCAGGTGACCTTGCACTGGATTAAGCGGAATGTATTTTAACGCTACGCCGTCGCTCATGACTGGTTAACAATAAGCAATTTCATGATAATAATAATATCAAAATACAAAAACAGTGTTAACGTAAACACTGTGGAAAAATGGCTTACAAACAGAAAACCAAGAAAAGCTTTCTCCAAAAGAAATTCAAGTTTGCATAAAAACACAAAATTAAAGTAATAAGAGTGTATTGATATAATTATGGCAATAATCTGGTTAGTCAGATTTTAATTTTCTCGGCTGGTTTGTCACTGGTTTTCAGCAATCCTAAAGTGTTCCTTCTCAGCAACGCCGCAACCTTGCCTTTGGAATTCTTTTTTACAATTGGGCACGCAAAATTCACCAGTGATTTGCTGGAATCCTGCTTAGCCTTATTTATAGGGCAGTTTTTCCCTGGCATTTCTATATGGGGTTTGTTGCGGTGCCGGTACAATGCATCCCGAAATTCAGTGAAAAACCGGCTCAGCGCTTCCTGGGCTTATAAGTTTTCTGGTGTCAGAGAGTGCGATCGACATCAAATCCTACAGTACGTCGTACTTGGTACCTGTCAAGCGGATTTCCGGTGACGGTTGGTCCGGACTGACCGCTAATATTTCCAGTCTGACGTCTTCCAGCCGGCGTATTCGCTTTTCGAGTTCCGACGACAAGTATAGCTGCTGGCGCTGCATATAACCATATAGTTCGGTGACTTTACTCACGACTTCCAATCCTGGCGCAATCCATCGAACGTTGTATTCCCGAACCTTTGGTCTAAACAATAAGCATAGTATCATAGTATCAAACGCAAACCAATCAAAAGGTTACTGCCGATAGATAACTGCCGCTGCCAAATAATCTATCTCAGATAAATTAATACACAACCAGTGATAATTATTACTGGTAAGTATTAATTCAATGGAAATTCCCGAACGGTTTCTGGTAATTTAATTACTCTAGCAATAGCGTTAACAATCCCATTATTAGCTGTGAGGTACAGACTGTATACGTTTCATTCTCGTACCCAAATTACACAGACTATTTTATTGTATGCATAGACTATTTTTGCAAGAGGCACGAAACAAACTAATTGAAGTTAACGCTTTAATCGTTAACTTGCTTTAGCGGCGTAAGAGAAAACACTGGCACGGCTGATCTCTCGTTCTGCGACGGGCAAACACGCTGGACTTTGCGCGGATCTGCTGCCTTCCTTCTATTGTCGTGGAATGTGGAATCTACCTATTGACCAGCGGATCTCCTGTCTCTTCTCTGCATGCGACCGTTCGAGCTGCCCTGCTTTCCAACAATAGCCACCCTGCTCCTTCATCGACGGCCTGCTTGGTGATGGTTCCTGTCGTTTTCAGTGGAGGGCGGCCTAGTTTTGTTGCTGATTTTCCACAGATGGCATATTGAATGTGTGTTAAGTTTGTGACTTTTGCATTTTGTCTTCTGCAGGCGGATTTGATTCAAAAGTTGTTCATTGACTGCTTGAATATTAAATTTCCGTGACCTTTAGTGTTATCGAAATTTACCTGCCTTCCCACCCAGTTGCATGCTACCAGCGATTTTGATATCTACTAAGCATTCACACAACGGTGTAACAATTTCTGATTAAAGGTCTGTCCTCACTCGCGCAGCTTTCTCGCTATGGTACGCGCAGAAGGGCACCGGAAGGCAGTATCATCTCCCTGGCCACGAATCAGGGGAAGCACCTAGCCACGCATCATGTGGTGGTCCCAACTCCTTGGGTGCGAGTCATCTGGCCATGCATCAGGTGCCTGTGATGGCACAGACGCGCACACGCATACGCATACTGTACACTCCTTCCCGTGCGTGTTCTGACGATACCACGAGACTCAACGGCCGAGCTGAGTCTGGCCATTTAATGCCCCAAACCATTTGTCGGCGTTTCTCGAACATAGGCGTTAATGTGATGTTACCAATAAACGCTATTAACTGTGAGTAGTAAGTCTGCAGGAAAAAAAATTAGAATAGTATTACGGACGCACTTTTCATCCGGATTTTGTCCACCGGCTCCGGTTATGCTTTTCCTGATTTCTCGCTGTGCGATCTGAACCATTTTTTTGACCGCATTTGGCTGGATAATAAATATTTCAAATGCGCACTTAGTCGTTCTTTCTCCGTTATTTCCCCGTTTGATCAACTTGCAAATGTACACATCGGAGTCTTTCAGTTCCCTGTGATCTCTAACGTAGGGTGACAGTTCCCAGTAGTAATCGCCAATGGGCATCTTTTGCTCATTGGGTGGTTCCAGCGGAAACCGAACCACCTCTTTCTCCACTAAAAACCTCCCGGTGTATACCAGAAGGTTCTCTTCCTGGCGAATCCATTTGTCAATTTCTATAAATGCTTATTGTTTTAGATTCTCATCTCCAAATAAGTATGGAATATTAATCGTAGCATATTTACATAACAAGCAGCAACCAAATGTTGTGGACATGAGGCAAAAATGTATTTTGGTATACGTTTATCAAATATATTTTGGTACTGGTATATAAATATCAAAAAATGGCAAATTGTGATCACGTTCAATTTGTATACTATTCAACAGCTATTTAGTGCTGTTCCCTAAGGTCAACCGACAATTGGTAGTATTAGTAATGTGGAATTACGAAGCCGTTCAAAATTGCTGAAAGCAGTTAGAGAAGACCATTAGTTCTTACTAATATTACGATATCTTTGAGGAATGCAATCTAACCATGCACGAAAATCAACTACTCCGAAACAGTTGGCTTGAATGGGTTCAGTGGATACGGTGCCCGTGGTCTCCGGAAATCTCACTCGGATCTGCTCGATTAAACTTTCACGAACTAATGTTAAAAGTGGAACATCCGGTATCGGTTTTTTTGTTAGCATAGCCTGCGCTATAGCCGAGCGCAGAAGTTCCATCACGATAAAATAATGACACCTGTTAAAATTCTAAAGCAGTGCATTAATTTTATTAGATAGTTTGCATACAATCACTGCAAGACTCAATCTATAGCGCCGCCTTGGTATGACATAATAGTTGCTAAAAATTTATTTTTACGCACTGGCATACAGTAGTAACTAAGTGGTTACTATGGAAAGCGGTCGCGTTTTCTTGTATAAAACCAGTGCAAATGCAATCAGCTTACGTATATTTGAATACGTGAATCGTAAATCCTCTCTAGTTTTTTTAAACTGAATAGCCAGATTCTGAAACACTAACTACAGCAAAATAAACCAAAAAAACAGGTACAAAACCAACGTACAAAATATAACAAGAAGTACAACAAAGAGTTCATTGTCTTCACTGGATTACTATAAATGGCACCGGTAAACTGATTGCACTGCAATTCAGAAACAGAGAATCTGAAAAGAGCAGTCACAGGCAGTTTTTAACAATCACCATCCCAATTTTCCCAGTCGAATGGAGGAAGTAGGAACGTCAAATTCGAATGCTTCCCGAAAAATTTTGAAATATGCTAGCAAGGAATGCCACCCGCAATTCATCCAGGGGTTACATAATACTGTAAACCTGCAACGCGCACAGTGCGGTGTCTATCCGGCTATCTGACAACGACCGGCGGTTCAACGGGTTGCGGTTCCGCCGTGACCGCGGCCTCCATCTCCAGGTCTGGCTGGGTCACCGGCGCATCTTTTTCGCTATCAGCTGCGTCCTCGAACTTTAAATCTTTGACTTTGAAAAACACCTATATCGCATAATGCATAACTTAACTCAACAAGAATACAAGAAATAGTACATTTACTATACGCTAGGCTAAACCCAAAGCGATTATTACAATTATTGCAACATAGATCCGAATTCCCGGATAAATGGTATTTAAGACTTACGTAGATTTCAAGAAATAACACCAAAAGCTTGCAGCAGGCCACCGCTAAATGCATACGAAAGCGAAATTTATCCGTGTCGTAGAGCAGACACGATCCCTTCTCGCCACAAGCCCGCTCTTTCCATAATACACATGTGGAATCAATGATGGTTCCCATAAGAATCGGTGCAGGAAAATATCCTGTCCAAAAAATTATAGTTACATGTATTAGATTTATATTATAATTATTGTGGCCCTAATTTAGCAAGCAAATTATCAACCAGCGTATCAGCGTATGCCGTATGGTGTATTAACACAATAGGGCATACGCTGCTCCGTTTTTAATCAAAACAGTTAGCAATTACCAAATGCTGACATCATTAGTGCAGAAACTGCATTAGCCATGGATTTAAGTTCCGGCTCCACAAGCCGAAAGGTCAGCATAATCGTCCCGGACAAAGGGAAACTTGCGATGGCTTTCAACAGAAACATGACTGAAATAATAAGAAAGTCAACAACCCTAATGTTTCCATTGTAAACCTATAAAATCAGAGTTTGCGACGCGAAGGTAATGTGGAAGGTTTATTATCTTCACGGACAACACTGCTAAAATCATAGTAGGTAAATGTTAAACTATGGTAAAATACTGCAGCACTGTTACGAGGCACTTACGTAAATTATATTTTGATCAATACCCGCCCACAAGTGGAAAATATTTACATATTAATTTTTGAAGTACCTGTTACGTAAATGTAGAAGTTAACACAAGTGTTCTTGCAGAAGCCGGTTGTAAAGCCCGACGGTTGTTGTACAAGCGTGAAGTTATACGGCTCAAGGTCATGGGTGTCGGCGGCGGCACACTTGCAGTTTGCGTATTGCTTAACCTAAAAAATCAATTGAATTATAACAATATTATTATGCAGGTTATCTTTTTATGCAAAACGCACAACGAAATAATGCCCACACAAAAAAGGAACCTACCCCACTGTCCTGGTACGTCACCCCGGAACACCCAGCGTGACACGGTGAAAAATAACTCTCGTGCGTCGCGGTGTGACACACCGGAGCAAAATCCTTACGATTACAGCCGCAGGACGTCCGGCAGATATTCGCTTCAGAAGCATCATCGCTGTTACTGTAAAAAATAAATGCACATGAGTGAGTGAAATGACACATAAACTATAGCGAATTTCCGCGCGTTTCTGCGAAAGTTAAAAAACCGTATTTTACATTAAGATGACACAATTTCTTTATTAAGCATCGGGTAGGGAGTAAGAGCGCGAAAAAAGCGTTTTACATCTCCAGTATGTAATACTATTCGAACATGTTTTGAAATGATAAACTAAACTGCTGTGTAGCTGACTTAAAACTTTCAAGCGCACAGCCCACGAAAACTGCGCAAAATCGCTTGAGTATGATAAATAATAATAATAATTTAATGAACTGTTAATTAATTACTGGCAGTTTTATTAATTTAAAGGGTTTTTCAGAAATCTTCAAACATTGCTGGAAACGGCTTACCTCACTGCGACATCCCAGTTTCCAACTAACTGGACCTGATCACATGATAAACCAATGGCAATGAAATGTGCAGCAGAAAACGCCACTGCAGACAGGATAAGCATTAACGAGATATGCTTGGGCTGGAGACGATACCGTTTGATGACAATACTTCCAGCAATAATTCCCACTGCAGCCGCCATTACTCCTGAGAGACCTAACTCACAAGCAACACGGTTATTAATAACAATGAAACTTTAAGAAATTTCAAAATTTAATTTAAAGTACGCATTTAGTGTATGGTATGCTTAATTTTACATCGGTGCTTCCGTGTAATTTGGATTGCAGTTAACGGCAACAGCTGCATTTCCACGAGGTCATCTACAGTATTTTACAAAAAGTTTAACCTTCACTCACCGCTAGCGATACTAGCCGTACGCGGACCCAGATGATACTGTGCCGCCAAAAATTTTGGCAGGAAATTGAAGTATCCGGAAATAATCAAAGCAGCTAGCACCTTGCACACAATGCGGGCCATTAATGGGGCATTCACAACAATTTTCTTTAAATTCCGTGGTAGATCTAGAAGCAGCAGCACATATCTGTAGTCCTGATTATTGATTAATGCTATTAATAAATCTGTTAAAACAAAAAGACAAACCTTTTATTGTTACCGGTTTCTCCGTTAGGGTGGCTTTATTCGTATTGACAACACCGTCTTCGGCGGTTTTTCCATTCGATTCTGGCACACTGGCCGGGAAACACATCATGGTCAGAGTGGCTATGCACATGCCTAATCCGGTTACGAGGAACCCCAGATACCATGCCGATATCCAGCGTGGATCAGTGGCAGCAAATTCCGGGACTATAAAAAATTCAACTTAATCTATGATAAATCGGGATCATTGCTTATGTTAATTGCACTGGTAAATGTACAAATAAAACTGGCTAAACTCGACGTCACTTATATGCCGATGATGTAAATCAACGTAATTTAAGGTACTCAACTGCTCAAATCCACGTATAGAGAATTGCATAGTGCACCAAGTGCAAACCCCAGAAGTGGTCCGACTAGACGCCCAGAAAATGACAGACCTAAAAAAAACAAGGCCCAGTTATAATATTGCAGTTAATTTTGTAGAGAATATTTCTCCAGAGAAAGATGAGAGGTCACACCGGTGTATTCAGCTTAGAAAATATTATCGGATGTTTTTGATAACATGTTAATTATTGTATCGAATAGAGTAAAGGAGATTAACACATATGGCATACCGAAATATAGGGCGGAATTTTTATTCCGTACATTATCGTCAATAAACGGTAATCCCAGCACCCACGGTGTGGTGGCGCCGATGCCCAGAAGGAACTGTGCCACACAGAAAATCAGTGGTGGCAGTATCCCATCCGAGGTATACTCGGTTGTGCATTGCACCGGCTCTTCGTCGCCGTCCGTTTCGTTCAGCACCACAGCTGCCGTGCAGAACTGTTCGCGAAATTTTGATCCCTTCCCGGCGGTGTGAGTCACCAGCATATCGGAATCGGTTCGCGGTGTGACCAGTTCCGGTAAGGCAAACAACATGAGTGCCACGCCCAGTATGAAAGATCCCAATGCGATCCAGCGCGGCCGATGTCCCCGACCGCCGAAATGGCCCACCAACAAGGCCACCAGCACGTGACCCACATCGTTGATGGACAGAATCAGGCCCATCATTTTGGAACTAAGGTTGAATCGTTTTTCAATGCTGGGAACTAGAAAACATTTCAGATTTATATTATACGACGTGATCAAAAACCAGTTCCCGGCTTTTTCCGTAACTCGGCATCTGATACTTACTGACGGAACTGAAATAGCTGTTGCTCATCCCTAAAATCAGAAGATTTTTAAATGTCGATTGAGAAACTAGTCAACAAAATCGATTATATATTTCTGCGCCGCGCTACTGCAAAAAATTAACTTATTGTCACGAATGAAAATGAAACAATGGCATATGACATCGTAATTACCGTATAAATACACACACGTTTGAGATACGCAATCATTGGTTTGAAAATATCCACTGAAGTTGTGAAAAACATTCTGACGACCAGTTTATACATTCCCAGCACAGTTTATAAAAAACGATCATTGCTTACCGTGAAATAATCCCAGCAACGTGAAACACACCATGAAAATCTTCATATTGTTGAGACGCTGCAGACATGGCGGGCGGAAACATAAGACACCGCATTCGTGTTTGACGTGGTCTCTGTGGCGATCCCCACTCCCAGTCTGTCCACGATCAGTGGAATTCATATTGGGGCGCTTTTGAAAAAAATCCACAAAACGCAATTGCGACTGAGAGATTCTGCAGCAAAGCACACTTTGCCGCGGGTTAATCGGACCAGTTTACAACACCGCCAACACTACGTTAACACTAATCGGACAACTGTCCATTCGACACCGCTCTATGTATTGCATGAATATCGAGATCTGCTCTCGCTGTAAAGCGACGGGCTTTTAAACTTTTACTTGACCTACACTAGCAACGAGGTAGAGGCTTGCCCAAACTGCATAATGCATCGCACCAATTTTTTTTATCGGTGGATGGTGTCAGTTTAAGTGCTAGCGCACTATACAATCTCCATGATCCATAATCAAACAAATATACATCGCGCGCTATTTACCAATGACAGCCTTCAAAATTTTCGAGGAAATCCGCAAACAATCGCATAGCGAATCAATCACTTTCATATTTGCAAACCAGACTTATAAAATTTCCAGTGGACGTTGTCCTTTCCGGGTTAAGTAATTCCAATTTGATAATAATTCCAGATTATGCAAAATGCAACATCGATTAGAAAGACTACAGTATAACAACCACACTAAATACTTTGAAGAGTAATCATGTCGTATGAAGCAAAGCCAAATCAAAATCGAATTAAAAAAACCGATAAAATTTATTATCAGTGACTGGTGTCTACGAAAACTCACAGTCATTAAATAAAGCACATTCCAATTTTGACACAGGTAAATCCGTACAACCGTGGGAGACACAGAAAAGTCTCAAATGCAAGACGATAACTCAAAAAGCGCAAAACTGTAAAAAAACATCATCACAGTTTCAAAAATCGAATTTAGAAAAACCCGCATTTTAAACTCGTATGTAACGCTTCTAAATTACAAAATGTGCGGTAGCTTCCAAACAGAAACAAAGCATCGATCCACAAACCCAATAACTAACCTGCAGATTTCCTTACTTTCGAAAATTCATTCTACTCATGGTATTTTTATGCATGGTCACCCATTTCTTTTTATTGAGCGGGACAACTTTACAGCAGTATTCGCGCTTCTTTTCGTCTTCTTCGTGGAAATACGCCACATCCGTCGGGCGAAACTGCACACCATCATGGATCATCTGCAGACAGATACGAGCCAGATTCCGTGCATCATCGATGCCGCTATGCAATCGTCCTTCCGGCTGCAAGCCCAAATGCTCCAGCATGCCATACATTCCAGCGCGCTCCTTGTTCGAATCATTGAAGAGATAAATCCATTGAAAGAGTTTCGGAATATGGACAAACATTTTACAATACGCCGGAGGGGATAGCTGGCTGGCTTTCAACTGCCACGATAAAAACAGACCGATATCAAAGCTCCTACAAACAAACCAGTGAGTAATATCCAATATAAAAAAGCTCCGAACAATTTAAGCAAAGCTACAACAAGAAATTATTAAGGCCACGCCAAATATTATCAACGATACAACATCTATCTTTTAGCGGCATTAATTTACTTCAATAATTCAAGTTTAAGGCATTTTTCCACACAATTTTAACTGTGTGTTGTTTTAACTATTTTTAACAGCTTTCCATACAATTTTAACTGTGCCCTGGGAAGTTACACTGCGAAGTGCGAAGCGATAACCATGGATAATTATACCTTGAAACCAATATAAACGCCAACGAAAGCCTGTTTGTTACGTATATGTATTCGAGCGACATGATAAAATATTCGGAATTTTTGCAGCACTTTTTGCTCACAATCAACACATGAACATTATGCTCATTTCAGCTTACCCATCTGTGGCAACACACCATCGGGTTTTGCGATTCAAATCGTATCTAATCAGCCACTCTTCGAATTCCTTTAACACAACCGCAAAGGAGTCAGCTCTGTCCACTTGTTCCTGCGATATTCCTGTCAGCGTCTTACAAAAGTCTGATAGAATTCGGTGCTTCACGGGTCGGCAATACCGGTGAAACGAATCCAGCTGAATAAAAAAACAAAATAAACACATCAAAACATTTCTTTTGGTTGTTTCGAAAAGGAGGTACTTACAACACACCGATTGCGTATATCGATGAGGACGGCTGGGAATTCTATAATTTCTTGCTCATATGTGCCAGCTCGTTTGTTCTCATAGCACGTGGCTTCGAAATCAATCACAATCAGGTAGTCTAGTGCATACTCAGGTTTCAGGCCAGGTTTTCGTTTTTCGAACAAGGATAAGCGACTGTGCAAAACGGGGCCGCTGCCGCTGTGAAAAACAACTTTGTCAGTTTTTAATTTTACCCGTACTAATCCATAATTCGTTTCTTAGTTCTGATTAATTTTGTGTGAACTTAATTCAATCAATAGAGTTACTGCACATACAGATACATTCAATTTCAAGCTCAAGTAACTTACATGGTTGATAGTCCAAGTCCTTGTAATTTTTCGACGACTTGTGCCAATATTTCCGGAGACAATGGATTCGGTTTTTCTGCTTCGTCAAGATCATTTAAGACTGGCAATAGTTCTTCATTACCTGCCGCCTTTTTCTCAACATCATCACATTCGGCTTTTGCGGCAACTTCCTCTGATTTCTCAGTCATCTTACAGGAGCTGGAAAGGGAATCACAAACAAAAAACTACAGTATGCAGTCCTCCTTAATGATATAGGTACTATTAAATGATACAATCATACATGTATTAGTTAAGTACGATACCAAGACAATATGCTCTAGATAATCTCGCAGTGTCACCCGAATAAAAGAACCGAAAACAAGTAAAATTCTGAAAAGACAATGACAAAAGTTACTGGTAACAAAACAAACAACATAAGTCGCCGCGATCGAAGTGACTTCCGAAAATTCGAATGCTATTTCCGTGCTCTTTCGTCACACCCCCAGGGTTGCAGTTCAAATGAGCGATCGCAGCGTATCAAGGGCAAGGGTATCCAGCGGTCACTTCCGCTGGTTTATTGTTTGTTTATTGAAACCGTAGGCAGGTAACCCATTAAAAACTAGGATCGTATTCTAGCGTGGGAATTTAAACCTGGCTCACAAGAAAACACGAATCTGGCACGTGAAGGAAGTCAGAGAAAGACCATACAGAAAGCCAAGATCGTAAAAAAAAATATGAAAGTTACGCAGCAAAGTTAAAACGTTTAAGCTCATTACGAAAAACAAAGAGAGATGCACTATCAAGGATGCCGTTTCCGTTATAGAATTCCTAAAGTTTTGTCCTTGTTCGACAAGTCGGTGTCAGCCTGTCCGGTGATCACTGAAAAGCTAATAATAAAGGCAAAGTTATACTTCCACATGATGAGAATGTACTTCAGTTTGCTGCAGAACTAATGCATCATTCGTATTTAGAGTTTAGACAGTGGCAGTGGCGGTATAATCGAAATTCCATTATCGAATTACTCGCTCTACAATACTACTATGCTATGCTCGGAAATCGGAATAACAACAACACCCTTCCAAAACTCAAAAACTGCCACTGATTGGTGAGCTTGTGTCTATCGCACTGACTATCCTAGCCGTTGCCACCGTTAATTAGTTTAGTTTCCGGTCAGCATTGCATCGGTAATTTTGTACCTTGCAGTCGACATATCGTGGTAAGGCGGAATAATTGATAGATCATCAGGACGTGCTGTTTTTAATCCACGCTGATTCAGGATTAAGTCAACACTTTGGTTATCAAAATGTAAAAGTAATTATTGCGGTATGCCGCATTTGTTTATTGCCTGTTGCTCCAGTGTCAGTACATAACAATTTTGTCATTAGTGGTGAACGAGTGATCCGTCCACACTTCGAAAGTAATAAAAATGAAACGCTTCGCGGCTAGCGACTGCATGCGGAACATACTTACTTTCTCGTATGTACGGTGCATGCAGCCGGTCTTCGGTTTCGTTATGCTTTCTGCAGAGCGTACGACAAAATAATTCTATCGTTATGTAACCGGTACGACAGCCCCAGCCTGGAGAATTTACAACGCGTACATCGGTTTTGTATCTGTTTTGTATGTGTCGAATGTTGTCAGGCTTGCGTTAGTAAACTGTAGAACGTCTAAAAAAATCCGGATTCCTGAATCTAGTAATCGTGTCCCCCAGGAATATTCAACTTAGGTATTTTCTTTGTCAGCGTATCGGATTCTCCTTGGTTAATTAGCCTACATCATGGCGATTCGCATCCCGCAGCATAAACCGTTGTTTGGTGCCTGCCGATCCGTTTTTGAAATACAATCATGGAAAAGTTTTGGCGGTTTAGAAAACACAGCTGCCAGTCAGAAGAAACATGAGTTCGCGATCCAGTCCTCTCCTGTTTACTTTTCAACTAAGGTATCAGTGTAGTTTCTTACAACATCAAGAAGTTGTGCTATTGCGTACTTGTAAGCTTGCTTTTTACGCGTTTCCCCGCGTATTGCATGCGCTAAAATATCAGCTTGTTATAACGTTTTAACGTGCGACCGGGATGTGTACGAGTATAGGGTTTCTGGTGTAAGTGTGCTTGCTTTCTTAGCCAAAGCAAAAATGCAATTACAGTATTTGCATTTTCAGAAACCATCGTCTCAGCGAACTCCCTTGTATGATTTACACACCAGTTTGGGCGCCAAAATGGTGGATTTTGGTGGCTGGTCAATGCCGTTGATTTATCAGGACCAGTCCATTTCGGAATCTCACATCCATACTCGGAAACACTGCAGTATTTTTGATGAAAGTACAGTATTGCTGACGGAAGGTCTTGCATTTTTCTCGTGTGAAGTGTATTAAATTATGATTTTCGTGTTGATATTAATTTGTGCTTATAAAAGTACCTGTTAAGTATCCCATGGTCAGCGATGGTCAGAAATTCAGCGGTTACAATACTCGTACTGCAGATTACGTTATCCTTTATGTTAACCACTACCGTAAAGACCAAGTATATTTTCCATGGCTGTATGCATCGGATTGTCTGAATAAGAAGGTTCAAAATTTGTGAATGTTTACTTTTTTGTTATGCTGCTTTTATTGTGTTGTGCAGGTGTCTCACATGCAACAGCTGGTCATTCACGGCAACGATCGGCATGAGTTCTGGGAATCTGTTTGCGTGTCGGATGTTAAAGAGCAACCGGAAAACAGCGGCACATTAAGTTTGTTAACCAACGAGAACGGTGGCATCATTGATGATACGGTGTGGATGAATACCAGTCGCGGACATCTCTTCGTTGTCGTTAACGCCGGTTGTGCGGCAAAAGATCTAGAATATCTAACGAAAAAAGTCTTGGACTTCCAGAAGAAGGGGAAGGCTGCTCAAATGGGCGTCGTGACTGTGCAGGAAAGAGCTTTGATTGCGGTTCAAGGTTTGTTGTAACGGAAATCTGTATTCATAATTGCTGTTCAGGTTCAGTTGAATTATTGCACGTCTTTACGGGTTACGGATTATATAAGTGATTGTTCACGTTCTGTTTCAGCATGACAACATTTAAAAAATTGTTAAAAGTATGTATTGGCATGGAGTTATCATATTACCCATAAAAACAGACTTTTTGTCAGTATTCTACCTATTTGGCATTATGTTAAAGAAAAATGTGCTTTCGTTCGTTTGATTCGAAGTTACGGTCACAGTGACACTTAACCTTTTGCCGTATATATGTCCTTTTTTCACTGATTAGGACCGGAAATGTCAAGAGTTATTCAACCCGGCTTAAAGGATTCGTTGGATAACTTGGAATTCATGCAGACTACGTTTTGTACATTGTACGGATTTGAGGGATGCCGAATAACCAGATGCGGCTACACCGGCGAAGATGGCGTCGAGGCACGTGCTTACACGATGGACGCTTTAGTGTTCCCATGCTTAATTCAAACTTGCTGCAGATATCCTGTCTTTCCAAAGATGCTGCGCCATTATGTGATATATTATTAAAGTCGCGTGAAGGGCAGGTACGAATGGCTGGTTTGGGAGCCAGGGATTCACTCCGGCTGGAAGCCGGTCTGTGTTTGTACGGAAACGATATTAACGAGCAAACGACACCGGTAGAAGCTAACCTGACCTGGACGATAGGTAAACCTATTAAAATAAGCAAAGAAATTTTAAAGCATTCTCAAGAAATTGAAATTGTGGGAAATATTTGCGTGATTGTAGGAAAACGCCGTCGCAAAGAGGGTGGATTTCCGGGTGCAGAGAAAATCCTTCCGCAAATCAAAAGTGGCGTGCAGAAAAAACGCGTAGGAATTATTTCCACTGGAGCACCTGCCCGAAGTAAGAAAACTTGCGAGCCTATTACGCATGACATTGTACAGACTGCATGGATGTGATTTATAAACTGGTATCGTTTGCATGTCATCCAAACAGTGCATTCGCAAACTTGGAGTTTGTCCGTTAATGTATTGTACATCTGTAGGAGTGTAAATTTTGTGTTCTGGAAATATTAATGAATGCGAAATCCTGATTTGCTGTGACTTTGTCTTTTTACAGAGGGCTATGCTATTGTCGATGAGAAAGGAGAACAAGTTGGCGAGGTTACTAGTGGATGCCCCGCACCGTCCTTGGGAACAAATATTTCGATGGGTTATGTGAACACGTCGCTGTCAAAGCCTGGTACGCCTTTGCGAATCAAAGTGCGCAACCAGATTGTGGAGGGAAAAGTTTCGAAAATGCCTTTTGTGCAGGCAAATTATTACCATGCCAAAGGACATAAACAGAGCTAATGTCTGGCGTTACTGTATTATAACGCGCTAAGCAAAAGTATGTAACTCGCTCACCTATGATTCCGTTATGTTTTTGGTTTCGCTTTCGTTCGATTTTTAGCCTGTGCAAAGATAACGGGAACTGCAGCTTTGCATCGTATGAACTGCATTCGGTTTTTTGCTACTTATTGTTAGTTGTTTGAGTTAATAATCATTTGCGCAAAAAAACCAAAGCTCCGTAGTTGTATTTGACCGGCGGTTAGCTTCATTTGCCGCATAACGGAAACACCGCGATAAATTTTATGGCGCATTAAGTTTTATTTGCCCACTAACTAACGAGATTTCAACAAACCTATTCCAATTGTGCAAGAAATATTCCACAAGCTACCGTCACTTCCACAAGCTGCAGCACAAATTATCGGACAACGAATTTGCATAAGATCAAATATTATGGGGTTTCACATTTGTAAACGATGCCACTCGTGTAACATAAATAATAAACAATAGACCTTGTTATCGACTAGATTCTGGTCCCACAGCACCCCGTGGGATGAGACCTCGGACTGACCGTCCAGCTGAATCCTTAGACTTTCTGACCATAATCATATTCCGCTCGTTAGATAAAAATTTTGCCTGAGGCTCTGAAACAGCAAGCACATAACAACAGCTCTTCACATAACAACAGCGATTTTATTTTCACATTAAACGGGCTTTTCTGAGATGCATAATCTGTCGTGGCTTACTTAAAGTGCATCATCACCAATTACGACAACACAAACCACACCAATCGCAGAGCTCACCTTCAATGACCACTTCTTCGCCAACTTCGACCGAAAGTTCACGCAGATTCCTAGCCTGATATGCCGTCCGGACTGTCGCAGTTTTGTTCATCGAAAATTTAATTCCTAAACCACAGCCAACCTTACCGCATCTGAAGCTAGGAGTACTTTTTACAAGGTTAACTATACATACGAAGCGGCTGTAAGAGGCTTTTAAGCACCGGTATCAGCGCTCGTCCAACATAAGTGCAAATTAAAGCCAAAAATCCCACCAGCGGCCCTTTCCGTCCCACAACTTTCAGATAATGCCAAAACATCCGGAATGTCACTATGGTTAACCGCACCAATGGAAATCCGCTAAGCAAATTCCATCCGTAAGCTCCGTATTCAATAGCATTTAGTAATGCGTAAAAACATCCACGCAGTGTGACGAAGGCAGCCTCTAGCGAACCCACAACCTTTACTATGGTTTTCACCGTTTTGCCGAAATTCCGGAGGTGTGTGCGAGTACGATCATCGGCAGATTTTGCCAGTGTGCATGTAAACTGATAACTGTGCTCGATATATGTATCCGTGGCCGCACCCGTCCCGCGATCCTTCCCCGTCATTCCTCCAACACTGCCGTACATTTGCAACCATTTTACCGCGTCCGGATACGGATTTACCTAAACAAATTAATTTCATAAAGCCATTCCGCTCTACCAAAAAGACAAGCGAAGCCAACAAAAAAAAATAAAGAAAATTAAGCAAATGGACGGGTCAGAATTAAACGCTGCTGTTTTCGAACCTTACCAAAAAAGAAAGCGAGTTATAAAATTAGCTAGAAAACGCGAATTTCTGGCCACAAAAATTACATACAGTTATACCGAATTTGTGCACAAACTGCGAGCACTTAAACAAATTTTATTCATAAACATCAACACAATAAATAAAATTTCTCCATAAAAGCCATAAAATCATCACTAGAAACCCCATGCACGATTCATCGCATCATATCACTGGCTTTTCATCTGCAGTTCGTGATGTTGTTTGTCTTCATGCCTATCTAGTTCTATTAAAGAGTTAGGGCCTTACCATCATCGGAAAACCTTGTCCAAATGCATTAGGAGGAAATACGCCAGGAATAGCAAAAGGATTAATTGGTTTCGGGAAATTTTCACCCCCAGCATTAATGCTGTCCATGTTAATATGCTGTTTCATTCCTTCGTGACTAGGCTCGCCAGACTCCTTCCATCCATCTTCAACAGGACCGCCAGTTTTTGATAAGCCTTTAAAAGGCTCCGAGGACGGCTTCATAGAAAGTCGAGCTTTTCGCTCCGCAGCAGGTGCACCGATGGGAAAGTATGCCGCCGCGACTTTCTGGGCTTTGGTCAATTCTGGTTCCGACTTTGAACTTGGTGCATGCACGTCGTCAGGGGCATCTAAAGGGAAGTAAGTCGACGAAGTGCCCGGAAAGAGCGATCCTGACAAACCTGCTAAGGATACACATTTGAAGGTGACTGTAATCTTTTAAATCTCGGTGTCTCATCAAGTCAGTCTTCGTGCGAAGGTGCACTCATACTCTTTCGATCATCAATCTGTCGGTCCGTCTGCGGGCCTCGCTCTTCCATGTTCCCGAGGAACGCCTTTTCAGCTGCCACTTTCCCGATATCGTGATTCATGATTTCAAACTTGTCCATGTGATAGCTGCGATACTTCTCCTGTCCCCTGCCCGTAACAAGAATTTTCCGAAATGTTTCTAATTAATCACAAAGAGAAATTATTCAATCAATCAGATTCAAGCAAACGCATGCTGGCCGCAAACAAGTGCGGAACAGCCGGACTGCAACCAAGCCCCAAGGCAAAGAGTTTCCTTACTCTTTGTATGGTGTTATACTATTTACGCAAAAGTCTTAACTGAGCAAGACAAGAAACCATTCATTTTCAAACACCAGAAAACTGGAAGAGGAATGTTCCATTGTTGTTTTTATGGAAACCAGGAAACGAAAGCGAAACTTTTTCATAGTATTTTCAGTATGGAGTGTAAGTAACTGACTCCTATGGTGGCGTTCTAATGTTTCATGGTTGTATATCTTGCCAGCCGCACAAGGGCGCGGAATGTATCAGTTCCGCAGCCTAAAACAATTTTTCAGGGTTTTTCTTTAAATTTTTAACAAATTTAAAAAAGTTTTAAATTTAGTGCATTCCGTTTCTGGGAATAAGTTTCTGTTTGTTATCTAAGCGAGGCTTCTCCATACATGTACAGCACTGGCCTAAAGTGAAACATCCACTAAGCGAACATCCACTGTGGTCGTTACAGACTTACAGTTCACCTTATTGTAAACAAAAGTGAATTCCTTTTGCAATCTGAATTAAATGACAATCAACAAACGATCGAAATTGTTTAGTGCAATGCAAATAATTTTTGTTTTAAATTTTTTTCAGCAATATTGAACGTTGAATAAATTTCCTTGTGCCATTAATAAGATAGGCATAAACAAAATAAATAGTATTAATTTTAACAGAATAAATTAATAATAATTTATACTTCGCCAACGTAATCACCTACGGTAGTCCCTAGTGATCCCTACACAGCACCTAACACCAGAACGCTTTAATCCGAAAATTCAAAATTTGCTACACGAATCACCAAGAAATACAAAACTTCGCAAACACATCCTTATCATACTTTTCACAACATTAATCCTACAAGAATCACCGCTCAAGAAATAAATGGGCAAGTAAATCCAAATAAAAAATGATAAGAATTAACTCGTGCTAGAAACCGTATCTGAAAATTTGTTGTCTCGAAGTCACAAACAATGAACCCGACAAAACAAGGCTAAGTTTGAGTTAGAGGGAATGCAAATATTCAGGCAACTGGCAAAGACAATATTCATCACAGCTAGGCCCATCGCTTCTTCCGGCGTGTATAAAGGACCTCCATTACACCGAAGGCCGACCCTGGGATGCCTCTTCTGTTTGAGCGCTGGAATTTAATTGGGGTGCGTAGCGCTTGGAGGTATTCAAGGCATGGCGCAGTGCACTGTTTTCCTGCTCGATACCCTGCAAAAACTCCATTCGCTTCCGACTGGATTCGGTATCGACTTTCACCGCGTGCTGACTGATACAGATCATCTCTTCCAGGTCCTCGGCGTGTTCTTTGGCAGTGCCTCCATTGGCAATGGCTTGACTGAGCAATGCAGGATATAAAGTCTCTTGCTGACGGATCAGTGCCAGCTTCTTGACATGCTGACGATATTTCTTCATGATATACTCTATGACTGCGCTATTTTCCTGAGCTGCTTCGCATAATGCATCGTTTTCTTGTCGCAGCCCTTTGATGATACGGCTCTCTTCACGAAGATCCCGGATCACAGCGGAACGGTCAGTGCTGGCATGGACGGTCAACTTATTCAGACTGACTAGCGCGTTGTGGAATTCTCCCGTGACTTCTTCCCGTTTTTCCAGGGCGCGAGCCTTCATCAGTAAGGACGTGACCATATCGTCACGCGAGCGCAGCTTATCTGCTAACATTCGCGCTCTATGAATTAACTCCTGCGGTTCTGCAATGCCAGGCGCGGATGCGACCGACCCAGGATTTGCCATTGTAGACGTAAATGTTAGGGGAACAGGAAACGTTGCATGTATGATGATGTATCTACATTCACAATGGAATGAAGATCATTACTACGGTTGCTGATTGCACATAGTTAATCCAATAAGATAAAAACTCGCAACATTTCGTTACAATCGGGGAACATTTGACGCCTCACAAAGGGTTCAGAGAAACAAGTGAAACTAAAGCCAGCGCTATCAAGAACATACAAACACCACTGACTAGATTCACTAGCAAGTTCAAAATTTAATACCGAGGCTTCAGGGTAGAATTTTTTGGGCACTTAATACGTAGCCGTTTATCTACTGCAATTTAGAAAGCTGTCCTCTGCAGTGAGGTTGAGTGCATGAGCGTCCAGACAAAATACCCACCGCTTGCAGGTGGCTTTCTCATTGAACAACATTAAAAGTCGTCTCAAAAGAACGAGAAGCCTTTTTTGATTATGATTATTATTTTATCTGATGAGTTTATCTGCCGTCCACGCCATTTCCTGACAGCTCATGGTCAGCCCGACTTTGTTATGACCCGCATGTGTAGTTTTCTTTCAAATCCCATGATCGGATGATCCTGTTGTTTAACAGTTTAATGCAGTGTTTGTGAGTGTCTAGAAGTAGGTAAATAGTGGCTGTTTTACTTTTATAGGACCCGAAGTTTGAACACCCAGAGAGCTGAAATCTTTGTAAGTACTGTAGTCTATACTGCACCGACTTTTAATTGTAACGGTAAAATACTAAAAGGCGATAAAAAATTAGTTAAAAAGATAGATATATTACCGAAAGAAACACCTGCAGAATCTTCGGATTTTTTATTACAAAACTCAGTAATATGGTGTTAAAATTGCAGAAAACATGACGAATCCTTCGGAACGTCTACGGCCCCTAAGCGAGCCTAAATTGTCCACGTATCGAGATTCTTATCCTGTTCCTGCTCAGTGGGCGAACATCAACTGGAAAAGGATGTCATGGAAGGAGCAGATTAGCTTCTGGTATCTCAAGTACCTCATTGCCACATCCACCTTTATGCTGGAGCCGTGGGAGCGCCGTGTGTTTGATGCCTTCCTGTTGGGATTTATTTTCATGACCACCTACGCTTGCTATCTGTACTTGCCTGCCTACGGATCCCGTTTTTTTGCCCATTTCTATGCTTTTATCAGCGATGTTTGCTATCGTTTGTCACAATTAATGTTTTCTACTTCAGGTTGGTACGCTTTCGAATGAGTAGGGTAAAATAACCGTGAATAATTTAAATTTATTATAAATAAATGCGTACAGATGTTTATTGACTTGTAGTAACTTTAAGATTTCGGTCATTACAGAAAATTTACCGTAATACGTGCTTGTTTTATAATTATTTATCGGGTAAATCATTAAGTAATGTTTTCTGTGTTTGAACTTTATGGGCCAGTAGTCCAGTACGGTCAAAAACAATGCATAAGTAAATATGAAAAAACAAGTATTATAAAACTGCGGAATGTCACTTCCTCACTGATCTGTTGCGTAAGTAAGTACTATATTCATAGCTATACTATATTTGGATGTCTTGTTTAATTTAGACTTCTATTAGAAATACTTCTACTGTATAGTATGTGACTAAATATTTTCGTGCTGCAGGGTCTAGTGAGGAGCGTAGTTATGGAACTTTTTGAAAGCGGATCCAGTCTGTCATTTATCCTGCCTAGCTCATAAATTTTTGATGTCACAAATCTTGCATTCCCTGGTATTTCTGACTGTTTTTACTTGGTTTTAATTTTTTAGCAGATGCCTGTGTTTATCCTGTCTTGACATTCTCTTCATAGATCTGAAATCAAGGTGTTTGCCTGTGGTATCGCATTCAGTCTTGTCTCTCTTTCGGTGTTCCACATAAATTTATTAAAAGTCGACGGAATCGGTTCATGTCGTCGGTTTGAAAATACCAGACTCTTTCTACTTTATGAAATCGTGGTGTTGCTAATTGCTATCAACTTGCTGGTTGCGGCACGTAACATGTCATTTATGGGGTTTTCGATGAGTAGTTACAACTTATACGAGACCTTTCGGTGTAAAATTGAGTAATTTTTACACAATAATTTATCAGGAAGGCAACATAAACTATCAGTATCCGGTGCCTGTCACTAGTCGAAGCACGACTATCTGTACTCTGAAGGATTTACGCGTTTCTTTGCCTAGAGTAGACTTACTGTAAGAGTAGAATAGCACTGCGTTCACCGATCTACCGGTAAAAATATAATTTATTCCACGTGTACAAAGTTCTCTAAGTTAATTAAAATAAAACTGGTGTGAGTTTAGGGCTCTGAAATTTCAAAGTGCTCGTCATAATCTGACAAAAGTTGTGTTGGCTGATATAATATCAGAAATTTGTGAAACAACTCACTGTCATTTCGTGTTCGTGTAAGTTGATGACAGCAATATGTATATACGTGGATAATTTTAACATAAATACGACTTCTTTGGTATCGAATCATGGATATGGAACAGAAAAATCAAAAATATACCATTAATTATAGTTGAGGGAATCCCAGTCCATTTCCCAGGCTTCCCGTGTGTTCGAATGACGGTGAATAATTTGACGGACAGTGAGCCAGAGGAAATCGGGAAAACATCCACGATGCTGCCGGTGGGCAGAGGTAGCTCATGTAAGTGTGTGCCGCATATTGCTGCTGCCAGGCAGAAGACGGCAACGCCCCGGTCGGGTTAGGAGTGCGAGGACAAAATCCCGCCAGTTGTGCATAAGCTGCTGGATGGTGATTGGAGGTCGAATCTGGGATAGGCGTCATACTAGGCCGGTCATCTGCGCTTCTTGGACCAAATTTGGCAATTTTGATTGCCGGATCGTTGATGTCGTCGTCTTCAAGCTGATGATCGCTTCCGCTTCGTGATCTTTTGCCAATCCACACGTGTTCTTCGGCTTTTTTGTAGTCTCGCAGATCGCGGAATCCTTTGGCAAAAGGGTTGTTATCGATTTTCAATTTGGTGATCTGCAGTCAAGTCATAATTTTCTTAGACAACACGAGCAAGAATTCATAGTTACATATTACATGACATGCTCTTTCCTTATTAAATAAATCTGTATAATCTTTTTTTACGCTAGTCCCGACACAAACAAACAATACATCTTTGTATTAAGGTAGTCTATAATTACGCACGTCGCTAATCAAATTTTTTAATTCCATAGTTTGCTTCGATTGATTATGAGTTATGTTAAGAAACCGCCAAGGTACATGTACTGTAGATATCTATAGATGCTCGGATAGGCATCATGATAGCCGTAAAATGCGTACCTGTTCATTCTGGTAAGCGGTCACTGCAAAAATGAACCAAAAATGAATTAGCGAAGTGCGTGTGCCGTAATATCGAGTATTAATGTAATCGCTCAAGTTAAAAGCTTTCATGTTATTAGATCTATTAATAAAGCGCTTAATACGGCGCTGACGTACCGGCGATGAACATCGTTTCCGGAAATGTGAAAATGTTGAAAGCGGTGTAATTAAAGGAGGCTAAATCATCGGCTCGGATGACGTGAATTCGCGGCTGGTATTTATGCATTGAGTTGAGGATAATCTATAAGACAAGATTAGTATTAATGGCATGAAAACGCTAATTGTTTCCGATGGATTAGGAAGAGCTAAATTTTGAAGCTATTTTGTACATACATGGGTGGAAGATACGGACATTCACTGCGCTATAAAACTAATGTGGCTTAAAAGTTGACCAGACCTAAGTACATGCTCTGGTTTCATCATTCAGTTTTACAAAAACATGTTTTCAGTGACGAATAGGTATCTTAAAGTTCTAAACGCTCAAAAATATGGATAAATGCATTTCAAATTTTTAAAAACATTCGTCTGTTATTAATTTCAGTAAACCACAAAAATCTGTTGTGTTCGTCTGTGTAAAGTAAACTTGCAAACGTGTATTATCTATATTTACAAAAATACTTTCGGCAATGAATAACAGCCTGAACTGTAACTGTAGGCAATTAAAATGGAATAATGTTGTGCTTTTCTGATCAGCACAGTACACCAGTAAGTGTCGTCTTGATTATGGATGGGAACAAAACCCACCTGACCATTTTGATCGAAATTATTATTGGTCAGCTTGATTTTATGGAAGGAGATGGGTTGGCGCATCCACTGACTGCCGGCTGCCGGTGAGTCCGGATGAATATAAAAGCGTCCATGAAAGTGCGGGTCAGCTTTCCCTGACGCCAGCCATTCAGAGTTATGGAATTTATACCGGACGTCGTCCACTGGCACCATGTCCATAATTACTAAAATTCGCAATAACAAATTTGTCAAAGCATACTGGCAAATTGACAGCACTTAAATCCTTGTTATAGTACGTACTACGTAGTACAACGTATATTAATCACATCGGTATTTACACTAAAAACGTTGACGTACCGAAATAACGGGTGCTTTTGTCCAGTCCGCTTATGCTGACCTTTATAACAGGAAACATCCTCCTGCAATGCAAACAGATGTTTTTTAAACCGGAAACTGCCAAACCACTTCCTGCAACATTTTTCTACTTCACATTTTTTTATTACGAACAAGTACAAGATGCAACCGTGCAAATATGTATATTGCATGACTATGCCCATCCACACGTAATTTGATAAACAATAACTATGGTAAAAATTCTTATTGTCTGTTTGCGAATAAAATTTTCAGTGTGTTTTGAATACTTATGTCAGTTGCTCAAATACATAAGGTTTTTTTAAAAAATAAGTATTGCCTTCGGCTTAATCAATCTATTGTCTGTACTAGTAGTAAGTACGAGTAGTTATCCGACCGCTACAATCAATGCCGGGCGCTCATAAATCGTGGGGAACTATCAGCTTGAGTAATCCTGCCGGCTGACAGTGGTTGCCGACGGATTACCGGTAATGTCATCCGACTAAACACTGATTGACCAACTCACAGCCGACTCGTCCCTTAACAACATAAATACAGTGGCGCAGACAATCGGACAGTCCTGATCAAGTTAGCTGATGAAGTGTGGATACCAACATTAATTTTTATGCCACAATAAACTAATCTGCTTTAAAAGTAGTTCTGGGACGGTACCCAACACGGCGGACACCGTTTAACGCATGCGCTATGCTGCATCAAAGATAGCGCTAATCAGGACGTTAATTGTTCCTCGTTGAACGACTATGGACAGCCAGGAAGGTGAAAATACCATGCCATACCTTTCGGCATTCATTCAAGCGGAATAAGCTTCTGCATTCTCATAATTTACGAATTATCAAATGCCAAATATATGCATGGTCAACTACGGTGCAGCGTAACTTTAATGCAAATTGCTATGTTATCGCTAACGCGCGAATTATCTCAACATTTTAACGTACCACGACAAATAAAACTAAAAAAGGTTTTTATATTGCAAATTAAAATTCGTGGCTAATTCAAGTCGATCAGACATTTGGTGACCATTGTCCAGAGTTCAAATGCGCGCTCGTTTTATCGAAACCGGGTAAGGACAAAAGGCGACACGCAATTTGAATAGCCTCAAAAAGTTCGATTAACAAGGGCTCACTTCCAGAAAATAAGAACCGGTACCCACATGTAAAGGTTACGTTTAGTTTCAATCAGTTTCGACTGCATTAGGCACATAAAATCAATCTGCAGAAGTGTAAAGGTGAGCGCCTCATCAAATCCGTATATCGTTACACTTTACTGAATACAGAAAGGAAAGGACATTTCCTGAAATGATTTTGAATTTGGCTAATGACCCCTGGCAAAATTATATATGCGTGGGTATTACATCATAGGCGTATCCTGAATGCACAATGCGATAACTGACAAGGTCACAAAGGCCACTATTTCAATAAAAGAAAGGTTACCAGTTTGCTATCGGGTGTAAAAAATAGGTTAATTTCTGATGCCACAAAAGTTCATAACTTCATAAAACTGGCATCGGTATTGTTTACTATCTGCGATCAGTTGCTTCAGAATTTACCAGCTCCAACGTTTAATGCAGACACTATTAACACGTATCTTGATCGACTGGCTGGTGCAGGACTCCCGCCGATACAGAGCAAGTACAGAAGAAGTATATCAGTTAATTTACAGACTCATTTTCATCTGATGCAATTAAGATCTACAGTGAAACTGGCATCCAGGCGCAGACGCCAGTGCTTAATCAAACAAGGCGCCTGCTTCAAAACACTGGGGAGTAATTAGTCGGCGTATGGCTTTTGTTATCATACTAAAAGGACCATTGCTGTCGCGGCTCCGACCTCCTTTTGTGATCTCAATGAAAGAACTGGCAAAAACAACAAAATTATCTTCTTCGAAAACTCCACAACATTTTGGAAGTTTTCTACCAATGCCTTTTGTGCCTCTCGTCGTTAGTGGCACAACAGAGACACCGCCTCGGTCTGTAATAATATATAACCTTTGCGTCTCTCTAATTACACACTAACGATACTTCCTACGATGGACTTGATTATGTCATGATACATTTTTATGTCTGCACCGCAACATCCATACTCGAGTATATGGGGAAAACACACAGGTTATGCGTACCTTTTCCCGTGATTTGTCATTAGGGGTTTTTCGCCGCATAACAGCACACGGAACTCAATAAAGGTTGATACGGACAGTGCAGTGTACAAAACAGATATTAAGAAGTTTTTGAAACTGGTAATCAAAGACTGGCACTAAAACTTCCAAAACACAGAAAAATTTTTTGCTCTTGGAGCATTCACTGGTAATAACTTACATTAATATGTGAACTAAAATAAAACATTATAATAATCTGCAAGCTGTGTCAGTCAGAGAATACAGGAAATCTGTTTGGATCCTAAACGTAAATAATGCAAAAGTCTTCGGTCACACCGACTCACACGATTAACAGTTCTTCTCTATTTCTCACTATTCTCGATTTTCTCACCAACTGAATTATTTAAGTGCTGTATCTTAACTACTATGCGATGTACTGTACTCTATTTCGATAAATGCATTTTTTTAGCACTCGTACGAGGTGTAATAAGTATGAACTGACATAAAGGTGCTGTCGAAAAGCATATATATTTGCACAGCAACTACGAAAATAATAACATCAGCTCACTGACCGGCCGGTTTTTGTGATGATCATTTCCGTTGTTTGCTTGTTAAAGGTGTCCCACATGGACTTGTTCTCCAGCGTCAGCTTAACGGATGTGTCGCTCTGGAACGTCGGCAGGTATGACAATGTTCCTAGGCTGGCTTGTATGTAGTTTACCGGCGTCTGAACGGGCGGTGGCTGGAAAAAAGGGGCTTCGTATGTTCGTCCACCTACAAAATCAGCAAACCCGCGGTTATGATAACGGGATGAACACCCCATACAAAATGCGGGTAGGATTATTAAATGCAACAACCAAAGAATCAAATCAAAATACAGAATACAGTGCTGTATATTACAGGTACAGCACAGTATTTAATAACTGTACAACAAGTACTATGATAATTATAACAGCGATATCGATAGAAAGCTGGCTCACTGTATCGCCCACTTTGAATCCATACCTGCATGCGATTGCCTTTGATACATTTTGATTGATGTTGCAACAATTAAAAGGGTACTAAAAAGTGCCCGCCAGTGCCAAGCGCTAAATGCAGTGTGTAAAATATTTTAAGTCGAACAAAGTGTGTTGGCTCAAATTTCGTACGCACGGTAAGGTAAGCACTGAACTGCAATTAATCAGGGAAAATTTAGGAAATGAATTTTTTGGTGCAGGGACGAATTGGTCACAAGTCTCACAAGTCGACTCGCAAGTGAACAGTTGCTGCTTATGCCACAGTGGCGCGAAGTCCCGCCGTCTGTCTTCTGCTTAGTCAAATCGGCAGCGAATCACGCCAGGCGGCAGCGTCCACCTGATTGTAAACCGCGTACGAAGCAACTGACATCATAAACATCATAAGAAAGTTTGTACCTCTGAATTATAAAGACGATTAAGACCACTGTATGATGTAGGGACGTACGTACGTGGTATTTTTTATTTAACAATTAAATAATAAATCATGCGAAGTGTAGCAAAGAAAGAATTTTTTGAAATGGAGCGCTGTACTGGTTGGCAGTGGTTGTATTTCTTACGAAACTTCAGTACAAAGCTTCAGCTTCAGTAGAAACTTCAGCTTTTCAAAGGCGAAAAACTGGATAACAGGAGCTTCTTCTATAACGGCACTGCAAATCTATAACGGCAAAATTATTTGCGTGTGTAGTACAACAAATTGTTTATGGCGATACGGGTCGATAGCGGGGAAACATATGCCCAAACTTTAGAGCAAAGCCGCTTGATGAGACATACTGCAGTGTGCATAGATATTGTACAATACATCTTACACAATATCATAGCATTGCGATATTCAAAGGTCACATATTTCGGATCCGGACCCATGATGGCTGGCACGAAATTTCTACAACCAACTTCTTATTATATTGACTGCCCATGGCCTATCTGCGTAAACATTATGTGTTTTAACAAAACAATTTGTATTTATTTAATAAAAATTACCTATAAAAAAATAGCGCTGATAATTTGTGGCGCTGTCGTAGTGCATAGGTACTTTATAAAATCTGTGGCTGCAGAAGAATAACGTTTTATTATGGTTTGGTATCGCCTGTCGAGATCATGATGAAATCATATCTAGATATTTTATCAGTGCAGATCCATCTTCCAGACACCACACATGAATTTTGCAAGAAACCAGGCTTCCCAAAGAAGTGAGGTTGTAAATTGTCAAGCTCATTAGCATTTCAGCATAATTGCAGGCTATAGCAGTAAAAGTGCAGATATTCATGAGAATCATGATACTTCGGGATAACTCTAAAAGTATAATTTATTTTGTGCAAAAATTTGTATTACTGCCTGAAATTTGGTTTATAACTACACAAACTATTCAGATTTTGTTCCGCCAGATTTGGAAGAGCAATAAACCTCGCTCTAATTAAGTTATCATTTAAAACTAACTTCTTTATTGTTTCTCAACTTTCCTGTGAATCTCTTTATGTTATCGGTAGGTACGGCCGGGGTACTTGTACACTAGTGTTTGCTATAGAAGATAACGCAACACGTATCGGCATTCAAAAGTTAATGACGGTCTATGTATAGATATAATCTCGTGCAGAGAATTCGATTTAAATTTATTCCCAATATGATTATACATATTTTCTGGACATATGCCGCATTTACGCGTTGTATATCAAAACTTTTATTATGTGACTGTGCATATGTACTGTACAACCACTAAAAGGCATTGTTCCCGTCAGCATTGTACCTATCTTAACTTTCGGAGTACTGAGTGCATGCTTTAAAATATAAACCTTTTTGAAAATAAACAAGAATAATATACATTATAAACATTCTTGAACTGCGTGGAAAAATTAATTAATTTTCCGAAAATTTGAGATATCATGCATTATGCTTCAATTGATAATAGTTAAACCACCACCGAAATGTGGCTGATTGCTTAAAGTATGGGTTCAGCCCAGAACCCCAAGATTCCAACTTCCAGAAGATATGTACAATAGTTGAAGCCAACTTAATGAAGTTGATTCACTTGATTGCAATTATACAAGTATTTACAGTATGCTACAAGTCTGATTGCAATTATACAAGTATTTACAGCGTGCAACAAGTCGGCTACGACTTACAATATCTATATTTTGTACACAGCTAGCTGTAAATAGCTTTGAATTCTGATCTGGGAGGGTTCCGGAACAGTCACTTATGTATCCACTAATATTCTACTACAATTTTTTTATCCGGCTTGGTAGTGAATTGTCCACGTCTTTTTATTCTTATTTGTCCAAAACAATTCGTCCCAGCCATCGAGGATAAACAAATTTTAAGAAGTCCGCTTGCACGTTCTCAGATTTATTATTGCTTGGCCGCACACCTAAATAAAACAGTTTAAATTGGTGTGTCAGAAAATACTAGCACAATACACAAAGTGTGTATAGTTCGTTGATTAAATGTGAAACAGAAATATCGATGCTGGTGCATTTATGATCCTACGTCGATGGCTAGCTGTTGTTTGTTAACCATCATTAACTTGAAAAATTAACTTTCTCCTTTATATTATAGATCTAAAAGTACATACGGTGTTTTACTATCATTTTACAAATTTGTACAAATTGCGCGCACTGACAAATACTAAACTCGTCAGCTGTTATATTATTTTCTCTACTGCAACGTGATATAGGTACTTAAAGTTGATTTCCCAAATTTTACCATGCATTCCCGAAGGCATACGCAGGTTCCAACTTTCAAGCGGGATGTTGCGCTGCATGGGATGTGCGGGTTAATTATGGCTATTTTGTCCACGTTTGAAATATGGGCAGCATTCGCGATAGTTTTGCACGTATCACCTTCCGCCGCCGTGACAGCATTAACGCAATAAATTCTTGGTCCCAGATCTGTTGCCGGAAGAGACGCTCGTTCGCTGCTTGGTTTCCCTTGGATTTCAGTGATTGGTACAATGATCAAAACACAAACGAAAATAACACAGCTCGGCATGATGACAAATTTTGGTTATATTCTGTTAGACTATTACGTTATTTAATCACAACCTTATCGTTTCCAAATATATGTAATTGCAGTGTTTCAAACTATTTCATTATGTTGTGTTGTAATTATGGTTTAGCGGATCGAATCGGCTAGTGCACACTGGATACCGCTGTCTGATAGCACTGTAATGCAGCTGTTATAACAGACACAGCAGTCACGCTAAAATTATGCTTGTTTTTATGATGAATTGTTTTGGAGGCTTTGAGTTATCGATCCAGCGTATGAGATTGCGAAATCCATCTCTTAACCGGCTTTGCCAAAGGCAACAATTCGTGAAAAGAGTTTTTGTTTTGTTTACTGCAACGCTTAAGAAATTCCGGTCAGCTCACATAACTTGAGACTCTTCTATCGTTCAATATTTTACAACTTTTTTGAATTAGCCACTACGAAAAAGAACTACGAACAAGAACCGGAGCCCATACACAAGGAAGAAACATTTGATTTCTTTTACATAAACACATGCTTTAATTATTAGTTCCGTTACTAGCCGTGGAATAGGGCAAATAGCATCCTTCTATTTAGCACTACTCTTTAATGCGTCTAATGGCTAATATCGGTTATACTCGTATTGTTTAGTTTAGTCTATTCACGAGCAGACAAACCCTGAGGCACTCGCTAGTCTGGTCAGATAATAAAATAAGAATAACAAAACAAAACAACATCCAGATGGCAGAACAGTCGAGGTAACATTATTACAGAAGAATATTTGAACGTAAAATAGCCAGGTAAAGTTCAATAGAGCCGTAACCGAACACTACTTCCCCCCGTAGTTTTTTAGTCACACCATCAACAATATTAGTAAGTATTTTCCCCGTTATTTTATCATACAATTGCTTCAGCCTCGTCTTCAGGGTTGTCTTTCCGATGCACTGTATTTTGTAGAGTCGCGCTCTGCGATCTACATATTTGGCACTGTCTATTTCCGGTGCATGCTGACGCATGCACGCTGTTCTAGAACATTCTGATGTGCAGCAAGAAAGTATATAAGCAGTTCAAGGCTGCTGTTAGACCTTGGGAGTTGCATGAGTTTAGATCTATGTATCAGAAGATCAAGATGAGTAAAGATACCGGTATCCAGTCAGACGCAGACGCTTCGTTTACGTGCAGTAGTTTAGACAGACAGTACAGCACATCCCCTGACCACTCTGAACCCTCACATCTGTAGCCCCCTCTGGAGGATAGAACATCTGGTCAGTAAGAAAAATCGATGAGTGATATTTTTTTTCTCGTCTCTTCTTCGTTTTCTGTTTTGCTCAGGTTGAGCTACACATTTAAAGATACGCATTCCGTACCACTGATTACCCTCATAATTGTGGATTGTCTCATTAAGTTTTAATGAGGTTGATTGCTCCGCTGATTTTGTTTTTATCGGCCAATTTTGCCGAGAATGTTTCTTGAATTTTGATGGCCATTGCTGGTCGTTGTGTTAAATCTCAGAATACTGAGTGCGATTATTGCCCAGTTATGTCTTGGCGGTACGGGTGTTATCATTGGTAATGTCAAGGTTAAATGGCATTTTTTACTGATCTGTTATTACTAGCAAAAGGTCAACCTTAATTTTTTTCTTTCACTGCATGCGTCTCAGATTTACAACCAAGTCTGATCTGCGTTTTAGTTATGACAGCCAACCCATGAACTGTTCGCGATTAACAACTTACAATGCTATACCCATCATCTCTTTGCAGCCAACAGTGCCTCTCATTACTTCTGTCATCAACTGCATCAAAATCGTCTCTACAAATTTTTCACACAGCTCGGTAAATTCTTGAATTTTTTCAAAAAAGACTTAATTCTAGACACCACACTTGGATGACCTTTCTACGAGGTGCTCATACCATCGCCTCATCTCATCTCCTCAAGGGAAGTTAGCCACGTCGCGGTACAACAGATTTGGAGTCTACAACACCTGCATTTTTAAATAAAATTCCCTTGCGGATCAGTTTTCCTGTTCGGGAGGTTTTGGCTGGTTTACTCACGGATTGGACTGTCGATTCGGAATGGAATTGATTAATTTTGTTTAATAACCTTACATAATATTATTAACAAAATAATTAAAACTAATCATGATCGAGGACGATCTTCTTTTGAAAGGAGAGCAATGTAGAGTCGCGCTCTGCGATCTACATATTTGGCACTGTCTATTTCCGGTGCATGCTGACGCATGCACGCTGTTCTAGAACATTCTGATGTGCAGCAAGAAAGTATATAAGCAGTTCAAGGCTGCTGTTAGACCTTGGGAGTTGCATGAGTTTAGATCTATGTATCAGAAGATCAAGATGAGTAAAGATACCGGTATCCAGTCAGACGCAGACGCTTCGTTTACGTGCAGTAGTTTAGACAGACAGTACAGCACATCCCCTGACCACTCTGAACCCTCACAATTTCATCATAATTGCCTATCGTGTCGAACAAGCGATATCGGTCAGCACAAATCACTTAAGACAAATTTTTTATTTTCAATGCAAAACTTTTGTTAATAACAAGTAAAAACTAAAAATGTTTTATATAGGAAGATCACGGTTCATCCACATAGCAAGCAGTCATGGAATCGACTTCTGGAAATACTTCTTCGATAATTAGATCAAGCAAAACTAGCGCTAAACGTTTATTGAGCAACCGGTACTGGACCATGTCAAACAACAGTTTCGTAACATTTTCTGCGTTTTTCCCGCACATCACTTCCACCATCGGGTTGTCCATCACCATGTTCAGCAGATCAAGAGCCGCCGACGCCCTTCGCTCCTTTTCCGCACTGTCAACTGGAGGGTACGCTCCGGTTAACGCGTCCGATAGCAAATCAACGAGAAAGGTCAACTGTTTAGGCTGCTTGAAGAAATTTACAAATTTTTCCACCAGAGAGTAAGAACCGTCGCCCACAACCGGCTTCGCGAAACTCTTACAACAAACAAATAATCCAAGCAGTTCCGGGTCAATCTGCGCCACTGTGCTCAGAAGATACATTAGCTGATCAAAAATATCTTCCAAATCATGCGCATTCTCTGTGCCCTTTGACTGCAGCATCGCATCTGGCAGATCGAAAGGAATATCGTGCAACCGTTGATACGACTGCTGGGAATCGACGATTTCAACGAAATCAGAAGGGCTGGGCGACACTTCACTGGCTGATTTAAAATTTTTTCCAGTCTGTGGCAATGCAGAGTTCAATAAGGACCTTATGAAGGTGTCAACATTCTGGCCGCGTTCAGACTGCAGTATCTGAGGGACGGATCGCATCACTCGACTCAGTCCAAGATCGGGAAAACCGGATGATGCATCAAATTCAACCGTAGTAGCCAGAAACGTGTACAGCATTTGACTGTATCGTAATTTGGGTTCCTTGATCAACGATTTCAAGAACCGCTCGAAATTCCCCACATGCATCTGGAGATACTCCAATGTAGGCGCAAACCAAGCGCGTTTCGGAGGAAGATAGCTGGACGCGTCCAGTGTTCCGTGGAATTCGCGAATTTTGGCATCCAAAATATAAAACTCTGAATATTTCCGCTGTACTGACCACACTTTTCCCTGATCTGGACTCAAAGGGCCGCGATCGAGTATCATAATGTTCAACACCATAAAAACATTTCCGCGGTCGTCCCTGCGCCGCTCAGCGCGATTGACAGTTAAATCGTAGTACAACAAATCACGCAGTGTAGAGCCCAGCGCATCCTCGTTGAACTGATTTTCACTATCCAGATCATCGACGAAGTCGTCTTCCGGGAACTGCGATTGCCCGTCGAATTCGTCATACAAATCCTGCCGTTCTACCACCGGAGGGACATCCTTAAAAGCTCCGCGGACGGTTTCGCTCAACTGCTGAAAGGAAGCCGGATTGTCCTGACGAGAACGTTGCTGCAACGCCCGTCTGCGTCGTTTAGAAATCTCTTCGGTTGGAGGAATCAAAAGGTGATGATACAACCGCGTTTCCTAAATAAAGAAAAAACTTTGCATCAGCAAAAATTGCGTACTAAAATTTTTTAAAAATTATTTAAGTTGTGGGAACAGATTTGCAACGCTAGGTAAAATGTAGAACATTAAAAAGTCGAGAAATTTAATAACAGTATAGCCTATGCATACTAAAAATTTAGAATTCAAAAGCATACGTACCTGAAAGCCCGGCACTAAAATATTTTCAATCAACGAAATTAGGAGTTTACACGTTTCTTTCCATGCCGATGAACCGCGCAATTTTGGAACTCCACTGATGCCGGTTTTTACCACATCCTCAACATCTTCCACAAACCCGGCCGGAAATGCATACCCTTTTACCCGGGCTGCCTCAATCTCCTTTTTCAACTTGGCCACACTAGCATAGGTGGATTTCATCGCGGCTTCTCCCAGCACTGCACTATCCAGAAATTTATTAATCCATTCCATCGATTCATGGATACGGTAGAAATCCTCTAATCCCAGCGCTTTCAGATGCTGCTCAAAAATATTCTTCAACGAGGTCTCTTTCAGGATCTGTCTAAACGGCACTTTTTGAATCGTACTCGGCTGTTTATCGTCATTCACGAGATTTTTTAAAAACGGCACCGGCGACAAATCGACGTCTTCCGTTTCCACCGTGGCGGCTTCCGCTTGCTGTCCCAGAGAACTGAGTCCCACAGCCACCAGGTAATTAATTCGGGATGGTTCGGAGAAACTCTCCACGGCGACTTTCAACACCATCTCAATCAATACTTCACGCAAAACCGCAACGGACGCCGGAAACCGGCGATACTCGCGCGGCAGCAGCGATAACAGTAATTTTCGCGAGATATTATAGTAGAAAAAATCCTCGTCGCCCTCTGATTTCAGAGCCGGATGCGACAATTCTTCATGCTTCTTCAGTAAGGCTTCCAAATTCGTTTCGTGGGAAGTTTTCGCCAAATGGCGCAATTGCAAATACACGGAGATGTGACTGACAACGGCGCGCGTGGTTTTCTCGTGAATTAACCGCGTGAAATCCGCCGAGGAAAGTTTACGTGCCAACCGACTTGCACTAAATCGCAGTCCCCAGCGTATCTCCGTAACGAAATTCTTTCGCACTTGCACCAGATGATACCAGTCTTTAATCACATACTGATTAATAATAATTTCGAAAAATCGCGTCAGTGCATCGTCCAACACTTTGGGCGCATGCAAATTCATCCATGGATAAATTCGCTCCAAACTGACACTCGATAATCCCGTGCGCTCGATCGTTGTACTGGCTCGACTCGCTCCGGAGTATGCCGGTTTCGGGGCTTCCACTTCAGGAAAAAAGCGCTGCAGCCAGGCGAATGATGGATACAGACGGAGCAGTTTAACAAGTTTACGAATTTCCGCCACAATTCCTCCATTGGACTCATCCACAATGAGGAGAAACGTCGCCCCACCCAGGAATGCAGACACCAAAACAAATATCACAGTCCAGAAGAAGCCACAGTGGAAGATATTGATGCATGTCGTTACGACGACAGCACAGAAGAAGATCTGCTGCAACGACGAGAATGGCTTTCCTTTGCTGTACACCAGCGCACTTTCCAAGTACTCCCACATGTTTTCCATGGCGGAAATTTGTCAACATCACATTTCCAAAGCTATCTGTAAACCAAGGGCCTAAGGTGAAATAAAAAATATAATGTGCATTTTATTAGCCACGCTTTTCGAAAAGGAGTGTAGAAGCTCAAGCATGAATAGAGTACTGGCAGCGTGTTGGAAAACAAAACACGTTAGGTTGCATCTGTCTTACATCGATACAAAATTAACAGCAGGCATAATGCTACAGTGCCACTTACAACTTTACAAGTGGGTCAAAAAATCGTTTCCCATTGATTTCCAATACAGAAAATTACTTAAACAGATTTGTAAAGACTAAAGACAACAAAATAATTTGTTGTCACTGTTGAGCAACAGTTCAAACACCAAAGCTAATCGTACTAACAGCCATTGTCGTGAAAGAATCGTATTTTGTAAGCGTTAGCTACGAGCATGTTGATACCAGTTAAAGTGAAGTATTTATTTGTTGCAGTATTCGCACTTCAACAATCGATACTCGTAGTCATCCGACTCATCCCTTATTTCAATCCTTCAAAATTCCGTTTACTTCAAAATATTGCGAGAGTTCATGGATAGGCCTGATACTTACGATTTAAAAGTCACGAAGGCCATTACTGGTCAATCAGCTATTCAGCTGCTTGAATAAGAAGTTGGATTTGCCTATTTGCAAGGCGCAATGTTTTAGTTTTCGCAGTAGCTGGCGCGATGCTGCCTAATAGTCTACACTCTACAGAGTAAGTAGTTCCATATTTTTATGATGAATCAGCTTATCCACAAAAAATGCTGCACCAATGTGATAAAAGTCATTAATGCGATCATCGTCTCAATTTACTAAATTTGCATATTTTACAATACAAAGTTCCATTACATAACAGTGTATGGTAAAGTCAAATCTCCAACCAAACGATAAGCATAAAATTGCAAAAGAGACATCAACGAGGGAGAAAGAGATTAAGTAATTGCCATCAAATGCTGAGAATATTTTGATAGACAGCTTTTTCTGGCACAGTAGTGATAGTCACCATTTTTTAAAAACTATAAACTGCTAATCTCCATCAACAACTGCAACGAATCGTTCTGCTTACAAACCAATACTTCTCAAACGATTAAATTTCAAGACAACAATAACACCATACAGACAAAATAACAAAAACGGAAGAAACAGGAACTGCGAAGACATATGTGAATTAATATTTCTACTCCGGAGATCCACGGCTCCAGGCTATCCGAAGTACAGGCTATAATATAGATCCATTCTTTAACCAAATAGACTTCTCCCGCATCCACACGTCTCATCTCTCCAGCAGCTGGCTGCGTGCAGCCGCCGCCGCTCGTTTTCTCCGCGTCATGGGTCGCTCTTTCTTGAAGGATTCCAGTACATCCCTCACCTGCTCGCCCAATTTAATGGTCTTGCTCATTGTTGCACTGCACATCTTCGGCTTCTTAATGCCATCCTGAGTCAGTTCCATCAGACGCGCTAGTCGAGCCAAACTAGAATCAGGCAATTGCAGACTCCTCACCCTGTTCACCGTCTCCAGCGTCCAGGCTTCATGGAGCTTCTGACATGCTTCCAAATCAAAATACTGCTGTGACAGGTGCCGACATTCCCAGCTCAGCCAAGTCCGCTGCCCTACAGGATCATTGGCCATCGCCGTGAGATTTATGGGTGTTCGTGTATGAATTTGTTGCTCCAAATTCCTATACAGTTCATCGGTGGGCGCTACACCAACGGGATAATTCTGGGTCATACTTTGTACTGTAGACTTCTCAGTGTCGGTACAGAGATCAGAGTTGGTCGCACCGCGATCATCGATGTCCACATGGAGATCATGTCCGTTAATGTACTGCACCGTTTCCCACCCATGCATATCCCTGCTAAAGTTCCACCGGGAAATCTCCGAAGCCATCGGAGTGTCCTTCATATCATCGTTCAAACTACCGGGCACAATCGGATAGCGCACATGGACCGGGAAAGGAGGCAGGCACAAAAACTTCACAACAAGGCGATCCAACAGTGATGCAGCGGCTTTTAGCTGTAACAAATAAGTATGACATACTTGCATATAAAAGGATAGGTAAGCAGAAGAGGAACATACATTGAAGATAAACAGAAAGACTGATCTAAGATGCACAGGCACTGATGGTTTATCAGGGTGCTACTGAATACGATTTATACGGCGCAATACGAAAAACAGAAAATCAACTCACCGCATCGTCTACAGACGAGAATCCTCCTTCGGGCGCTTTGATTTTCTTTTTAATATGAACTGCTTTGCTGTTAGGAAGCTGGAACAGGAGAACGACGGCACAAGGCATACCACTAGGGAGTAATTCCACCATGGCTTTGGTGCTATCGGGAAATTTCCGGATGTACTGATGGGCAGTCTGCACGGAATTAAAATCCACCAACTTGTAAGAAGGTGTCGATGGAACTTCGTCAGCATGATGTCTGCTAGTGGAAGGTAAGTTGTAGCCATCCCTTCTTGCAGAACTCGAATTCGTTGCCTCCTCCCCAGCTCGGCATAAAGGCAAGTAGTTGTCTAGAGGACTCAATAGTGCAGCATCGCCCTGATGGATTACAGACCTCTCAGCATCGCACAACCGCTCATAATGCCCTTTCAGCCATTTGACTTCTCCCTTCGTTGGTGCTTCCTCATTACAAATCTTTTTTATCAACGAAGTTTTCTTCGCCACATCATCGGAGTGCAGAAAGTGCGCTAAGCGCGGTTGAAGTGGAGCCTGCAATTTCTCCAGATCCATGACTGCATGAATTTTTTGATCGCGAAGTCGCTCCATCTTTTCTGAATTCCTCGCCGATTCTGCATGCATATAAGCTCCATCCGCTAACCGTAACCAACGAATCAGTTTTAGCTGACTGGTACTTTTGGTGGCCGCCAGCCACTGCCGCTGATCATCGGGAAGAGAGAAGTACTTCCTCGCCAATTTTGTCAGTCTCTGCTTCTTCTGTTCCTCTGTTTCGGTATGTTTTAGAGTTAACGCGAGCGGCACAACTTTTGTTGTGGTTATAACAGGCCGCGTTTTTCTGGCTTTGGGAACGCGGGGTGTCGGTGGCTTTTCACGAGGTTTCCTCGGTCGTCTTGGCTTTTTCTCTTCCTTAATGTCTGAAGTTATATTCGCTGGTTGCTCGACATGAATACTGGAAGGCGGTTCGGAGTAAACCGATCCTGCAAAAAACCATCAAATTACTAAACACAAGGGCGTCTGTCACATTTCGCTTAGTTTTAGCTTCTTTAGCGTAGATTCTATTGCACTATCACACTTTATATATAATATAATGATTATCACTAAAAGAGCACTTCAGATTTACCCATGGGAAGCTGTGATTCCACAGGCTCCAAATTGTTCTGCTGCAATTTTTTAATTCCACTTTCGTACATCAACCGGGTTTTCTTTCTCACTGCTCCGTTCTCAGTGGATCCAATGTTCGTGCCATTCATTGCGTCAAGAGGTGGTGATACGGCTAACAAAGTATCACGACATAGAATGTCGGTTACACCGTTGTCGCCCATGCTGGAAACACTTCTACCAGGTGACGTTCTGGAGGATGGACGGGCCACTTCCGGCAACGGCGCCGGAGTCGAAGAGGATACAACGCCTCCCGGAGAGATAGAAGGCGGCACCACCACGTCCGACTTATCCACTTCAGTATGGGCCTTCTTGATTCTTTTCTTAGTCGCAGCAACTTCATCGCCGTCCGGTGATCTTTTAGGAGGTAAGGAAGCCGGCACATGCGGCGCTAATCCAACACCGTTCAATAAGGCTTCGGGGTTTTTAGGAGTCGGCACGCAAGACGAAAATGGAGCGTGCGAAACCTAATGGCAATAGGGAAAATTATTTATCGTTCGGTTGTTTCACTTATTACCCATTTCAAAAAACACAACATTAAATCTCTTACTGACTACATTCTACAGTAAATTTACCTCTTGCTTTATTTTTGCAGCGCTAGGTTTCCTTGATTTGACTGCATTCGCATCGCGTTTTCGCGCATTCGCATTAGACTTTTCTTTAACTACAATTGGCGACTTTGGAAACACTTTAGCGGAGCTGCCCACAGGCGTGGAAGGCTGGGTAAGGGATGTAGGTAAAAGGGATACTGTCGATGGGGCATTGGAACTGGCAGGCATACCAGCAACATTAGGGTGGACGCCATTGGAAAACCGCGCCGGATCCATACTGAACAGCAATGGGGTTCGTACGGCTGGAGCATAAGATACGAACTGTGTTGGTGAGGGTTGTCGCACGATACCACTATTCGGTTGTCCAATATTATTCGGTAAGTTTCCATGATTTTGTTGCAGTCCAGCCGCCGATAATATCGGGCGGATCTACCAAAAAACGCGATGTACAGATATTGCAATCCCGAAAACTCCACCTATCTAACTTCAACAAGTAGATTAACTGTCACTCGTATTACTCTGCAAACTTTACTATGTAATTGCAATCAATCGGAAATCTCAAAATCGAATTAAGTATGCAATTAATACAAGTAAGTAAACCTTTTAATAACTAGCCACTGTCAAAATGTGCGCCTGCCTCAAAATCAACAACATGAAAAACTAATGCGATTCGAGAAGATAAAATTAGCTGCGTACCCTCACGAAAGCGGTTTTGCTTCCTCGTTTACCTCAATTAACAAAATTTTTTTAAGAAACGGAAATTGAAAAAGGAATTTATTGATAGCAACACTGCAACAGTACATACTTATTTACTCTCACTCAAGAAAAGCATTTGCAGATGCAGCTACACACTTCACTGTGCCGGCGAAAATTGTCATCACAAGTGTCCGGGCTTTTTTTGGCATATTATGAACGACCAATGCTTAAGCTGTACAGAATAAAACGGTCAAATATCATAACTGCGTACTGGTAGTAGTAGAGTTTATGCAGCTATTACAAGTTGAAAAACAACCGAACTACTAACTTGCCACTTCTGTTTTTGCTCCGTTTACGTCACACATTTCACAAGCAGCGTGCAAATCAGCTGGCCGATACCAGCTACACGATGTGGCGGGGCTTATTTCCCGGCGCTACGCACGCTATCTTGCAGAGACCAGACAATCTTCACTTCCCCACTCCGGGCGCAATCCATTGCTACGTTCTGTCGTGGTCTGTGCAACATGAGGTTACAGAAGCGCGGTTTTGGTACGAGCCGTAACTAGCGCTGTATGCTAGCGCCGAGTTATCACTGCTTGTACCTAGTTGCCATCTAAAAGTCGTGCATCTGCTTTTTCTAATCGTAAACTGCTACTGCCGCAAAAGCCTGAGTTCTGTGTACGACTGATATAAGCAGCGAAGCACACACAACAAGCATCGTGGCCACAAATTACGAAATCAAAAAATATTTTTGAACTAATAACAACCATTTTTCCAAAACAATAAACCGACAATAAATTTTACCGAAATCAGTAGCACTTACCACTGAAACGTTGGACTGATTCTGAACAACCAACGATGGTCCAGGACGAATGGGTACAACTTTCGTCGTAGCCGTATTTGGCGCAGTAATCGTCTGCGCATTAACGTGCAAGCCCGTTTTGGCCATGTTATTTCCAGGAGGAATAAAAGGCCATGCATTCTCCTCTTTAATGGGTGATGCGCCTGCTTTTCCGTGATTAATAGGCATCAAAGTCGTAGGGGAAGGCGACATTGTGGAAAGAGGGGCATTGGAGGCACTGGGTCGAATCATAATGGTCTGACGGTGGGCATTCGTCGATGGCGGGGCTCCCAGCGCCACTGGGGCGCCAACAAATGAGCTGGCTGGGGTCACCATAGCTAATCCAGGTGACCGACACGGTGAGGAAGGAGACTGGGCAGCATTCGTTGAGTTCCCGATAATATAACGCATCTGGGAAGACGGAGCGCTGGAATTCACGGCCGATTTGCCCGATGCCTTGGATTTCTTGGCATTGACGATAGGTGGAGGAAATGTAGGAGGAGAAATAAAACCTGCAGATGCTGTAAAACATAAATGAATATGTTGACATAAAAGGTAATCTTATTCTTAGTACTTCAAGTCAAGTATAAATTGCTTAATGACAAAATCTCAAGAACCATGCGTGAAAGCTCTCGAAAATGCCAAACCAGTACCCATTGTGCGCGCATGTTTGCTACCTGAGGCAATAAGCTTAATATCATTATGAGCCACAAAATTATTCAAATTTGGGCTTCCACTAGGAATGGAGTTAGTTAAAAGACTTCCTGAAACGCAAAAACCACCGTGAATAATATTAAGGCGGCCATGCAAACATTATGGAGGCAGCGTGCCACAAGCCACAGCACACACAATCTTCTGACTTACCTCCCACGTTCAAATTGGAAGATTTATCGTTCTGGCTATTTTGCAATAGATTAGGATGTAAAGAATCTGGAACAGACATTGTTGCATCAGTTAGTAAATCGCTGGAAAACTACATGGTTGAGAATGTTAAGCAAAAAGAAACTTGAAATCTCTCTTCACTTGGTCGACTTTGGAACGAGTTCAACAAATCTGAAATCCTCGGCGAGTTGTGGTGCAGAAATGGCCGGAGGCTATCACACAAGGGGATTTTGCCCTAAGCAATTTTTAAAAGTACGAAAAACGCTGTAAATCTGTTTAAAGTGATTCTAGAATATTTCACAAGACAGAAATTAATATTACACCCATTATACCCGAGAATTATTAAAGTGCACTATGATTTTGTCTTAGGATTAAGAAAAAAGTAATGGTAAAATTGTCAGAAAGTGAACCATCCACCCCTGCGTACGGTATGCCATGATTCATCAATGCTCTTTATCTACGCGTGCCTGTGCTCTGATCCAATCCTGCTGGAGGGTTGGGATCTGAGTTATTCACTTAATTCGGTTCATTTTACGCACTTTGCGTCTCGCGCTCAGTAGCAGTGTTTACAGCTGTACACGTCTCGACATCCATTGGAATTTGTGGTTTCTTGGTGTGTGTTGCATTCGGTTTTCGCAATCAGGTAATCAATGTTTTAAAAAAGTCATTCAAGTTATCACAATGTTCTTTTTTTGATAAAATTTATGTTTACATCCACTGATATCCGAAAGGTTCCAATTTACCACGGGAAAACTAAAATATAATATGAAATACTGGCACCTGCAGCAATATCGTAAAACAAGTTCCTTATGAAAATTCAGCGACATGGAAACAGTAGCTTGTGTGATCTTGAGCCACAAGGTTTCGTAGTTTTGTATTTCTTTGCTGAAAACTACTGTACATAAGGAATATTGTTGGACATATTGCTGGAAAGGCTCATTATGATGCTCCCCAGTCCTACAACAGCGGTAGTGAAATCAAGATGATAAAGCACACCTCATTCCATTTGTAATATGCTTCGGCTTGCCAGGACACGTTTGCAAATAGCTAAAATTTTAAGCATAAAACACTGTTAAAAACATATTTTTTTGTCAGCAGAAACTTTTGACAGAACTAAGATGAACACTCGGGTTAAGACTACGCTTAAAACTAAGATCAGTAATTCTGATAATACTCTGATAAAACTAATATTTATACTCAGGTTTTCAAACCTCAGAAAGCCTAGTGTTTGCGAACTCTGGTTATTTCTCCCAGAAACTCAAAAATTCCTCCGTCCACAAAATGTTTTAAACCTAATTGAATTTATTATTATGTTCACCAGTGAAGTTTATTCAGCCAGAAATACACTATAACAGAAGTTAGGCACTATAACAGAACTTCAAATTTAAAAATTCAAAGAAAATTTAATGGTATTATACATTTTATTTTGTAATATCTGTTTTTTGGCAAACCAAAGGAATACTAGAAACTGAAAATGACGAAATGACGTAATTGCAAAAAAATATACGACATTACTAATGACGAGGATTTAAAGCCTGAGTTTTGAATTGTTTGCACATTTAATTTTGCGCCGTCATTTTTCACAACAATTTTTCATCCTGCACGTTTGCTAAATCTGTTGTCTTGAAACACTAAATATGCGTTGACCAAACAGTTATATTTCAATTGAGAAAGATTATTAGAGAAAAAAAAGCAGAAAATAAAAAGTTATCTTAGCATACCATTTTTCTGGTTAAATATTTCGAAAAAAAATGTATATTTTTTTGTTTTTAGCTGATGTTGGAAATAAAAGAGGCTAGCGCTACGCTACTATATACTTCCACTGCCGAGTAGCAGAGCGTTTCAAATGTAATGGAAATTGTTTTAGAACGCATTATAGGTATTATACGCAATTATTCCGTTGGTCTGAAACTTTTGCCAACACTACTATGAGCACTCGGGTTAAGACCATGCTTTGAACTAGTATCACCACTCAAGTTTATACGTTGATCAAAACTAGCATTAGTACTCGGGTTAACACTCTCGTTAAAGCTAACACGAACATCTTTATTTGTACACCAAATATCATTCAATAATTCAGGAATCGTAACTGTTTCGCTACACATAATTATTTTTTGCAAAATGCTTATGAAAAACAATTTTGCGGACGCTTTGGCATGAGAAAAATTTGGTACAAAAACATTTTGCTGAATCGCTACACAGACATTCGGCATGCTACTGTCTTTTTTGTTTACGCTCTAATCTATAATCTCATTAGAATGTTTTCCTAAGTTTTTTTATATTTTACTTGTTTTTGTTAGCTTTTCTTGTGTTTTCTGAATATATTTTCGTGGTGTTCATAAGATTATTAGCTTTTTTGGCTGGCTTTAGTTTTTTTTTAATCCAGTATGTTTTTTAACTTTTCAAGCTTTGTTAAAATTGTTTTTTAAGCCAAATTGTGCTATGCTAAAATTGGTATATGCGGAAGAGTTTTATGCCCTTATGTTCTTATTCCGAAATGTACGTATATCATGCGGCTTCCCTGCGTAGATGTTACTAAAAGCATTTTCAACGAAAAGGTTGATTTCAGTATTCTTAATGAAAAAAAAACGAAGATAAAAAGAAATGAAGACATTTTCAATGCGAAAGTTTATTTGAGTTATAGTTCCGAAGAAGATTTGCAGAAAAAGATCGAGAGTCAGTTTGTCGAAAGGGGTTAAGCTAAAGCCGAACAAAACAGTTGATTCGTCTGTTGACCGTATTTTTAACCAGAGTCTTAACCAGAGTGCTGTTTTAGTTTATAACCGAGTATAAACCTTAGTAATCTTGTTAGTCCAGATCAAAGTCTTAACCCGAGTGCACACATTAGTATCGTCAAAAGTTTTACTTGACTGGAGGTTGTAAGTTAGATTTGGGTTTTCAAGCTCATTTTGGAATTTCTGACTTTTATTTTGTGCGGGCGCGATTTGCAATGTCCGTTTAATTGGTTTGGAAAAGAACCGTCAGGGATAAATTTTGATTGCGTAGCATAACTTTTATAAATACTGTGCGCTAATGTATAAATATAATGGTTGCCTTGTATAAATTGTTTACTCGTGAAATATTATAGCACAGTAATGGTAAAATAAACATTCAATAAACATTTATATGAAGTAGTGCAACAGTGAATGCAAATTTGTGGATCAGTGTATAAGTTTCGCTGTACACATGAAGGTTCCTCACACTTAAATAAGAACTAATCTGAAAATGCGCATTTACAATTATAATTCAAAAATTTGATTAAGCAGTCGGCGATGATATTATTTGTTGAGATCCGAAATAAAAAACTTTGATTTTACCTTGTTGCATCACTAACAAAGACGCGGCACAGCTACAATTTCCAATGGATTTCATGCGAGAGTGGAATTGTAATTGCTGTACTGAGCACGAGATGTTAAGTGCACAGAATGAACCGAATTAGGTGAATAACTCAGATCCCAACCCTCCAGCAGGATTGGATCAGAGCACAGACACGCGTCTCTTTATCTTAACCGCACCATACGACATACGACGTTTCATGTGCGTATGCTCGGTCCGTAGTCGACTTGCGGGCTACGGAAAACAAATAAAAAATTTGAGCTGGCAAGTTTTCAATTCGATGCTTATGGTTAGAACGTACCGTTTGTGTTCGCTTTATCGAATCGGACCTGCTTTCCTTTTTTTGGTTTTCTTTGTAAACCAAAGCTTCTCTCTCCTGCTCCACAAATTCTGCCTTTAGTTTGGCTCGGAAACCATCGCTTGGAATCTCCCCGTTAAATCCTCTTCTGCACAATGCTGAATAATACCGTGGGTACAGGATCATCATCCATTCTCCAGCAACGTCTTCGCAATCCACCTGAACCAGTGCATGGTTCCCCTCGCGGCGCAGGGATGCAGTATGCCGCAAATCCAGCATTCTCCATGGTAAATTCTGATTAGTAAAGGTATAAAGTTGCTTTCTCCATTACGAGTTCGATTGCACTTGTAGGGTGGGCCTGCTGCTCAGTATATGATGTCTCCAGAGCATAACATGTCCCAGCAACCAGCATACTACACGGTGCAGGGCCATGGTCAAGCCCCCTTCTACCAGAATGATCACCTACCCCAGCAGCCAGATTATCAATCATCGCATCTGCAGCAGATAATGGCCGGAGCATCTCCGGCAGCGGCGGCAGTTGCTCTGGAATCTCCTGCTCGTGCTCCCTCTGTAGCCTCTCAGCGCAGCGCCACTTCTCCGCCGCCCGTATCGCATGAACGAGCGGAAAGACCACCGCGATCCCCGGGATTCTTTGCTGAATTGAAACCTCCCAAAGGACCAGAAAAACCACTGATACCTTATCTTCGCTTCAGCAAAAACGTAAGCGCTAACTGAGCAGACAAACGAAATTAATTATTTCTGTGAAGTTTCCAGTAATTTTACGTATTGGAGATACGTAAACGAAAAGGCTACCGATGCATTCCATTTACCTACTAGTACGTTTTTCTGTCGACATTTGAAAACCATTCAAAGATGAATTCGTTAATTTAAAGATCGTATCTGTTGAAATTTTAGTTTTTATTATTAACGTGTAAAATACGGACCTTGTAAAATTCGTTAATAAATTTGTTGCACCAAATTACCAATGTGCTGGTTTTCCCGGCCGTTTATTTTTTGGCTTATTTCAGAATATGGAAATATTTGTATCATAAAATATAAACTCATATTTCATAACACATCGATACTTTCGGTTCTTCGGTTCTTTGTTTGCTTCGGCTTTATGGTACGTACGTACAATACAAAGCCTGATCAAAGCTGATACATACTCACATAACAGATAATCGTGGAACGCATGTTTTTTAGGGCTATCTGCTTAATACCTCAAAGTACGAATACATACGAAAGCATTTGTCGTCTAATTTGTAAGCTTTACGATTTGACGTTTAACACACTTCGACCAGAATAAAATACGAATTTGGGAAAATTGATTCTCTTTGCAACTTTGGCTACCGCTGTGTTGTATTCTGTTCGTTGTTGTGCAGAAAGTCAGAGACTTGGTTTTCGAGAATATTGATGTGTTATGTAGATTTGGGAAACAGTAAAAAAGGACCATCCAGGTACGCCCTTTGCGGAAATTGGCAGAATTATCGGTGAACAATGGCGGACTTGCCCCGAAGACGTTAAGCAGAAATACATGGATGATTACAACCGCGATAAAGAAAAAGTTAGGCTTGTACAGTCTGTACATACTGTAGAAATGTTCTCTTTGCTAAAATTTGAAGATACTTATTAATTGCTAAATTGCAGTACGCTATAGCACAGAAAGCGTTTTTGGAATCTCCTGAATACCAGGAATTTCTCAGTCAGAAGAATAAACGAGATCAGATGGAAGAGGAAACGGAGCGGGCTGGCCGTCGACGGGAAGAGCATTCAAAGCCTCCACCTGTGCCTGCGGGCCCTCCTCAACGTAGTGCCTCTTCCGGTGGAGTAACGATGAACGTTACGGCTTCTGGAAGCTCTAGCCAACCTCTGCACGGTCCATTGGAAGAGTTGCAGTCAATGAGTCAACGGATGCTCCCTCCTAAACCGGCTACAGGTGTCCCTAACCAGGGAGAAAGACCTCCAGGGGAACCAGATGAAGGTGAGTCCAATGCTAAAGCCAAGTTGTTCTTGCTTCTTCTTTACATCAGTTTATTTACTTGAAGTCATAAGCAGCTTAAAATTTGTGTTTATTGCGCTGAATCACTGTGTTAACTTAACTTAAGCCGATTGTCTGTGCAGATGCTGATGATTATTTGAAAGCAAAGCACACCGCGTCCGTACGATATCAGAGAAATCACAAGCTGATGGCCGAATTATCCAGCGATGCCATTGTTCCTGATGGTCGGATGGTGGTGAACGAGCAGAGAATCACCGTATGTAATCAACTGCATAAAACTTTAATGGCTTGCTTTGGAACGTAATCGGTGTTCTAATTTTGCAGCTTCTTCGTAAGCAAGTGCAGTCGCTTACGCACCATCAGGACCGCTTACTATTGGATCAGAAAGAACTTGTGGAAAAACATGAGTCAAAGAAACGGAAACTGATGGAAGATGCGGAAAACTTCCGTGTACGCTGGACACAAGTAAAAGAGGTATATCAGTTGTAGCAGCCCATTTTACCAAGTTTTTTTTATCAAAAAGCTGATCGTTATAGGAATGTAAACCAGTTTCCAAGGAGCAATATCAGGCGTTGGTGGAAAAACATTACAAAGCATATGAAAAATTGTACGCCGAGCATCAGTTGCTGAATCAATCCAAAACTCAGCTTCCCAGTCAAGATATCCCTTACAATCCACCAGCCCATTCCGTTCCTATGGAACATCCATCAGTGGAATCAATAGCGTCGCCACCTGCAGATAGAAATCAAGTTGCTTCTCATGTGCATGTGGTGGATATGATCACAGAACCGATCTCATCGCCCATTCCACCGCAGTTCGATAAAGTCAACGACTATGCACCGGCACTTAAATTACCGGAAAACGACCTTTTAAAAGCCCCGGAGGAACCGTTATCCGAGAGCTTTTCTGATGTTGACATTAGTCAGGTTCTAGCAGACGGTAACAATGCGGGTGCTACGGATCCTTCTGAATCGGAGCACACCGCAACAGGTGAGGAATCGTCGAATGATGTTTCGATGGAATCACTGGATGCTGAATCACATGTGGAGGAACATGAACAGCGTGAACAACCTTCAGCCAGTGAAGATAGTTTGGAGCAGTCGTTCATGTCTGGGATGGAAGATGCGGGTGACCAGGGAGATGCTTCAGTTGTGTCACCCAAAGAAACGGCAGGTTCAGTTGTGTCACCCAAGGAAACAGTATCTTCCGATCCAATTCCAATTGAATCCATGGACGTGGAACAGCCTGACGGCACGCAGGAAGCATCCAAAGAGGTCGAATCGGTGCCACTTTCATCAAAGACCAGCCCTCCTCCTGTCAAACGTGTTGGTTTAACGGCTTACTCGGATGATTCGAATTCCGATATCATATCTGAAAGTGAACCAGGTATTTTAAGATATAATCAATTCTTCTTCAATATGCGATTAAGTGTATATGTTAATGAATCTGGCATTTACTTTCCTGTATTCTGTCACCGCACTGTGCTAACCGGCTAGTTACCGCTGAAAATTTTTTGTAGAAAAAAATACTGAGACCACGGTGGTGGCTCCTCCTTTGAATAATGCTACACCACCGCCGTTGGGCGGTTCTGATTTCGACGGGAGCATTCCTGTCATAAGCGACGAGGCTGAGAATACCGATATTGCAGAGCCGGAAACTGTCAAACATTTGGGAAGTAAGACTTCGTCTCCTGTTTCCCCGGAGCTTTCCAAGAATACGGATATTGCTGAATCTCTGAAGGAGACGGAGAAGTTAAGTGGCGAGGCTCTTCCTCCGTCCAGTGAAGGCGATATATCAGGCAACATAAGGGAAGTGGATATTGCTGATGGGGTTGTGTTTCCATCACCAAAACTGGATTCACCAGAAGAAGGAGGTGGGCAGGGATACGCTGATTACATGTTGTAAAGGTAGATCATAAACACCAGAATTGTGCTTGTCTTTTCCGTTGCTTGTGTACTGTAAAATGAACCCGGAATTTTTATACCTACATCTTACTCGTCACATCGTTTGATAGTTGCCCGTTTGGAAAGTTGTTGCTAGTACTTGTACTTGCTACTGACTGTACAGTGTACATCCGACACTCTTTGCACTTTATTTGTTATTATTTTTTTTATCTTTTTTTACGGTTCGTACATACCTCTGGTAGTTGTGGACTTGTGGTTATGTCGTTGTCCTTATGGTAAGATTTTATTCTGAGGTAATGAATGGGCTTTGCGAGATAATATCTGTCATATTATGTCATGCAATCCATGAGATCTGATATGATGCTCTTCGTTTTGCATTTATCGTAAAACAGCGATGGAAACAAAGCAATACAAACCCTACTGAATAGCAGATACTAGCAGATTGGAATACAGGTCGATACCGATAGAAAACCAAGGATTGTTGGACAAGAAAATTTAATGGAAAAAGTTACGGAAAAAGTTAATGGAAAAAGTTAATGGAAAATTTTATGGAAAAAGGACGGGGAGTCGGTAGCACCGAATCGGTACGTTCGCGGTTACGTTTGCGTTAGTCGGAAACTGCATACGTGAGATGGCAGCTACTTGAACTCTTCGACGGGTGCAGGTTTATAAGAACCCCGGAGCAGCCTTTTGTTCCGCATTTCTTTAAAAGATTTAAGCCATTAAACTCAAATTAACTGACGTTCGGCCGTAAATCTGCAAACTTACCATCACTTTCTGCTTTTACATATGTAGTCCGAAGTGTTACGTACAGGATAATTTATGGAAAATTTACCAGCGGGGCACCACAATGGTGCTGCCGTTGCAAATTCTTGTAATTCTGAACATTCGGAGGATAGACAGATAACCAATTATTCGCCTGGTTCTGAGTTGGATTATTGCACAGCGCGGACGCACATTACCCAGTCCAGTGTAAAACGACTTCATGAGAATGACGGCGAACCGGTTCAGTCCTTGAAACGGTTTAGATCTGCAGCATTCGAGAGCGAGGACCAGGACTTCCATACACCCATGGGTTCTGAGGAGAACTCTGGCAGTACTTCGATTGAACACCTAGATTTAGAACATGCTCTGGCTCTTCTTGACCAGCCATCGTTTTCCATTAACGGAAGTCAAATGGAGGCCGATGTGGATAAAATGAACCACAACGACACTGATATTGAGGCAAATGTGGACAGCCAAAATGCTGAAGATCATCAGGATGATGACGACTGCGCAGGAGGTAGCGTGAACACTGAACACTAAAGTGACTAAACAGTAAAACATGTTTTCTGTCCTCAGTATCCTGCTACTCATACCCTCTAGGTATCTGCACATATTGAGGGTTCCTTTCGTTGACTTAGTTTAGTGACTTCGTATTATTCTCTGTTTTGATGCAACCTGTTTTTGGACCTTACAGTTCCTTAGCTGTAATTCCTTTTTAGTAATCAACGAAATATTTGAAGCGTGCCAGTTACTGTAGATAACGGACAGTGAAATGTCAGAAATGTCAATACAGTTATCATTACGAGGTGCATTTTTTATTCAGCTGCTGAAAGAAATTTTTTTTGTCTTTTATTTTTCTGAATGCTGGATTGCAGGTTGCAGCTGGGCTGTTTGCGCTTTCATGAGTTGCGTAACAGGAATTTACCAACATCCCAGAATTGACGAAAACGTTACCGAATCTTCGGACGATGCTCTGGCTATCCCTCAAGGCACGCTGAATAGTAATCCTCTTTGGAACAGTCAAAGTGTGCCAGTGCGGCAGGAGACTAAACTGCGACGTTTGGGAAATGGCGGACAAGTGGCTGATGCGAAAAAGCGTCACAAGAAAAAAAGGAAGAAAACTGCTGCACAGATAATGGCAAAAAATAATCGCGGGTTGTCTGCCGAGCAGAAGCAAGCTGTTGTAAAAAACAAGGAACAGCATGGCTTAGAGTTTCCAGCAGCTCGCTCAAAACGCGTGAAACGGCGAAGAAATCGAAAACAGCAAAAGCAAAAAATTGAAGAGAAGGACGGTGACTGTGATGAAACAATCGATCCGCAACATGTACAGATTTCGGCTTGTGATGCTACTGAGAATGCACCTAATGTTTCCCATCAAGCCGGCCAAAACCCTGCTCAAGCAGAACTGAGAGAAGTATTTCCTGAAAAAGGCTTAGGTGCTTCCCCGGCTACACCAGTTCCGGAAACGGGTAATCGGCGTCCGCCAAATTATGATAACCTGGAAAGTTGGTTGGCATCTAGGGGCGAAATTCCCATAGGCGATGTATTGAGATTGTTCATGTTTTTTGAGAAGAAGACAAATTGATTCGGAAGAAAAATGTGATAAATACGAAAAGTGTCCTATGTGTTCTTGATATTTTTTTCCTTTTTTGAATTAAAATGGAATCTCATTCAGCTGTTATTTTTTCTAGTTTTTTTAAGTTGTAAATATTAAAATTTAGTAGTACTGTACTTATATACTTGATATTCTATCGTGAGATAAGTTACAGTACTGTAATAGTATCCTGTCTCAAGTATTTTCTATCGTAGAGAATAGAATATGATATATAGTCTAGTCCCTCTGTGTATCAACAAATCGCGTTTTTATCGGTCACTATCATTGCGTATGCCAACTTTAATTAAAGTTGACATAACGATTTAACAATTTTGTCTGTTTTTTTCAGTGTTAAACTTTTTAGTACTCCGTTTGTACTTACATGACGATACTTATTAAAGGCTGCTGGCCGAACTTTGAATGATTTTAAGTACAGTACAGTAGTGTTTACTAGCGCAGGCCTTTCTTATTACCTGAATGGCCAGAATGGGCTAGTGCCAAAAATTTAGTAAAAGAAAAAACAATTTAAATGCTTACTATTTAAATGGAGTATATTTTATTAAGTTCAAATCGCGACATTACAGTCATAATTCCATTAAATAAACTACTATTTTATAAATAAAAATGTCGTATTTTAAAAATGTAGCTATCATAATTAGAATAACTTTCATGTTTTAAATAGATTTGTGTTATGATAATGCAGTACTTGGTAGTTCGCACTGTTCGAAGTTTAAACACAAACAATACTACTGTACTGATTCACCCTTCCACAGCCCAGTCTCCAATGAGATTGAGAGGTACTCGTAAATTTTCCCGTTTTTAAATCGCATAAAAATGCAGATCCACCATCCACGTACAATATTTTCGTTTTTTGTTTGCACTCGTACCGTATCGTAGTAGTTGTTTGGATTTTATATTTATTTTAACTCACTATATTGTTTGCTACTGACTTTGATTTTTATGATCCCGTGGAATTCTTTTAACCAGTGAGATATTTGGTATCGGTGATAAAAAAACTGTGTGCTCTACCGTAGTCCATGAGTGACTGTGGCACAAACTACCTTGTGCAAATGATAAATTTCTCTACTGACTTTCTGTCCCTTGCTATAATACGGTCGAAAACGATCAGTAGTGTTTCCATTTACAGTTTGGACTCGATGGGGTGTTGCCTGTTGCTTTCGATCGTGAATTCTGAAACATCCATCGCTTTAGGATGAATCCTTTGTAAGGAGCGCAAAAATTCCAGCACGTCCTGGCATTCGCTGGCGAGTTGGTTGTGCCTGTCTATTTTGGTTTCTTATTTTATGCTGTGGAGGAAATAAGTCCGTTTAACGGAGACCAGTCAGAAACTGAAGAATGAGCGATCTGTGCGCAGGTAAGTACATATAAATGGTGGTAAAATCATTGGAATTCACATGGAGATAGCTGCAGTCAATTGAAAATTCAAATTGCTTTTGAGTAGAGCCCATGTCGCCCGTGCGGCGGACGTTTTGCCTGCTAACGCTGTTTGATCTCGGCTTATCATTCCTGTTGTGGATCCTGTACACGCAAGCAAGTAGTAAATCTTTCACTACGAGCTTTTCAATGGAGCGTAACTTAACCAAAAAACCAAAATTGTGTACTTTGCAGATAACGGGAATGAGTCCGATGGAAGCATTCACGCACGAAGTTGTGCAGTATAATATACACTTGTCGCTCTTCGATCTCGTCGTAAGTGAACAGGCATTTGTTAGTCTGTCCTAACGGATTTCGCTTTTAATTTCTTAATTTCTGAAAACGATATTTCCATTTTAAGCAGGAATACCAAATGGTTTATGCTTCTTACTATTGGATTTGTAAAAAGATAACATTTTATAATTTTGCGTATTTTTATATATATTATCTTATTTTTCACTCTCTAAAAATATGCGAAATAATTATAGTAATTCGTATTAATGAAGAGGAGGCTGAAAATTAATAAGCGCAAATAATGCGCAATTGTGATTGGATATCGTCTTATAGACTTTAATTTATCATATGGTCTATATATTGTGTTACTTATATTTTTAATTGGAAATATAGATACCGTATACTTGTATCTGTAAATACAGGCATTTCATGCACTATTGCAGTTTGTTAGGTTCTAAGTATTGCGCAGTTTCTTACGGTCTCGAATTCAGAAATCCATATTTTTGCTTCCGTGGCTTCCTTCAGGTAGATTTTTTCAGATGCTTGCTGCCGGAAGATTTGTATGCTTGATACTTGCATATGGACTTTGCCGTTTGCACAATCCATGGGTGGTTGCGGTGAGTGTTTGTGTGATTATCTTAGAATTGAAAGTGAGTGAGGAGTAGTATTGTGAAATTTTCGCCTTCTTTCGCTTTTAGGTGACCACAGCCGGATCCAGTGCATTTCTCATTGCGAAAGTCTTTCTGTATACGGTGCGCGATTTCTGCCTTCCATTTCAGATTTGAAACAACCGTTTATAAGTTGAATCTTCGTTACAGTTTGCTCAAGGCGGTAATAAAGATTCGCCAATTTTGGATTACATCTTGTTAGTTTCGTCTTTTATCCTGTCTTGGACGGAAACATGGTTTTTGGATTTTAAAGTATTACCGCGTGAAACAAAGGAGCGGCTGGAACGTAAGGGATCCGGCTGGAGAGTGTTGAAAGCATTGTGTAATAATGGATTGAATTTGTCAGAACTGAAGCGGGCCGCATCGGAATCCACGCCGCTTTTGTATGGAGGAGCGCTGCGATATGATCAGTTTTCGGATACGGGTGGATCAAATTCGGCATACTATTCACCAGTCCAAGGCGGCTCACCGGAAACACGTAAGCCTGCATTTTCAGTTTCTCAGTTTCCGGTATTTTTATTATAACTCTAGAAAAAATTCTAATAAGATGATTTCTAATGTTTCATATCAAGATGTAAGGATAAGTTGCAATATTATTGGGAATTGACAGATTGTTTATTCTTAGAACTTACAGTACTTCTACGGCGAGTTTTGCTCTTGTAACCTAGTGACTGAAATGGAAACTGATAAATTTATCATGTATTTAGTATTTACGATTATGAAAATGTGCAGTACAGTAATGAAATAAAGTTGGGTGCATCGATTGTTGTCCTTATTTAATATGCTGAGATTTTTTTAACTTGTGCACGATCAGTACGCGCTTAGCTTAATTGCTGGCTGTGACTTTAACGAGAAAGTTTACCAGAACAGCTGTAAAGTGATTACGTCAGTTTTATGGTACTTTTATCAGACTGATCGTCTGATGAAGTGTTTGGCCTGTCCCAGTTGTTTTGGCCTGTGCAAGTCAAAACGACCTGGTGAGATCGTCTTTGTTTCCTTATGTTTGAGGTAGTTGTTGTTAATTTATCTAGGATCACTAGCTGGAGAAGATGTGGGTACGAGGAAGCGTACGGAACCACCTCACGAGGTGTCCCCATTAACTGCTGCACAGGTGCGTCATCATGCCATACAGATTTTACAAATGATGTTATGAGGAACACGATACTACAATAGCTTATAGTAAGCAACTGACTGCAGGTGGAACAATAGGTGTCTTTGTCGACATAATTCAGGGTTATTCAAAATTTTTTATTGTGGCGAGATATTTAGGCGCTAAACGTTAGGAAAGCCGTATTGAGTTTGGCCGTGTTGGGTTTGCTAGTAGCTACCTGTATTATTATAAGGTGGTCGTAGTTACCTATATGTGGAACGGAATGTTTAGAAATGTTTGGAGTATGGCAAATAGTCGTTTGACGTTCTTTTTGAAACCAAAAGAAATTTAGTTTCTTAGTTTACAGAAGCGGAAAAGAAGTAGTAGTAAGAAACGACGTCGCACTTCCGACGGTGAAGGAAAAAGACCACAGCTAGAATCGGAAAATTCGATTTTTTCACCATCGGAGAAGGTACAGGTTTAAAATGTGAGCGTTTTGAAAAGTCAGATATCTTTCATGTAATAAGTTACCTGAGTAACAAATTTCATCTGACCAAGATAGATTAGCTGATAGATGTGCTGCTGCTCACGGCAGCTAACCCCCACCTGGCTCGGTGACTTCTTTGAAAAGGGCATAGTCGTATTATTGGTCGGAAATTTATTTTTTGATTCCTCAGTTACAAGAGAATTTTCAAAATCGCACTTTATCGTATGCGTAAATTTCTCGAATAAGCCATCAGTTGAAAACATATACATGCTTTCGTAGTAAAATTGAAAATATTTCGATTTCGGTAACATTTCTTTTGAAGAACATTACTTTTGTGGACTGATCAGCGTAGTGTTGGTAATTTCGCTTAAAATTCTGATTCCATTTATTTCAATTTTCAAATCACAGTTTACACAAGTTAGCAATGAGTAAACTCAGCGCCCGAGTACTAGCGATCCTAAAAACATCTACTGTTTGAATTTCAAAAACATTGAGGAGGTTTTTGGTTGTATAGGATCGCTGTATGATAATTGGGCGGAATGACGAGTGCCTGTTTGATGGATACTCCGGCACTTCCGACGGGTTGTGTAGTTTGTCATTCCCCCATTATTCAAACGACTATATAATACAAGTTCAGCAGGATACGTTACGAAGTGATGTCGACATTCTGCTTCGAAATTCTCTTCCTCAACAGCGCAGTAGTTGTTTCAGAGCAATTTCGTTCCCAAAATTTTTTTCGCAACACTTGGTTCAGGTACATGCATTGTAATACTGTGATCTGATCGGGTAATAAACGGTAGTTGGAAAGCCTTAGCTCAGGAATTAAAGTTGCTGTTTGTTTTCAGTAAACTGAGTCTTGGTTGTTCGTTAACAGTTGTTAATTTTGCAGCGAATTGCCTTAATAGAACGCGCAAAAATGAACCTGGCGGTTGTGAAGGAATTCCAGAATCGCTCCGGTTGGAAGCTGGAAAAACAAGGGAAATGCGGATCAAGTGTATATAGTTTGGACGACAAGAAATATGGGAAAATCTTCCGAGTGGAAGGCCTGGTTCGAGCTGCTTCGGATGACGTCTTCTCAGATATTTATCAGAAAGTCAATGAAGCCGTGAACTGGAACCATACGATTGCTTTCAGTGAAGTAATTCTGATATTTTACACCACTTTTGCGCCACTTTAGTATCAAGCGTAAATAATTATTATGGTAATGTATTTTTCTTTAATAAGTTGAATTCAGTATTGTCTTGCATAGAAGCGGTGCGTTAATGACGGTCTTGAAACAATCCAATCTTCGGAGTTTGATATAAGTAACACAGTACTTGGGATAACTATTAAGAATTATTCAAAGTTAGTCATTGCAGTTCATAAAATATTTCCCGGTATTAAGCAGTTCTTAGTAGCTGATTCGTTGTGCTTGATAGAGAGTGGACCTCCTGGATGACCACTGCGATGTGACCTATGTGTGCGTCAAAGACCAAGCGGGTGGGATGGTTTCGAGTCGGGACTTTGTTGACGTGCGCTGCTTCGAAATGCATCCTTCAGAACTCGGAAACAGATATGTGATTGCCGGAATTGGCTGTGAACATCCGCGCAAACCTGTTACAAAAGAGTTTGTAAGGTATAATGGCACCAATGTTTCTCCTTTCTTTTCCTGTTTGCTCGTTAGGTCGTATGATGTATCGTACTCCATGCATGTTAAAAATCTTTCTGAATTTGCAGTTATTTGTATGAGAATATAACGCTTCGTATTGTTAATACAGTTTGTTTGAAAGCCGTATTTTATGTTTTGTTTGAGCAGAGGGGTTAATGGTCCCAATGCCTGGATTAATGAACCTGTAGCGCCCTCGGCAAATGGAGCCGTATACTCTAAATTCATATGCTTTTCGAATACGAATCTAAAGGTACAGTACCGTGTTTCATAAGCTCTGTCCAAACGTAAAATGGTGTTTTTCATATTTATGCTTCTTTAATTACTTTTCCAAATCTGCATGATTTGTAGGGATGGATACCACAAAAAGTGGTCGACCAAGCTATGGCCAGTGTTCTTTTGGAGTTAATACGCAGTTTGCAAAAGAAATATGAGCCGAATATTCCTGATTGTTCACCGTAGTGATTTAGTGTTTCGATCTAGTCGAAGTTTTTGTTTTGAAATTTTAATGAAGTTTTATGAGATTTATCTCTTTTGATTTTTGTTACTTGCCTCTTTTTATTGATTAATTATTGCTTTTTTTTAAAATTTGAACATACTTTTTAACTTTCATGAGTTTCTGTTTGTTGAATTATAGTGATCTGTCCATGTGTTTTCGAACATGATGCTTTGCTTATTTCCCGAGAAGTGTTGAATAAATAAACGTGTGCGTTCATCTCAAGAAGGTGTTGCATTAACTGCAGTTTAATGATTCAACTCACCTGGCTTTTCTGCTTACAGCGGCTGTTTTCCTGTTATCAGCATCCGTTGAGCAATCCTTAAAAGCGCATTATTCTTCTGTAAACTGCTCGCAGATGGAGCTAGCGGCACAATGTTGTGGAAATTTTTTCTTATCGTTGTTTTTGTCGGTTGCTTAAAATCAGAAACTATTGTCGGTAATTCGGCGGAAAATGACATCGGTACTAACGGATATTCGGAAGTGGATGATCGGTATCACGACACCTTGAAAGATCCCCAACACAGCAGGACTGTGGATTCATCGGGAGAGCGTCTAAGCACTCATTTTCGTCCACACCAGATTATGTATCCGACGAGGAATTTCAACAGGGGACACCACCAACCAATCAGTTCCGAGAGATTCAGGCCGACGAAACTGACAGATTCGTCCCTAGAGTGGGCATTGTTATCATCCAGGTTAATTCACCCGTTATCGAGAAACGATTATTATCCAAGAACGTTTTGGCCGTCATCACTCGGTCATTTATTACCGGCACCGGTTTTTCACCATCGCCGTGCTCATTTACCAAATCCGCCGAGGTTTAATTATAATGTGCGATCTCCGATAGTCAGAGTGCGGCACAATGCAAGGATCAACTTTCGCCCATGATCTCTTTTTTTGACGATTTGAAATTATCTTTAGTTTGACTTCACTAGATGGCGTAGATGCTGAGAGCTTCCAAACGTGATTTTTTATGGCTTTCAGCTACATTTATGACATGCATATGAAATATAAAAAATAAGAATTAGCTTTATACACACATTCGCGGAAATCACCGGAAACCACACGTCTGTTACAAAGAACGCATCTTCTAGCCACATTAAACTGGAAATGCTTTTGCGATATATCTATAAACATATGCGTCCGAGTTTGATGAAACTTAGGCCGCTCACGATGCATCTACTGTCTTGTGTCTTGTAATTCCACAACCTCTAAAAGTTACCACTGTGTCTGGCTCTTCGTGGATAATAATATTTAGGCAAAAATCAATTCTATTGTACTCTGCCAGTAACTCTGGTATGTCGGTAAATTTTAACCGTATCACCTATGCACTAAAATGCAACCACTACCCTTTCTATACTGGTAGTTAATATGCACCGAAAATGGCTTGAAATCTGAACGTACAGATATTTGGCGTTACATGCTCACGAAAAATTCATCCAGGCTACATTATGCAATAAATTATCAGTGTGCAAATACGGTAAGCAATGGTACACGTTCGATGGAGAAAGCCTTCTTATACAAGTATGGAGCACCGGATGTCAGATTAAGAAAAAGTTACCTTTTCACATAATTATGTCATAGTGTATCAAATAGCAGAATTGTCTAATAAAGACCGATTGTGCGCTGTTGTGCGAGAGCACCGTGGGAACATCTTGTTGGAGTCCGAGTAGCCGAAGAAACGTCGGACGCCTGATAAATTGTAGCTGCGGTGAACGATAGGATTACCGATTACGAGTGCGAGCTACCGAATCCGATGGTCTCATTACGTATTGTTAAAAGTGCCGTTAATTAGGTTTGATCGTGAGAACTAGGCACATGATAGCGGCTAAAAAACTGTAACTAATTATCACATAACTCTTTGATCGACTGAATTTTCTTTAAAGTTATTATACTAAATTTAATCGGTTTTCTGTCTGTTGGCTGGACACGTTGACCTTGCTGACACTGCGAAATACACATAGCTCCCGTAATAAAGCGTTTTTAAGTTCTGTGTCACCGGTACACATCCTGAGAATTGATAAGGATAATTTTTTAAGTGCGTAGTCGAAAACGCGTCTAGCTACCATACTTCTCTACTTTTTGTTCGTTAATATATAGTATGTGCTGTCTATTTTCGTACACAGTTGGTATTTTTAAGAACGCTGCCTTAATGTATACAATTAAAAAACTGCACTAGGATAACTTATAATTAAGTACTATAAAAATACCTATATAATTTGAACCATATTATGCTTACACGCGCAGTTAGTATTAATAGTTGTCCGTGTCGTGTTAATCGAAGCGTGCAATATTGGTCAATGCAAACAAAACAGTAAACAGCATTATCTGTGTAAAAATTTAATAATACTGTAGTCATTGTGCCCGAGTTGTGCGGTGAAAATTACTATAATATCGACCAACGTATTATACCTCTGCATTAACATACGTCCGCTATTACCGCTACTGTTCTGCCATTCACTATGTATTGTACAAGTACATATGTCAGCTGCATTATTAGAAAGCCGCGCGGCATTGTAAAATGTGGAGCACACTAATAATGCACGCACCATTGGCGATTCTGCAAGCTGCAACAAAATCGTCCAACAACCTTCACTAATGTTGTTTCAGTCGCTGTCCTTCGAAATTGTTTGATCCATCGATTTATGCACAACACAAACAAACGTTTTTCTCGTCTACATAGGTAGGCGCGGGCTAGCGCTGTTTCGGTGCATAATGTTGTCAGTACCTGTCTGAATTTTGCGATAAATTTATCAAAAAGCACGGTGAAAAAGGTCGGCTGCGCGTCCAATAAGTGTCAGTACGCTGTTGAACTAATGCCTTTTATGAATCGATATCTTTTCCTCTGTGTATTGTCGCCAGTGGTGCTACTGTGTTAGCATCGTATGGGTGTTAATTTCCCACAATCTGCTGAATCCGCACGATTATTTTCAACATGTCGCGTTGACAACCGGCTCTCTTCCGTTTGGCACAGAACGTGTTCTGTTGATTTTGTATTGTGATGCCATTGTTTTTAACAAACACTTTAATTCATTCGATTCAAATACGGTAACAAATCGCTAATATAATGTTATGTTTTGGAATGGGAATTGATTTTTAACTTATATGCGCTTTGTGCGAAAATCAAGTTGTGAGATTTTGTCAAGAGTGTGTAGAGACTGTAGACAGCAATACGTGTTTGGTTTTTGGTTTTTTCGTAAGTGTTGCGATTGTCTGCGTGAAATCACTTATATCTATATCGAAGTAATATTACTGTAACGTTAAAATTTTTTCCCTGTCCATCTTAACATTGATGTATACTTTATCATCTATATTTGTGCAACAGTTTTCTTTCTGATTGCCTTATGAATGACTTCCGTTGCTGTACCTGTGGATCACATAACTCATTTTAATAACCACCAAATCAATCATATCAGCCCGAATAATAACGGGAAAATGGTCATTATGGATCAAGACGTTGAAGTGGCAGCGGAATCTGACTGCTTTTGGGAGCCGGGAAATTATAAACGAACTACCAAAAGGATCTCGGATGCATACGTCCTGTGCAATGAATTAATACAGCTGATACAGGAACGGTAATATTGTGTTATAAACTTGCTTTCCTTGATTTTCAAGGATAAATAATAGCTTTAGGTATGGGCAAGATGAGGATTAACAGGTTTAAAATAGGCATACGTCCGTTCATGCTCACATGTTTAAACATTTACTAGGTGACCATGACCGCATTTAGATCCAAATTACAAAGCATAGCGCTGTTATGTAAAGTAAATTGCGTATTCCGCTAGCAGTATTTTTAAACAAATGAAAATATACAAGCATACGTTTTTGTGTTATTTTTTTTAACAGTTTAAATAACAAGCGGAATTTAATAAGTACACTAAATGCATGAACATGGTTTATTAGATAGGCATATTGCGTGTGCTTATTATTACTACAGTAGGTACTACTGTAGTAATAATAAGCATAAGCAGTGCAGTGCAGCTGCAGCTAGTTGTAATTAACGTATTATTGCTAAACGCTTACAGCAAAATGTTAAATTTTTAAATTCATGGTAAATTAATTATTTCGTATAAATTAGTAAAAAAACTGTAATATAAAAATCTGAAATTTTTCAAGCAAAGCAGTTATAGTTTTAAATACTCGTAATGTGTCACTGTATTGAACGTACGGTATTTAGGTACTTGTACTGAGTTGTACATAATACGCACAATATACCAGAAAAGGAATCATGCTGTTTCATACACTGCTCTAGCGGATTTTCTTTTTTGTTAAATATGTTTAGATTTACCATTTCGGCTGTCGCGGGTTAAAGTGGCACCGGAATAAGACCTAATAATAATTTTGGCAAGAGCACAACCGTAACAAACTAGTACTTTACGTTCACTGTACAAGATAAGGATTGGCATATCGACTTATCGTTGAGTTCAAGTATCCCCTATAATAAGCAAAAGTCACTGTGGTGTAGCGGTTATCACGCCTGTCTCACACACAGGAGGTCCTCGGTTCGATCCCGAGCAGTGACATTTTTGGGTCTTTTTTTATGAAATTCTTCGTTGCGTTGCTTTTGCGTTAGTATCATTACAAGGAAAAATCTGTCCTTTTGATGGGAATTCTTTCATAAGTGGTTTTTCGAGCGGTTTCGCTTTGACACCATTAGTTAATATAACTGCTTCCTACACTTTTCCCATTTACATGTTTAACGAGCAGCATTTACCGACAAACGACAATTCGATTTCAGTTACTGCCGGTAAATTCCTGCCACGAGCTACTTAATTATGCTGCTCTCGAATTCCGCAAACTAAACAGAAAGCAAATATGCTTACAATAATTTTATATTTCTAGAGGTGAGATTGAAGCAAAGTACGCAACAACGTTGCGATCATGGTCAAAAAAGTGGAATGCCGCCATCGACAAGGGAAACGAGTACGGAACTATGGCGGCAGCCTGGAAAGCAACGCTGAACGAAGCCGACCGGTTGGCCCTTACGCATATTCGGATGAAGGAGAAAATGGATAATGAAGTGGTCAGCTCCGTCCGACAGTGGCAAAAAGACAATTTTCACAAAACAATCATAAGAGATTTTAAGGAGAAAAAAGAACTGGATGATGCTTTCCGCAAAGCACAAAAGCCGTGGGAAAAGAAGCTGCGGGATGTACAGAAAACGAAATCGGAGTATCATGCATGGTAAGGAATGAGTACTTATATCTATACTTGAAGTATACCGGTACGCTGTACAGGATCTCTTACGCAAAAACCAGCTCGCAAAATTTTACCGTATGTACAATACTTAAGGATCGATCACTTAAATATTTTTTTGACAAATGTCTCCCTTGTTTTTGGACATTTTTCGTTGTTTTCAGTAATCAATCAATCACGGCAAACTAACAATGTGAAATTGTAAATCACTGAAATAAGTGTCATTATCGCAGCCGTTCCTTAACTACTCAGTAGTGCTCGAACGAACCGAGGAAATTCATAATACAGTACTCTATACGTTCAACATATATAATTCACACTCTTACTGTACAATTCTACGTTTAACATATCAGAAATGATTGTTCCATAAATTTGTACGACATTTTAATTTTTTGGATCCTTTCTATGACCGAAGGTGCCAAAAAGAGCGAACCGCGATAGTCAGGGAGAAAAATTCTGCAAAAGATACTTCCATATCTCCCGATCAGAAAAAGAAACTGGAAGACGATGTGGTGAAATTTACCGAACAAAAGCAGCAAATGCGTGACCGCTACGAGAAAAGTTTACGCGATATCAACGAATATAACGCCAAATACATGGAGGACATGGGCGACGTGTATGACAAGTGCTCCGAACAGGAACGCCAACGGCTGACCTTTTTCAAGCAGCAGCTGAAGAATCTCCACCGCTGTGTCGATATATCGCGGGATGAAAATGTGCGGGAAATATATCAGGAATTCTGGGCGACAGTTGACGGCACCGATCCGGAGAAGGATCTACGTTGGTGGTCCAAAACGTACGGTATTGACATGCCGATGAACTGGCCCATCTTCGAAGAATTTCAGCCGGAAGTGAAGAATATCGCCGGCAAGAAGAGCGGCAGCAAAGCGCTGGCCGGTGGTGATGGTATAGCACTGACGGGCGTGCAGTATAAGTTTACCGAGGATGATGTGATACCCCCTAGTCTACCGGTTTCGCCGACCCACGCCGCGGCTGGGACCACTCAAGTTTCGCCGGTAACCGGATCAGGTAGGCGGAGTGCAGCAATTTATGCGCTCATTTCAAGCAACTATTACTGTGCAGTTAACGTTTAAAAGAAAATTAACGAAAAATGCCGTAAAAGCTGTATGCCGATTAGCTCATCATTTTTTTACGCAGACAATAGATACGCAGACATGAACACAACGAAAGAATTACAGAAGAGTATAAAACAGTTTAAAATTTAGCGTACACTATTGAATAAAACGATTTATTTGCAGATAATAATTATTTACGTTGAAAATTTTAATTATTGACTTTGAAAAATTTATTGTTGCAGATTACATCTTAAATATTATATACCTGTTGCAGTGTTTCAAGCAAATGGAATTAGTACTATTATGCATTTTGTAGACCACTTTAACTTTATGTAAATAAATCTATGCGCTGAAGCATTTTTAATTAAGTGGCCACACCTGTTGAATATTTAGAGTAATCAGACACACGTACGACAACTACGAGTACACTGTACAAATGTGGTGAATATGAGTGCCGCTGTTGAAGAGTGAGTGATCAATATTTACAAGCACAAATACGCACCTTCACAAAACTAATGGTTGCAGGTTGCAGTACTGAATACGGTATAGCGGTTTATTATCGTTAATAATTATCATTGTACAATACATAGTCAAAAACAGTAAACACAACCGCAGACAGTACGTATGTACTGCGCTAACTGCCAATAACAGGTCACATGTGAAACAGGTAAGATGTTTATGGGCCGAAATTATATATTTTGTTGATTCAAATAGCAAGAAATATCGACGGAATTTTTACGTAATATCATAAGTAATTTCTCCCCTGTACTGTGTAGTTTTTTAAGGCAAACATTTTATTTAGCAGACACAACTCACACAATTACCGTTAAACTGGAAGCTAACCATATAATTAGAAAGTATTATAAAGGCTGACTTTTTGTGCTTGTCCTGTTACAGCAACCCTACCGACACAGCCTTTACCCAGTCCATTTCCCGAGGAAGACTGGGACGATGATCTGAACAGTACCGGCTCCCGGGATGTGGGTGACCCTGGTATTCCGGTGCGCGCCATGTACGACTATAAAGCTCTCGAAGACGACGAGCTTTCGTTTAAAAAAGGCGATGTTTTTGAGAAACTGGAGGACGAGGATGATCAAGGCTGGTGTAAAGGCCGAAAAGATGGCCGACTGGGACTGTTTCCTGCGAGTTACGTAAAGGATGTGCCGGGCCAGTAATATATGCTGACAATCTTGTTCACAAGAGCAACGCACGGTGGAACTGGAGAGTTTTAAATATTAACAGACATGGTGAGATCGGCCGGATGTGGCCAGCACGGATGTATCTGCAAAACTGTGGAAGTTGTAATTGGATAGTGAGCTCATTAATTTAGTGCTTAAAATTGAAGTCTGTTCGATCTTGATACGGTATACTGTCGCTATTTGGTAACCATAAGAAATGGTAAAGCAGACATAACTCTGGTAGCTTTTGATCATTTTAAATTGCTGGATAAGATTGGTTTGAATAATAAGTAGTTTGTAAGTTTTAAGTTTATAACACATTCATGGACAAATAACACCTGTGCAACAACAGTAAATTACGTACTTCGAATCCGCTCGTCAATTGATCATTATTACTTCGCAATTGTGCTAATGGATCACCCAGAACACGATAATGATTACGAGTTTATCAATTTGGCGCTTAAAAGATTAACAAAGTTACTGCTGGACCTTTAAGGTAGTGCAAGTATTTGCCAATTCGAAATTTTAAATACCCTTACACATAACCAAATAAACATTGTAGTGAGCAATTTTTCGTCGCTTCAAGCTGCTTGCTGAACGCATTCGGTCCTGGCAAAAAGAGATTCAAGAACAAACCATGCTTGTGCAAATAACGACCGGAAATTATGAATGAACAATTAAAAATATCAATAAAATGTTGCGAAAGACAGAGGAACGGCTGGTAAAATTAGTTTGGGGCTAGTATAAATACGACCATAACGTCAGGCCAATTCGAGGGGCCAGTAGTGCAGTCAACAGAACCGAAATAAAATTCACACTGTGGTTGTCCAAAATGCTGAATCCGCTGATCTTGACAATTTTCGGTCCGGAAAAATTAACTACTCGCCCCATTTCGTCCAAACCTGTGCAAAGACAGGAAAGAAAAACTAGATTTTAAGGAAAACGATTTTAATCAAATCACTTTCTGTAAATCAAATTTATAACAAAAGGAAGCGACACTTCAAAAGCGGTTCTTACCAGAATATTGAAAGATGGCACCAAGGTAGGAATCAAAAAGAGATCCAAGGAAGCCCAAAATTCCGCCAAGAGGAATCAACGGCCACTGGGGAGGGCTGGAATTCATGATATTCGAATGTAGGCACAGTAAGGTCGTCACATAAAACAGACCGGCAATTATAACTCCACCAAGAATACTGAGGAGAAGTCCAGTCACCGAAACCGCTCCATTTGTACCTGCCGATATAACCAACAATAAGAAAATGCCACATGCATAACTTTCGCAAATCAGAAACTACTTTCCGTGTCTAAGTCCTTAACATCGCAAAAATAAATAAAAACGTCGGCTGTGTTATTAAACGACGTAAAAAAACAGCTGTAACATTAAGAAATACTATATACAACCAAACAAGTTCCCAGATGTACCGATGCGATCAACTGTATTAATCACCTACGCACATACTTACCTCGAGGGACTTTACGGAACGTCGTAATCAATCGAGGCTCTCTCCGACTCCAAACGGAGCCCAACTCCGAAGCCAGAGTATCACCACAGCTGCACGCCAAGGCACCCAAAACAGCCAAAGCATACGTTGTTTCATAGTATGAAATACTGAAATCGATGGCTTTTTCCCGACATCCCGTCTCCAGCATGTACAAAAAGGCAAACAACGTTGCTACTCCTCCGTTGCAAAAAACTTGCACCCAGTTACGCTGGCCTCCTGCAAAATCAAACAATATATCAAATCACGACTTCAAATATTATACTTATACTTTTCAGCCGATCACTGTTCAGACATCAACCATAATCAACTGTGTAGTCAGAAAACATTACTACTTTCCAAAGCAAATGTGAACAAGCCACAATAAGCGTAAGTAAATGAAAATGATACCAAAATCTGCTACAGAAAAATTACAAAAATATCCAAAAAGATATAGCTGCTAAACATATTTCATAAATATACGAATATAATCCGAATGAGAAATATGTAGTAAAATAGAATTCCTAGGAACACGATAAATTCAAAAACTATAGTTTTTAAAATTACCTTTACGATAATCGGCCTCAAAGCGCCGCTTCAGATCAGCTCGCACATTGGTCGATTTGGATCCCAGCAGGAAAAAGCCGACCAAACACACCATAAAAGCGTAGCTGCTCATCGTCACGATAAATCCTGTAACGTATGCGGCGAATGCTCCCGACAGGTTCAAGCTCTGCCGCTTAAAACCCCACACCGAAATGTACAATGGCAGCATGACGGCCATCAGCCAGCGGACAGGCGAAATATATTCTACAACAAGATAAACTGTGAGAAGAGATTACTGGTTGTAAAAGGCTTAACTTACCGCCTTCCGCGCTAAACCAGTGGAACAGCATCCAGAAGCCAAGAGCGAACGGAAAAAGAATAATCAAGCCAAACAGCACGATGAATAAGGCGGAAAAGGAGTCAACAGCATCCAGAAGAACCAGATCAGCGTAACTCCTGTTCTTATAGCGCTCCTGGCACTCCTTGGTCAAAGTGCGAATTCCCGGACTGCAAATCCTACCGTTTGGGGAAGATGTTCGAGGGTGCTGACGCAAACGGCGACTGTCGTTCGTAATAGCCATAATCTCCCATACATCGACTGGACTTTGCAACGGAACTGTTATCAACTTATCAATAACTGGCAAACTTCTGATCTGACGACAGATGGACAAAAGATAAGGGAAATCTGCGGTGTCAATAGGGGAGGCCCGATATTAATATTTACCAGGTTAGGATTAAAAATTTTGACTGCATTCAGTGCAAACTGCCGCCCAGGGCGCAAGTCTGCAACTCTCCTTGTTTCACTATTTAAAACCAGTGTCCAGTGTCCACAGTTACTCTTACTTTGAAACCTGTAATTCCAGCTTGAGAAACGCCGGCCGTTCGAGTTTGCCAAACTTGGGAACAGCACGATCAAAAGTTAATTAATTTATTGAAAGTTCCGTGAGTCACAACTTTCTTCGTCACATAAGGATACGTATCAGGTTGTTACTATATACCGTTGCTGATGCTGTGACGCTGGCAAAGGGCAGTTTTTTGTAACAAATTCTGACGTGTATTGGTAGCTCATTCCCGTGATACAGTAATTATTGTGAACTTGTCATAACAGTGTATAGCATCTGAACTTGGTATTTCAGTAAAATTCAATAAAAAATTTTTAGTATCGTATTGTTTCAAACCCAGCCTGACCCGGCAAAAACGCAGAAGCAGCATAAAGGCGATAACATCACAATTTCTTAATTCCGGAAAAAAAATTGAACGTACATAAAATAACCAACACCATAATAATTATGGTTCTTGCAAAAAAACTGGTGATAACCCTTTACAACATTCTAGCAGGTTATTATGTATCTGCAAACACTGCAGATAAACCAGCTCGGTCCAAATCCGAAGACTGGAAATTATATCAGTTTAAAACAGTTAAAAGCATTATGTACAAAGCTTCGTCTCCATTTGTGCACCAAAAACAACAGGCAGCGTTGCGGACAGTATATGGACGGAAACGCACGTCCTTGCGGATATCCTTTCCCGAGACGAAATGACCTGAGATACTATAAAACCTGACAACTTTCTACTTTATTTATCTGCCCTTAAGTGCTCCTCAAACTCCATTGCTTATTTCAACAGCGCTGGGAATACATAACAAATCCTTCGCACCGGAATGATAATAATCGGCAACCATGAGTTATTCTCCTTCACCATTTGGCTGCAATCCGTTATTAAAATTTCTAGTGATCACGATCTCCGCCGGTTGTGTAATGGCATCACCATTGCTTTCCATTTTCCTCCACGGCCGATCACTAGGGTAATCCATCCCGGTCCAACACATACGTCCAGAATAGTAACCCTGCAATTGGGCTTCCTCCTTACAAATCTGCACCGCTAAATACGTGTGCAGAAGGAGTCGCGGGAATCGCGAGATGAAATACTCAACAAACCCGTCAGGAATCTCTCCTAATGACTGACGCAACGGTTCTGACAATTCGCGGTAATGATGTTTTTTATTGCGGATGGCGCGCAGAAGATCCCGTACGGAACCCCCACGATAAGTGCGGTGTTTTTTCAGATCGTCTTGCAGCTCCATTCCAATATGTTGACGCCAGTTCCATCGTACAACCGCACCGGCGTTTTTCTCGAGATTGTGGACAACGGGACTGGTGGTTTCTTCCTTCTCAATACGGTCTGACACATCCTATCAAAATATTGATATAATTGCGGCCAACTTGGATTGATTATCGAATCGCGCAACTAATCGTCAACTCTTAATTTCATTGTAACACTAACCTGTAAAAAGGAAAGATGTCTGCCGTGATCCCAGAAGAAAGGATGTAAAAGAACACAGTCTGCCGATGGACGCTTATCTGCCTGCGCATGAATCATTTGACTGATTATATGTCGGGCAATAATTCCATCTTGTTCCGCTTCACTCAAATGCTGCATTGTCCATTTTCCTTCGACAATGTTTCCCTGTCTAGCAAACCCATTTTCGCCGAAGGGATGGTGTCCTTCGGTCAAGCAGTAATAGAATACACAACCCGCTGAAAAAATATCCACATTCCGGTTAACACGCTGCGCCTGTCCCAGCATTTCCGGAGCGATCCATCCCTGTGTACCTAGCGTGCCGGAATTGATTTTTGTAAATGACATCCGTTCCTGTGATATCTTTTTACACAGTCCGAAATCGCTGATAAGCACGCGCACATGACCATCCAGGCTTGGGTAACTTAGAAGGATATTGTGAGGTTTAATATCACGATGCACAATGTTAAGTTTGTGGAGATGAGACAGTCCCTCCATCGTCTGCTTCAAAATACTGCGGGGCATCAGATGTGGAAACCGAGTCTGTCTCTCCTGTACGTAATCCGTCAGTGTCGCTTGGCACAGTTCCAACGCAATGTAGCGGAATTGCGAGTCGGATTCAGTAGCGAAATACCGAATGACATTCGGATGAAAATCGGATTCTTTTAGCAGCGCCACTTCCCGGTCGGCAAAGGAGAAGCAGTCGGGAAGCAAGCGCTTGACGGCCACATCACGGCCATCAAACTGTCCCTTGAAGACGCAAGTTCCATCGCATCCCCGTCCCAACAACTGCGTCGGATCGAAATGGATCTTTCCCACAACAAAATCATGTTCGCCCAGAAAGCGCAGTACTCGATCCTGAGAGCCTGTACTCCCGACGCTCCCTGTACTGCTAGTGGTAACTGCCATATTCGCTCGCGATTTCCATACAAATACAACACCGGCAACTCCCACACTGAGCGAAACCAATACAATGGATATCAATGCGTACACCGCCAAATCTGTGTGCAAAAGCGATGGCAACAAAGGGGAGGATGGAACAGGAACGACAGGAGGCAGTGCCGGAAGACCTTGGAACATCTCGGGGTCATCCCTCGATTTTACGAAGGGAAATGGATGGAAGCCGACAAAATTAGGAGATATCATTACCGGAATCGGCGCCGAGTTAATGGGTTGAGTATTCAAGCATGAAGGCTGGAAAATGGTGTTTTCATCAACAACTGTGGCAATGCACTGCGGCTCCTGAAAATATTACAACATCACCATGGAACGCGGCTACAAAAAATTAGTTGGTGTTACTTGGTGTATTGGCAAAATTTATCCAGGTAAGCTAATATTCCTACTATCTCAATCTTCGGTTCGAGAATGTCAGTTCGGTAAATAATGTAGCGACATACCGGTTTTATGGAAACTGCTGTCGTGATTACAGCGTGGTCATTTGTTTCATTTTCGATTGCGTCGACCGGCATCTCCGAAACAATTGGCAGCACTTCTTTTTCCTGCTGCCGAATCATCTCACTGACGGTTTCCAAAAATGGTTTTGCCTCCTGTGCTTTTGACATTTTTCGATCGAACAATGCCGGCATGCAATAAACAGTACTGGAACCATGCTGTCCGATGAAGAGCATCCGGTCCAAAGAATTAGGAACCACGGCCAGCTGTGTACGCCTCTTCAATAATTCCGGGACAAAATATTTCAGAGTAACGGCTTTGTCAACGCCATCTTTGAGGAAGCTCTGCATTATGGGGGGAACGACGACGTGGTGCGAAATTTGGTGGATTGTACCGTCAGCGTTCAGACTGTAAATGGCCACAACGGGACTGTTGTACTTTGAATTCCAGGATACGGCTTTCCGGTCGGTGCTCAGTTTAATTAAATCACCCGAATTCGAAGAGGAGAGAATCACATCGGTGTTAACCTGCGGTATAACGGATAATGATTAGAATTATCCATGCTTATAGAAGCCAAGAAACAAAATTATACTCACACAAAAACAAGAGTAAATTTTCTATTTTCTACATGCAACAGAACTTCTGTTACAGAAGAAAGAAATAAGTAACTGATTCAAAAAATATTACTATGCAAAATTCTGTTATACTTAATCTTATATCTTCTATTATAAGTTTCGCTATTCTTAATGCAGAATAATATATATTTTCAATGTGTGCAATGTACTTGTACAGCTGTCCTCTGTCAAGTCTCGCTCGCTCGAAGCGCAATGCAATGCATTTATTCAGTACTCTTATGAATAATGGTCACGCAACTGAAACGTGCGAAAAAAGGCGCCGTAAGCATTCTAAAAAATTTAAAGTACTGCTCCACCACCATGTTATTGAATTACCGTAACTTGTAACATGCAATAATTTCAGCTGTACCAAATAAAGACACAAACCAAAATTAATTAATAAATATGATAAGCATACCTCAGGAGATGTGGAAATCGATGGACCGTAGTGCGTATAGGTAACATTCCAGATATGCTGTCGTCCACTATCCAGCAGAGTAAGTACATACTCGGTGCGGGGTATAAAAACCGTCGCGTCCGACGGAAGCGGGCAGGTGGAAAGCGATTCAGGCTGGTAATCATACCGTAACCCACTTTTCGGATCAATAGCCATCCAGGTAGCAGTCTTTTTTCCTGCAATATAAAATATGTTACAAAAGCTAAAATTTCAATACAGTTTTAAAAATTCAAATTGCAGCATAACGGAAGCTAAACCCAACGAAACGGATACACTATGCACCTGTGATAAGAATCCCGTCAGATGTTTTTTGCGGCGACTCTCCCACCAGTTCGGGAATACTCTTTGGAAACTTCTGAATATTTTTCGCCGCGTCAATAACGTACAGTCCACCGTCGGTAGGATCCGTAACGAAGACTTTATCGCCGATCTGCGCTGATGAGACTTGCAGTCGCGGGGGCTCCCGCACCGTCCACAGTGTCTTGCCTTCGTGCCGATCAACGGCATGCAGCAGACCATCCAGTGTGGACACCAACAGAATATTATATCCAGCTGGAACGGACCGTCCTGCAGGGTCCGACACCAGCATCACTTCCCGCACACTGGCCAGCGTTAACGCAGAGATCATGAAGGAAAGGATGACGACAGCGAGAAAATTAACAGCCTTCATTGTGTCGATGACAAATAGGAATTTCGAGGCACTTTGTAAGAATTAGCTCATCTCTCAGAAGAAGACTGCTTTGTAAAATGATTGTAATCCATCCGCACATGTACAGATCAAAGATTATAATCAAGGCAACACGTCTTCGGAATCATAGCTGCAGAAGACGCAAAAACGTCAGTGACAACTGTGATGACAATCTGTCACAACCACAGTAAATTTGAGATAATGCAAATTGAGGGATAAACTGTAAATAAACGATTATCGGCGATAAGACCCATAAGAGTGATTTTCATAGAACAACTCACAATGAAAAGTGATGAATGAAGTACAAAACCTAAAGATGCAGTTGCTGATATTTTTGATCGAAATCGAAATTAACCATATACGTTAACTGTAATCATATGGAATATAAAATAAAATTACGCATAAAAAATAAAAAAGCCATAAGGTAATCAAAGCTGAAGAACTGAAAATAACCAAAATAGTGACTCTGACCAAAACAGTCTTACCAGCGACTCAGAAACCCATCAGAGATCCAATCGTCCAACCTCCACGCACACTTCGTTTTCGCAAAGTGGAACCACTAGTTTGCTTCATGGAAAACTTTAATGTGACGAAAGCAGCTGACGCGTCTTCCCGCAAACAATGGGCTGATACGTAGTCCAAAGTCAAACTTCCAAGGTGGAAGTGATGAAAATTAATCCAGTTTACACCTCAGCACATGCTATTTCCGATCCCCACCTATGATCGATTATTTTACTACGGACATTTCATCGAATCCAGACTTTTGACAAATAAAACAAATTCGAAAACTACAATTAAATGGCCATTAAATACTGCGCAGTAGCTGCACCAAAATGATCTACAGATGCTTGTGTTTCTTGTTGGCAAAATCTGTTTAAATCGCACTGCACTTGTTAGCTAAACCCCTGGGCATCAGACATGAGCCATTATGTGCCGGTATTGCACCCGCCTCGAGTGACATTTGTCTCGCTTCCGGGAAAACAAGTTCGGTATCTTACTGGATTAGCGCCCCTAGAATTTTTTAAGAATGTTTTCTAAAACTTAAAAGTCAAAAAAGTGAATAATTATTTACAACTAATTTTTGAAAACTAGAATCAGTCGTTTATGGTTTAAGAGTGACAATTACTGAACGGAGCCAAATTGTTCGAATCTGCTGTTGCAGTGTTGCTGTATTATTTAGCACAGGTTTACGGGCGTTTACCGCTTTGATTGATCTGCAGCGCAGCACTGCATCTCTGCAAAATTTGCAGTCTTGGATTGGAGTCTTGGTTGTCTGTTTTGGAAGCGCATAGACGGCTTCCCCAACTTCCTTAAAGATCTCTTGTTACCGTTTACGAAGTCCTAGAAATTCGGATTAATTTATTTGGCCGATCAGTTCAGTTATGGGAAGAGCATGGTGATTTCGTTTGGACTGTCTCCGAGTTCCGACAATCGCAAGATTTCAAGTGTAAGGCGTCTCGATTCCGGAGAATTGCTTAATGTGGTTTGTGGTCACAGCAGGAAATCGCGATGAGCGCCAGACGTTTCAAAAAGGAACGCCATCCGTTCCGTCCACCGCGCGCGGCCGTAGATACTCACGCGGACCACGCTCTTAGTCCCGAGTCCCTCGAGAAACGAAACGAACCAAACAAACCCAAGTCCCACACGCAGCTTGATAAAGCGGATGATCACATAAATCCCGAGTGGTCGGAGACATGGACGCCAGAGCTGCGAACCGCCGTCAAACTCCTGCTTTCTGCTAAACTTTGCTCAATGGTGTGGTCGTACATTACGGACTGCGATGAGACATACAACTACTGGGAACCCCTCCATTATGTTCTGAATCACCGCGGTTTCCAGACATGGGAATATTCTCCCGTGTACGCCATTCGCTCATATGCCTACATTCTCCTGCATGCATTCCCCTTGAAAATCTTCCAAACTATCCTGCAACCCAACCGGTTTACCATGTTTTATTTTCTGCGTTTTGTTCTGGCCATTGCGGCAGTGGCTGTGGAAGGCGCATTTTATGCGCAGATATGTAAGCGTTTCGGACCAAGCGTTGGGAGGATGGTGCTGGTGTTTTTGCTTTTCGCCCCGGGCATGTTCATCTCCAGTACGGCCTTTCTTCCCAGTAGCTTTGCCATGTTAATGACCACGGCAGCGTACACAGCATGGTTTGCAGGTACTAACAAGGAACGACTGCTCCTCTACTTTTTGCATATATTTCGAATTTATATACCGTATTTTTCGAATTTAAAGCCTCCTCTATCGTATAAGCCTCCCCCCACCGTAGTTCGAAAATTTAGTAGCCTCCTCCGTATTAGAAGCCTCTCTCTATATACGGTGCATAGCAATTACGCTAGTTTAAAGGCTTTCAAAATTTAAAAGCCTCCTCCACAATATAAGCCTCCTCTGCTGTATAAGCCTCTCCCCAGGCACCTTTGAAAATTTAGAAGCCCAGGGCTTCTAATTCGAAAAATACGGTAATTTAAATCGGAAATTATATAAAATTTTTTCCCAGTATGTCTGTAAAAAATCGTGACTATTAAAAATGCTATGAGTTACAGTGAATGTTTCTTCCTTTGGTGTAGGTCGCAATGTTCTGGCTGTTATTGCTGTTGCCTGCAGTGGAATATTAGGCTGGCCGTTTGCCGGATTATTGGGAGCACCCATCGCCGTGGACATTATCCGGCGAAATGGACTATTTTTCTTCGTGGGTGTTTGTATCATGCTCGGTGCTGTGATTGCTGGGGCAACCGTCGCGATTGACAGTTATTTCTATGGGAAGCTTGTTTTTCCTACTTTAAACATCGTGCTGTATAACATTATTTCCGGGCACGGTCCGGAATTGTACGGAGTGGAACCATGGTATTTTTATCTTCTGAATGGATTCTTGAATTTCAACGTGGCGTTCTTCCTCGGGTTAATGTGTCCTGTATTTATCGGAGTCGCCTACGCTCTGCGGAAACGACGGAGAAACTATTTATGGAATCAACGCACTTGGGAATTTTCTTTCGGGGTTTGCGCAGCGGTTTTTCTGTGGCTGGCTATATTTTTTCGTACACCGCATAAAGAAGAACGATTTTTATTTCCAGTCTACACTCTGCTGTCGTTACTGGCCGCTATAGCTGTTGAAATTATCACGAAAATTCCATTGGCTGTGTTGTCTAGTACGTTCCCTGTGCGAATTGTTTCCCGAATTGCAACAAATTTCATGACAACCATACTCGCTGTGTTTGTGGTGCTGAGCTTATCGCGATCATTCGCATTGGCCAAATTCTACACTGCTCCCATGGATGTGTATATGAGACTCCAAGCGGAAGCCATGAATCACAGCGGAAAAGCTAATCTTTGTGTAGGTAAAGAGTGGCATCGATTTCCATCTAGCTTCTTCCTGCCGGATAAATGGAACTTGCAATTCATTCAATCGGAATTCAAAGGACTGTTGCCTAAACCATATTCGCCATATCCTCATGGGTTTGCGGCGATTCCGACGGAAATGAATGACGAAAATAAGGAAGAACCGTCTCGATATATTGATCCTTGTCAGTGCGACTACTTAGTGGATTTAGACAATCCCGGGAGAGAAACGGCTCTGGAGCCGAGTTACGTAAGCAAAAGTAACGAATGGAACATTGTCTATCGAGAGAAATTCTTGGACGCTTCTAATTCACACCGGATTTACAGGGCATTTTATGTCCCTTTCTTAAGTGAACGAATGTGTTCATTTGGTGATTACGTGTTATTGAATAGGAAACGACCGTGTGCTGTAAACCCAGCCAAGTAGTACGCTTTTTTGTTGTTGTTCTGGATTGCATTTTACGCAGATGTTTTATTTTTTAACCTTTTTTGTTGATTTACCTTGCATTTTCTATTTACGGTGCATAAGAGTTTCGCTCCTTCTTGAGCCATCAGGTTTTGAGGTTTTTTAGGACCAGCGAATCATGAGAAAATCCATTAAAATCTGTTTTGGAGCTTGATGCAGATTGCAGTTCAAACTGTATAGAATCTTTATTTGCCACCTCGGGGCTCCGAAACAATCGTCAAACAGACATCTCATTTAGAATCGGTGTGCTCATGATTTATAAAATGTCTACCGTAGAAAGTTTTAAATTTGTATCACAGACCATATCACTGATTGCGAGGAGGGTTTCATGTGGGAACCGGTTACGAATAATTCCCAGATTATCGTCATAAAATTCATCACATACAATTGGTCGTATATCACCGGTTATTGCCGTCTGAGTCTCCGATGTGGCCATTTCGCCTTTGGTCACGCATGACTCAGATGATACAATGGGGGTGGTGTTCCCATGAGAGTTGCTTGTTAATGTTACCATTTCACGCAGCCGCGTCTCCTCTTCACTCAGACCATTTTCGCCGACATCGGCCGGACGATGATGATTTAATTTCGATTGTAAAACATCCAGTTGATGGAGAGTTCGGCGATTTTTTATTAGCAGCTTGGCTCTCTCGGGATTGAGGTATTCTTCGTACTGTTCCTCTAGGATCGTTCGCATTAACGGAAGAAATTTCATTGACATCCGGCTGTAACCATAAAGGGCAATCAATGCTAGCTAATTATTACGACCGTTGTATAACCGGCCAACTTATAACGGCAAAGGAGCCAGCCATAACAGGTGCACACGTAAACTCCATTTGCTTAAATTTAATATATTTATCATCACGTTGCAAAAGGTTATCGATTTCAGTGACATTGATAAATCATTTGCCTAAACAATTAAACCTCACATATTTTTGAATTTTTGGAATTAGGCAGTTTTAAAAAAAATTACTTCTGATTTGTTAGAAGGTATGTGGCTGCCGGAATTATACGGCTACGGCAAAATGGAATTATATATGACTATGACAAAAGCATGGGGATAACATAATATCTTCATATGTCGGGCACAAAAATATTTTAACAAATCGTCTACATTCCATCCAATCCTCACCTTTTAAGTGCTTCATAAACTTGAGGAAACACAATCCTGAGACTGTTGTAGGCGGTGCACAAATGAGCATCATCTGGGTCAGGTCGGATTGCGGTGTTGGCCATGCGCACCGCGCTGGGCATACAACCACCGGCCACATCCAGAACACTGATGGATCGATCGCTTTCCAGGAACGGCTGAGAATTTTCTCCACCGGAACTGTTTTGATATTCCAGTATTGAGTAACCGACCTATAATTGAAAAATAGGCTTTATGCAATAACGCTCGTCCATAATTTGTACAAATAACAAAAGCCGGTCAGTGTGTGTATAATGTGCGGCGTGCAAAGCGTTTCTGCTGATCGATACAGTTTCTAAAGAATACGGCTTATTCTTTGTATCAATGACTACGAGTAGACTACAAAACGACACATCACCAAAATGTCGAAATGTGGTTCTGCAAGAGCACCGCCAGCACTAACGTTAAGGTAACAAGTAGGATTTTGCGTAAGCGCGACAAATATAACTTACGTATTTCACGATCAATGTTGCTTTTAACTCTGCGCGTATTGTAAACGCCAGCTATGCCACTTGGGTAAACCACAATAACATTATTGTCACATTTTTTTGTGATTCCATTTCTTGTAAATGCTTGTATAATATTTTAATATAGTATGATATATATTATACTATATTTTAATATAGTTTAATATTTTAATATAGTTTAATATAGTAATATACTATGAAATACTGCTACGTATACCATGAGAAATTTTTGTGCCCTTTCCATACACGGTTATTTAGCGCCATATGAAAAGGCACTAAACACGAATGCACCTAACGCGTATAAAATTAATCACAAGACGTGGCAGTAATGGGAACACATGGTGTGCTGTTTAGACGGTTCATTACCTGTGTGTCAAAGGGATTGACGATGCGTAAGCCGTACTGATTAATTAGCGCCGCCAGCCCTTTCGAGCCATCGTGGAACACCTTACGAATTTTGTCGGACGTTAACAGCTCCTTCAAGCCGCCCAGGCGCAATAACTCCGGATGCTCCAGGATCGATATCAAGTGTATCTTGCCGTCGTACGTGGCTAAGAAGATCTTTGACAGCTTAAAATTCACTCGCGGAGTAATCGGCTGCAGACCGTTTTCGCTGATCTCAGGTTCCACTTCCGGATAGTTACCGAGAATAAAAGATAAGCCGACAGCATCGGCACCGGCTGAACTGTCGAGGATCTCCGATACTAAAGCCTTCAACTGTTTCGGCTTTATAACTTCCGTCCACGGTGGTATCCATACTAAGCACGATTTCGTTATTACGTTAAGCAATTTGTGGTCAGTAAAAATGTTTCTTTTATGTTAACCATGCACCCGTTCGACGCTACAGTGTTTGCTTGAATTCCATCGCTGCACAAACACAGAAGCGTCGTAAAAACCCAATAGCGCAACAATATTACCACAGTAAACAGAGATATGGTGTTTTTCCAAATACGCTTATCTTAGCAAATACACTGTGCCTACACTCGCTCACCTTTATCCATTTCCGGCTCGGGTAGCGCTCCGCGCGCTTTATTGTCCGTCATAACCTTATTGAGCGTTTGCGCCAGCCGCAATTTCATTCCTTCCCGCGCCGACCCAGGTGGACTGCGTACACTGCCACCGCCACCACCGGCGGCAGTCTCCTGCGGCGACGGCAATCCGACATAGGTTACCAGATTCCCCGCCACTTGAAAACGATTGCCGCCCCGTTGCTGCAGCATCTCGCCCAGTTCACGGGGATTTTTAGCGAAATGCTGCCGGACATCCGGCTTGTATTTCTTATTCAGGTGTCCGTACAGTTCATCCAGAAACAGCGGTCCCCGTGTCTGCAGGACTAAGGCGATAAATTCCAAGCATTCGTTGGGATCGAATTCCCCGGCGGGGAGCGAAACGGAAGAAAAAGAGGAGATGGAGGACGACGGTGAGGGACAGTCGCGGCTAGGGGATTTTTGAGCACTGGGCGTCAGTTTGACGGTGTCGCTGACCACGTCGTACAGGAATACATCGGAATGCGCTCGTAAGAAGCGGATGAAATCCGGTAGATTTCTCCCCATTACCGAACGGATTTTTTCCGGTGCTTGACTGTCAATGCAATTAAATATGGCATTTCAAGGCTGCTGTAGTGTGGTATTTATTTAGGTGTTCAAAAAACACCATACCTTCGGTGTCCAACAAGACTCCTTAAAGGTAAACGATACTCGTCACGAGCTGGCGCAGCCAGTAGTTTTGACCTGGTGGAAATATGTACATGCGCTTTAGTGTTAAAACTTGAATGCTAATCATGGCTAAATCAGCCTAAATGCCAGAAATGTCAATAATGGCGTGCACGACAAATTTGTCATTTAAACGGTAGAACAACTGTGTACTACAGACAGTATACCACCGAAGCTAGCACATGTAATTAATTTGATTTAGTCGAAACAACAGACAATTTGCTAAACAACATTTCGATCTTGTTATTAGTACCAGTACTACAAAAAATACACGAAATTTTAGAGTTTTTTTCCTGCAAAATATGGCTGCCGAATAAAAATATGCAGCACTGTAAATATCTTTTATTTGACGATACAGTAATATTATTTACGAGCGTTGCGTGAATACTTCTATATGTAGTTTAGCAGTGCTATCAGATGCACGAAAAAAAAGCCGAACCGACGGTACAGTTATTGATGTGTTTATTTTCTAAGCTGACCCTAATCAATACATGTGCACATAATCACGCACGTATAATTGAGTAACGCACACATGCCGAATATTACAGGCATGAGATGCCGTTTTGTTATTCATTAATTTATGCACAAGTCAGCACATATTTCCAACACTTACTCACGTATTCCAGTAAACAACTCGCTAACCGTACACACTCACCGGAAAAACTCCACGGCTTCATCTTCCGGACTGACCGCCGCTTTCCCGCCGGTACTATTATATTGCTCCTTTCCGTGGCCGTTTTCCGTCCACACATTATCCTCCACATCGTACGATGTCATGGTGACTGTGTCGCCTTTAATGGTAAATAATGAGGGATGTTTCAGTAAGAAACGCTTTAAGCCGGTCTGCGAGGCGCCCACCACTTGTTTCATTTCCGGTGTGAAATTGGGTGAACCGAATAAGCAGCTGAGGTCATGCAGTTTACGGGATTTACACTCCATGAGCAATTCCACAAAGAACAACAGGACTTCATGCTTGGCTTCGCGGGCCTGTCGTGGAGATAGACGGACGATAGCGCTGCCATTTTGATAGGCTGCCATTTACTGCTGTGCGATATGCGCTCACGCGCTGCCGGATTTAAAAATGCGCAGATTTTCTTCCGGAAGGAGAATGTGTGTGTAATATAACATGTATATATATTTATTGTCCAAATCCGTGGTAGGCGATTATGAAGGTTTCATCTGAAAAAGCCAACTTAGCAATGTCGTGTCAAATAACCTTGCCACTGATTTGGACGATTACTTTCACAAGCATGTGCTAAAGAACATGAATTAAATGCTACAGGCAATGTGAAGAAATCGTGTCGTGTTATTGCAGGGGTTTAAACGTTTTGAAGGCTGATGGAAAGTACGTACCAGTTGGCGAGTTTTGCAGTAACTATAATTATGCTAGGAAAATGGGCAAAGCATCTGGTGGAAAATGAAAAAGAAAAAGCTTAAAGTTGTAAAAACAGCGGTTTCTTACAACTGAAATAGTTTTTCGTGTTTTGATGTGTTGCAAACGCCGGGATTAACGTCAAAGATATTAGCTGTCATTCTGGCTGCATTTAGCGCATAGAAAATAGCTAATCATAAATGCACTAGTTACGCATGCGCTAGCTACTGCGATTATGACCGGCATGTTTATACAGATGCGAGTCATTCGGCTAAAACAGAGTGCTTCATGTCAAAATTTAATGCGAAAATAATGTAGGCACAAAAGGGTCTTCTGATTTAGAAAACTTCCCTGCATCACCATTTTAAACTAATTAAATAATCATACCTGATCAAAAATGCCGTACATCCATGAAATGTTATGCGGCAACACAGGCAGGTAAAATCGAAAACAAAACCTTCACTATCAAGGGATGCCATCAGTGATAAATTAATGCGAGCAATAATCGGGATTTAAATGCCACAATCGATTGAGACAATCCACCTTGCGGTGTCACGTATAAGTTTCTCATAATAGGAAATGTGTCAGAAATTGCCAGCCGTGCGACGGTATACGTTATACATCTGCGATCCACATCTCTCCGCCGCTGCTGCAACGGGATTCTAGCTTATGTTGCACATAATCGGTAAAATAAATCAATAAAATGAATTTTCGCCGTCAGGTACGCTGAATGCACTGGCTCGTACATACGTGCGTGTATACTGTGTATCGCATCTGTGTGTGGTACAAACTGGAAATTCTGTGGTGTTGGCAATAATATAGATCTGAAATACACATATTTATTGAGCGGTAGCAGCCAAATGCTTTCGGTTTTTACGGCGGCGGTGTGTCTGTGTGGCTCGTATTTGCGGAGGTCGTTCAGCCATTGCCGACAGGTATAATGTTGATGTGGCTGATTATACCAGCCAACCAATTGCCGTTTTTAGAAAGGAATCACTAATATGTTAATCTGTTGCGCCATGTATGAGTCCAACCGATGAAACATACCGCCGACATACGGTGAATTTTTGCGATTAGATTAAACGTTCAAGGTAAATGCGTAATTGTTTCATCAGCGTCAGCGTAGCAAAACATCAGAATAAATACGATATTCCCAATTGCGATATGCGATACTGGCAATCGTAATTAGCAGCGCTTGCTCTAAAATTGTCTATTCAGTATCTTATGAACGACTATAACATCCTTAAAAATATCGAAGTAACAGTAAAATAAATATTTCTCACTGTTCAGATGTTAGTGTATTCGTTTCCATATGAGCATTCTCATTAAAATGAGTAGTGAGAGCGGCATTTTGATTATAGCCAACTATGGGGAAGACCGGGCGATGTCTAGGGTAGTTAAAATAAATGTTACAGTATGTAATTTCGTAGAATGTGTCGCAGTAGCGGCGTTGAGAAATTGCACCGTATAAAAGTATAGATTGTTCAGGAATGCCGCGATTGCCTATGGCTTCCCGTCAGTTTTCTAAATATCTGTGATAGGTGACATATTAATTTTTTGGGTTGGTTTTTACGGGCTTGCTTGGTTTTAATAGTTAAGCTTAATCGTATCGAGCAATAAATTGCTCCCCGATTTCAGACAACAAGAAAATGGTTTTTGCAGTAATCGACGTTTGCAGTTTTGAATTCACTGCTAATTTAAGCAATGCGGTTAAACACGTACATCCAGATGATGCAGCGCTTCCTGCTGAACAGTTATGAGTTCCAGTGTGATGCCTCTCTGATCAAAACCACATGATTTGTGCCGCATTAATAAAATATGTTGCGTGTTTACAGAGTTGATAGTGACCTGATACCGCGCGGCCAGTATTGTACCGGTATACCACACGCACCACGAGTCAGATGCCGTCTCCAGTGCAATTTTGCTCCCGAAAATGGAACTTTCGGCGTTTGTCGCGATCTGCGCTAATAATTTGTATCCACAAACTTTTCAACTGCCACTTGAGCGCCTGCATATGGTTTGTTACACCACAAATCGAAAGCTTTTACCGACAACTTGAACTAAATCAAACCATGCACAGTGAACATTCGATGACCCACATACTCCATGAAATGACACTTATAAAATTATTTCCGTTGTGGCAAATTGAGCAACGTGAGGAGACAATTTTCCAGTCTCTTAATGTAACATATCATTTCCTCTAAATATTTGCAAATCAGCAAAATAAAAAATTCTACTCGCGAACGTAAAGCGAAGCTCGAAATGTTTTTTTTTCGAAAAAAGCATCTTCCGGCGTTCGAAAGATAACCACTCATAATAGACTAAAAACCAGCGTAAACAAACTGCCAACTTCACAAAAACCAGAGTAAAAACTCCATGTTATACACGTACAATGTATTAAGGTCAAAATTTTATTTTACTTTTTGTCTTATTCTTCTGCCGTTGTAATGCTTTATGTTCGCCCTCCTGGGAATAAAGGCCAGTGAAAATCTCTTTAACCTTTTTCATCCTTGTCACGTCCTTCTTCTGCTGCTCTTCCATTTGAACACGGGAAATAAATTCGTTATCCCGACGCAGTTCCCGTTTGGCGCTTTTTAAGGCTCGCTTTTTATCGTGCTGCAGTCGCTTGATGGCGGCCTTTTTTGCTGACTTCGATTTATCAAATCTAAACGAAATCACAAAAATACAATTTCAGTATGGATAAACAGTATTAAACACAGAGTAATAAAGAGTTTATTTCATGTTTTATAAGCTTACATTCCACAGAGCGATTTTCATATCATTTACTGTTTCAAAGCAGAAACACTATCAGTTTTTACAGGGCCAACTAAGGTCATTTTTGTATGCACTTACTTATCATCAATGCGTGGTTCCAGCATCTTCAAGGGTGCTGGTTTTTTTTTGAAGAAAACAGATGGCATTCGCGGTTTTCGGCAGGTATTGATCAGCTCCGTAACCTTACCACACTTGCCACGGAAATCTGGCGGCAGCATCTCGTTGCTGTTAATTTTATCGAAAATGCTCACGATAGGTTGGAATATCTCTCCAAAAGACGGCAAATCCGCATACAAAGGAACCAATTTCTCCAATAAACATGCACAAGTGAAAATTATTTTTGGCGTATCTGAAGCTTCCGCTACGCTTTCCGTCGATAATACATCAAGTAACGTGAACTTCGGAATTTCCTCTCCACTGAATTTCAAACCCTCATCCCCTTGCGCTACAGCCTGCCCAAGGAAACCAATTAATTCCGGAAAATATCGTTTGGATTTCTGAATCACTTCTACGGTGATTGTAGCCAAGAACAATCCCGAAAGAACCGACGCAGGTGAACGGCCATCACATTTACTGAGACCCTTGCCCAGTAACAAATTCAGTACTGACTGAACAAGTAAATAATGTTTGTCACCGGGGAAGCATATGGTCATGAACTTGATGAAAAGCAGTGCAGAAGGCGTCCAAGTATATTTTTTCCGGGATGCCAATTTCAAGAGGGCTTCTATGCGTACTCGGCACCACTCTTCGCCTTTTTCCGCAGAAATAACGAATAGTTCGTGCAGCGCTGACGTTAAACAAGTCCAAAGCTGCACCGCGGACTCCGGATCATCGTCACTTTTAGTTAGAATAAAATCTAGAAGCAGCTTGAAGAATTTTGTCAGCTTTTCTCGGTTGCCTTCCGCTAAGCTGACATGATAATATTTCATTATGCGAGTGGTAATTACAAGGATTTCATCGGCAGTTCGATTTTCTAATAAGCTATCCAACGCCTGGCGATTTTTTGGCAAGGAAATGACGAACGGAATTTCTCGCTCAGCTAGAAGCGGTTCGGCTGCTGTCTGATTCTGTTCAATGGATACATCAGACTCTTCATCCACTTCCACAGCGTCTTCCTGTTCCATATCATCATCCGAGAATTCTGGATCTAACATTTGCAAACCTATGTTGGGGTTAGTTTCCTCGGATTTCGCGGGAAGATTTTTATTCCGCCGCTGTTTTTCCGCTTTCTCTAATTCATCGCGTGCTTCTTTGGCCAGCTCAGCATCACTCTTCAGTTTATCGGACGCTTTAGCTTTATCCTCAAACTGCAGCTTTTTCACCAATGAATCGTATGATTCCACGGGAGGTTCGGGCATGGCTTGGCTGAAGGATGCACTAATTAGCTTCCGCACTTCGGCATCCCTCCATTTTTCGTCCAGAGATTTTGTCATGTCGCGAACTTCGTCCAATTCAACTTGTTTATTGTATTTCTTTTGCTTAGATTCAGCGATAATGTCATCCACCAGTAGTTTCCGTTCAACTTTCATTAAATCCGGGCGAGTTTCTATTCGAGATTCACCTGATAACAAAACCCCAGAAAAACTCCAATCATTAATTAACCAAAATTAAACAAGTCATATCGGTTAAATTTTATGCAAACGTGGGCGCCTACAAAAAACAACGAAACAAACACATGCCGCTCTTGTAAAAGTAAAACCCAAAAGCAGGTTATTTGTTGATAAATATGTAATTTAATAAGTATTAATAGTAAATACATGTTTATTAATAATCTAAATCTAATGCAATTAAGGCTTCGTTCAGGAAATGTCCCCAGAAAATTAATGTAGCGACCACAATTGTACAGCCAGTTTAAAAAATTAAGTAGCGAGCAAAATTGTATAATAAATATTGCAAAGCGAATATTTAATATCATATAAGCAATACAGAATATTGAATGGTTTCACTTTACCGGTCTCGCTGTCGAGTTTCTTTTTTAACAATCCACCACCAAAATGATGTTCGGTCACAAACTTTTCCCCGAGAATATCGTCAACCTCATCCCCTTTATCCGACAATCTCTCGTCATCCTCTTCCAACCTTTCCACATCGGCCAGTCGTTGCCCAAATCCAGTTCCATCTTCCTCATCGGAATCAATATCGTTATTCAAGTTGAAGACATTCTTCTGGCTCTTCGCACTCCTCTTTCTCTCCAGCATAACGCGCTGCATCATTTTATCTTCCAACGACATGGAAACATCGTTTTCTCCCAATCGCCGGTCGATCAGCTGGTTATTCTTTGTATGAGTACGGTATTCTCGCAGAAGCGTCTTTTTCCGGTTCTGGAAGGCAGTTCCTCGGGAGACACTGCGGAGGCCTTGTGTTTCCACATGTGCCTTCCCCTTCTGCATCTGGCCGGCAGGTTTTACAGGACCCGTCTTCCGGCCAGCTATGACATGCTTGGCCTTCGTCAGAAACAATTCGAACGGATTTCGTCGCACATTCGACAGCGGTGCAGCAGTCGTTTCGGTGCGGGTACTTCGTCGCGCGCGCTGTACCTTGTCCGCTAATCCGCGCTTTCCCTTCGGCTTCATTTTCGAGCAGCAACAATAGAGATAACCATGTAATAATACCAAAAGAGCTAACAATCTTTACTGCGAAATAGAGGAACAACTCAACATCATACACAACGAAAAATAATCCGATTTTGGATTGCATAAGAAATTAATGGATTAATCTGCGCTGTATGGGGTTTTTACTTCGTAAAATCCGTATGCCAACCGCCATACGTTTGGCAGTCAGTAGTGTTAACTGACATCATGCGTAATAAACCAAAACATCCACGTCGTCATCTGTTTGTTGGAAGTTGTTATAAATGTTAGTTGAAGTCTGCAGAACTGTTTCCATACAATATTTATTTAATTTCAAATTTCTTTCATTTGAATTTTCTCTGCGATAAATAGCATTGTCCAGTGACCGTAAAACTGCGATCGCTGCTGCGGTCCGACCAACTAACTGTCCGGGATAGAAAAGAAAGAGTTATACCATGTATGTTAAAGCCGTCATACTTGTTGGAGGTCCAGAAAAAGGTCTGTGTTGACATTTTGTATTGGATTATTTAGCAGCTGCAGCATATTTATCACATCGGTTGTTAAAACTGTTTTTTTGTGTCCAGGAACTCGGTTTCGACCATTATCGCTGGATATACCCAAACCTCTGTTTCCTGTTGGCGGAGTAAGATCATTATACTTGTTTCAGCTGTTTGCAGTTGCATAGGTGTCCAGTGACTATTGTCTGCGGACAGTGTGACAAAATTTCTTACTATTGAATATTTTGCTATTTTTTTCATTTGTTCCAGGTTCCTATTATCCAGCACCACATTGAAGCATGCTGCAAGGTGCAAAGTGCAAATGAATGAATGGATAGAATTGCTGATCATAAAATGTTTACCTGTAGATCCGTGAGCTAAAGGAAATTCTTTTGATTGGATATTTTCCTCCGAACGAATTCTGGAATCAGTTCATCGCCGCTCAATCGCATTTGCATAATGTTCACATTCGGTAAAATGTTTTTCTGAATTTGTTGGATGGATCAGCAGTGAGCGTGAATTTTCTTCTTGTTGTTTAGGCTGCACATGCCTTACAGACACCATAATTTGATTTGAATAAGAGTTTAACAGAATCGTTTACAGCTATCTTCAGGAATTTACGGCTCTGGGGACTGCTGGATCGATTTATCATTTTCGAGATCAAATTCTTTTTCGCGGCCCCGATTGTGTTATTTTAATGAATGGAGATGTGTGCGCCGATTTCCGTCTGGATGAAATGCTGAAATTCCATCAACAGAAACAACAAGCCAGCAAAGCATTGCTGACGATTATGGGTACCGAAGTGCGTTTGCAGTTGTTTGGTTTTTTTTCGATCGGCAGTTATGATTGTGTTTTTGTAATTGTACACAGGCACTGCAGACCCAGTCGATGAACTTTGGGTGTATCGTCGAAAATCGAGAAACACACGAGGTAAGCCGATAGATGAGTACAACGGTTATATTAACCCATGTGATTCGTTTAATTACTTGCTGTTTTTGCGTTACAGATCAGACACTATGTAGAGAAGCCGCGGACATATGTCAGCAGTCTTGTTAACTGTGGAGTGTACATTCTTCATCCCGAAATTTTCACCATGATTGGCGACATCATATACGGGAAACTAGAGCCGGGTGCCGGTGATGATTATATAGAGTACGAAACTTCGGCGCGAATTTCTTACATCCATCGGCTCCCTCTCTCCGTTGCCTGTTTGCTACTCGTACTTTACTGCGGTTTTGTTTCTGTATAACAGTAATACCGTAGTTTTCCCGGATCTGCAGACATGCAGCTTCTCTGAATGGTCAGCCAAATGTTAGGTTAACTCAGTAATTTTTTTTAAATTTGAAAATGCTTTCTTGTTTTTTACTGCCTTGTGTCGAAGTGCTTCAGTGTAGTTTATTAGTGTTATTTTTGCCCTTCTGCTTGCAGTTTATACGATGTGGCCGGATCCCGACGCAGTTCGCTAGTACGACAAGCTAGCCTTGGTAATTCCGGCGCAATACCGTCAGAGTTGTTATCTTTGGAGAAAGATGTCATCACTCGACTTGCCCGCGCCGGAGGAGCGTTTGTCTATCACACCAATGGCTGGTGGAGCCAGATAAAAACTGCGGGGTAACTCAGGTTTTGCAGTTTTCTTCGGTTAAAATGGTGTTTTGGAGATGCTTAATCGTTCGCTAAAGGTCAGTTATTTATGCCAATCGACACTACCTGAGGCTGTACCACCAGACTCATCCAGACAGATTAGCAAAAAGTGGACCAGTCATTATTGGAGATGTGTATATTCACGAAAGTGCTAAAGTTCATCCTAGTGCGGTAGTAAGTTGCCAAATTTCATAACTTACTTTCTTAACGAACCAACGTCATCTTAGTCGTTGTTGACAAAAATTTGTGTGTTACTAATTTTAAATAAACGCTACGATGTTGCCTTATGCGAATCAGAAGAAATACGATTTGTGGACTTTCAGGTTTTTAGTTACATTTCCTGTATTTTGTTTGTGCATAATTTTGTAACACGTTGATGCCGCCCTGTATATTATGTATCCGTTTGTCACAGATTGGTCCAAATGTCTCAATCCACGCCAACGTTGTTATCGGTGCAGGAACACGAATACGAGATGCAGTAATGCTGGACGATGTTGTGACTGCGGTAACGGTAAATTAATTTTAAAACCGTTATATGAGGAATTGTCAGTCGTGCCGTTTTGTAGGATAATTGCTGTATTCTGAATGCTATTGTTGGCTGGGGAAGCATAGTGGGTAGTTGGGCCCGAATCGAAGGTGTGTACCTTTTTGTTTTCATATGGCAGGGATTCTGTCCTAATGATCTCAATTTCAATCTCTTTGTAACTGTAGGCACGCCAAATGACCCGAACCCGAACAAACCATTTGCTAAACTTGAGCACACACCATTATTTAGCGAAAAAGGCTTCCTAAACCCATCCATTACAATTTTAGGTAAATCATCAATGTTGCCATGTGTCGACCATGTGTTGCCATGGCCATGTGTCTTTAATTGTATTGTATCCTTGTTTTTGTAGGAGCAAACGTTTCGGTCCCCACGGAACTGATGGTGCTAAATTGTATTGTACTGCCAAGAAAAGACTTAGCTCAGAATTACAAGAACCAGATAATTTTGTAGAACGGATATCGGTATTACTGACCATTTGAAATGTAGAGTAGCCTTTATAGCTCTTACTTGCGGGTTTCTAATGACCGGGAAGTATTTCACTTTTTAAACCATTAACATATTGTAAGAAGTTTTTTCTAAACTATTTATTATTTTACCATTTGTACGACACATTCGATGTGAGAAAGGTACAAAAATAAAAATCCGCAATCACTAATTGAGCGTCTAGTTATCACAGGTGGTATGTCATCTATCTGCGAGGACATTCTGGACATTTCAGTACGTCCAGTTTCCCCGTGGTTTGTGACGTTTCTTTCAATGGGCTTTGAACATTTTTTACACAAACGGTATGAAATCCATGTCCGCACCTAAAGGACGAAAAATCATTTAAAGCTCAAGACTAAAAAAGTGACAGTGACAACTAATTCTTTGACCACATTAATCAAATTTTCGCCCCGGTCGTGCTTGGCGATACGTACCGGAAAATAGCTAAATTGGAGCTTTCTGAGGGTTCCGAGTAAGACGTATTCAATAAAGAAGCATCACAAATCAGGCATCGATCGTTCTTTGCGGATAAAGCTTTGGAAACAGCTCGCTTCATGCGGCTCATTTGATTGTGAATATCTTTATGCAACAGGTTTCTTGTAGAAGACAGTAAGATCTAAATTTTACATCATCAAAATAGAAATTTAACTAGCGGTTTAAAGTACTTGTGCGGCAGGAAATATACCTCTTCATAAGTGTATGCATCTACAATACCCAACAGAAGTTCCCGTAATTCTCCAAATTTACCCCGGTTATATGCTGGATCCTTTAAAATTTCGCACGGTAATGAGACAAAGTAATTTTTGTAACAGCGGAATTGCTCCACAAACCTCCAGAATCTTTTTCAATAAAACCAGAAGATCAACCTGACCAGTCATACTCTTCAGAAAATCCACGCAAAGTCGACGAAGGTCTACACGTACAGTAAGGACACAATAACAAATGACGGAACATCAAGAGCGTTTTCCTTACCAGACTTTCGCTCCTCAGGAACTTCCGCGGCAACACGCCGTATAGCTTCCAGCATTCGCTCCAGAACGATCAACCATGTCTTTTCACGCTTATCGTGATCCATTTTGCTTCCAATGCGCTGACAGAATTCCGTCAACAATATTAAACTTTCTGACATTTCCCGTAAACTTCGTATATATTCGGTAGGAGATAACTCTTTCGCCTGGGACACCAAATAGGCTTGGATGCGTTTATCTAGATCGTCCAATAGGACTTCCAGAGCTTTGCTGGTGTCGCCTTTCTTCTCCAGTAAGTATGCTTCCGGTTTGACTAAACCATACTTGCGACATATCTGCAAGTTCATTCGACATAAGCTATCGTATATAGCAACACGCAAATCTCCCATTCTTACAGCTAAAACTTTGTCTGGGTCGTAATCGTCGTTGAATCGGATGTGATCACCAACTACATCTGGTCGGACTTGGCACATCAACTCAATGAAAATGTCATGGTATTGCGGTGGGAAAGCGCTTGTATCTTGCGCTGCGCCGAAAGGAATGCGAGACCTAAAACCAAAATGGAGGATCAGTCACAAAATAAGAGAAGTAAAAAGAATTCAAGTACGCATAAGAGATATGCATTTACAAATTAAAATGCACGTGTCTGTTTTAAAGAATGTGATTAAAATAAAAAGTGGGTCATACATGAAGTCATAAAGCGATCGCATAAAAATGTACTGCTGTTGAACGTCTGGCTCCAATGTTTTCAGAAGTAATGGTACTTCATTCCACAACGAAGTCACGGTCAACTGGGCTGCTTTTTGTCGGTCAATTGCCAACAAATCCCGAAAACGTGTGACGCACATCTCCTTCACCAGCTTCTTATCGTGTTTTTCATACAACGGGCTGACGAAAACTCTTTGCAAGAACTTGAAAACTTGAGACTGAAAATAAATAAACAACAAATTTCGCTTTAATCGTCAGAACAATTCGAACAAGTGTACCTTCCGATGGACATCATCCAGAAAACACCCAAGAAGTTTATCGTGCATGTTGTGTTTTTCATATAAAACTTCGCACAGGCGGAAACTAAACAAAAACCAAATTAATGAAATGATGACACACTACTGGAAAGATCATTATTATATTTACACTTTAACTGCGTGCAAGGCAAAGTGCAACGCAATACTCACAATTTCGCATCTTCCGCCATTTTAATGACCGTTTTATCGCTGATGTGCTTTAACACGCCCGAATCATACAGTTCAATTACCGCAGATTCTCGCTCGTCGTGACGCTGTCTATCGTCTGGGTCACATAATACTTCCAATGTCTAACAGAAGTCCAAATAAGTAAAACCATTTTTTGTAAATAACAAAGACTTCACCTGTTCAATCAGCATCCTATTGATCACGATCTTGGCATCGGGTTTAGTCATCTGACGCGCAATAAACGTAAACACACCGGCAACTTGCCCAGGCTCACATTCGGTGGATTGTACAACCACCTGTTGCAGGCGATCGACCAGCTGCTGCTGTAACTCCAAACTGCAATATAAAATAAAAAAAAAACACTTACCTAATGGTAGGAAATTCGGTGTTTTATTTATCAGAAGCATCGATAAAACTGCTGTATTAAATACAAACAACTGCGAAAATCCTGATAATGTTTCAGTATCCGGGATACTCACCCTTTCGCATCGTTAAAGTAAGGCTGGTTAAAAGCCATCACGAAAACGTTCAAAGTTTCTCTGGCGTTAAAATCTAAAAGTGTGCGGAGATGCGCAAATACAGGCTCATCACTATCCGGCTGTCGCGTATGACGTGCTAGTAATGTTTGAAATACCTATAAAAGAAGCATATCTTCGACTATTTTACGATAAAATATACTTAATATAATCGTATTGTTTTATTTTCGTATAATCACTTATCGTCTCGTTTTGCATCGTTGCAAGGAACACACATTCAGAATCTGAAAATCGAATTTCGCAATCAAAAACTTACTTCCACGGCTATTTGCAGTGTGCGGTCGTCGTTAGGAATACCACTAGGATACTTGAGGCCATTTAAGCAGCAGCTCATGTATACGATGACCTTGTTGCCCAAAGCAACTATTTCATCTACAAACAGACAAACTCACAAATGCGCTCTCAAATACCGCATAAAATGTGCCATAAGACTGAAAATCAAGAAATTTTAATGAGTAATTGCAGTTTTATACCGGGCAAATGTGGCTTATCCTTCATTTCCTTTCGTAGCTTCAACAAATAATCTTCCAGCGGAGTCCGGGCATCTTTGAATGCCGTCAGATATACATAGGCCAACCCATCGAATAAATCGTACTGTCTGCAGACACTGACAACCTAAAAAAACCTTTGCAATTAACGCCTTCGTATTTTACGGCAAGTTTTCATTCTTTCGAACCTGATGAATGTCGAAAGATGTGACGTCTAGCCGAACAATACACGATTCAATTGTGGCGAACTGATCCCGCGATTCGTACAATTCAATAAAATCTTTGGAGACAATGGGAGATAGTTCATGCAGCTCATCATTGAGTATCAAAGGCTCAAGGCACTGCAGGAAGACGCTTTTGGCCATAACATCGAACGCGAATTTCTCATACAGTGGTCCAAATAAATACTCCCTATCAACAGGTGAAATTGCGACATGTTGCACGACCTTTATACGATCTTTTGAATTATTTACTAAGAAAATGGCTGACAAACTTACAAGTCTCCAGTTGAAACGCATGCTTCAATGCACAAGGGAATAACTGCCTGATAAATACATGCGATAAATAAACAAAATCCTTAGAGTTTCACACTAATAATACTGCTCACTTCGTAATGTTCCTTCAGAGAGTCGATCTTCCCGTGAACGGGTACAGACTTCAAGCAACGATCCGCGGCCATTTGTATCAAATTTCGCACTTGACGTCGTAAAATTCCTTTGCGCTCCACAGCATTTCTCGTCAAACCTTCAAATAACAGCACAGCTTTTTAAGTTTCCTAGAAAAAATTCAGAAATAAAAGTGTTTCAAAAGTGACACTGCGGAAAATGCCCAGATTTTATTGTAAAATAGCACTAAATACTGAAACAAAACACAGTCATGTACAGATAAATCCAAATGCTTCTCACCCAGTACTCCTGTAGCCGTTCCAGTATATACATCCAACACAAAGCGCAGCGCTTCCAGAGGCATTCCTTTTGATACCAGGCGTTCAACGCGCTGCGAAAGAGATCCCACTCTACACCACACTGATAAATTTAAAAAAACTGTTTTTCAGTTGAGCGTACTTCAAACCACATCCGCAAGGAAGCAACAAAAACTCCTTTAACTCCCAGAAACACCATTTGTCCTTGGAATGTACCAATAGACTGTGAACAGGCACGATTACCAGCCAACGCCTATTAAATGAATACCCATATCACATATTCAAGTAGTCCAAGCTCGAAACGTCAGTATACGCTGGTGTGCCTTACCATTGCCTGACTAACGGCTCTTGTCGTGGCCAATCCTTTAAAAAAACTTGACTGGTAGACAACTCCAACAAAACTCAAATCAACGGAATCCAAAACATTCTGATTGCGAATGTCGATAATATGCAACTTTTCATCGATGTCCACAACAGCAACGATATAATTATTTAACCACTAAAAGCAAGTATTAATACAGAATCATCATAACACTGATGCGTAAAAGTAGTTTTGCACGTTGATATTTCTACAAATTTACCCACCTTCATGTTAACAACGTCAGCAGGAACCGTTGTCCGTTGGATGAATGAACATTTCACAGTGCGATTTGTTTCAGCAGAAACCTGGAAAAATTTACGAGCAAAATACAGATAAAATTTGAAACGAATTCTAAAATTTTGAATGTATAAACCAAGGACATCAATGAACATCAACCATGTTTTATGCGAGTTCAACTGCTATGGTGTACCAATACGAGCACTCAACACAGAAAACATAGCCAGTTCGTAAAACCACACGCCAGTCCCACTTGAATAGCTTTAAATTCTACACACACCTGCACAAAAACAATCCCATTTCCCGTCGCTACAGCAAGCACGGGCTCGATGGTCTTTCCAGCCTCGCTGCTCTGAATTGTTACAATATGCCATTCCAAAAGCGGTAGTTTCAAAGGCGTGGCGTTTATCGGAAATGAAAATACTGAACGTAAAGCTGGCTTTATTTCCGCTATGATAACCTGCAATTATAAAGCTGTCACAAGAACAGTTTTCGCTGCATATTTCATACCGTCTTACTTTATTCAACGATGCTACAGCAACTACTGAGGTCTCTGAAAACCGATGCAAGGGAAATTTATCGAAGATTCTTAGTGGTTCCACTGCAAATGCTTCTCCTTTGCTTCCGGAAAATATGCACGCAGACGTAGAATTACGCCGACCAAGGGTACTCCTACAAAAGGATCGTGACCAGATAACACAAGCATTCAGGAGATTAGAGCTTTAAAATGCAATTCCGAGTCTGAAAAAATGTAAATATGCGTTCAAAATTGTAAAAGAAAACGTCCATGGAAGATGGGTCTTATTCGTAAATACACTACGCATTGTACGCAAATACCTTCTGTTAACGGCGTTACAACATAATTTTATAAAAAACCAACGCAGACGCCACACATTTTATGAACATATTTGCCACAAACGTACTTTGTTTCCAAAAGGAATACGGATCCCCCATTGTCCAAAAATATCGCAGAATTCGTACTGTCGGTATACTACAGAAAAATGACAAGCTGCTGATGATCAATACAGAATTATTAGTCATGAATTCAGTTGAAACAGAATGTACTCATAGATTTTGTTAACAACTTCTTCACTGACCCTGATGTGAAGTACCGAACAGTCATATGAGTGCGCATCTTCGATCGTCTGCAATAACTTTCCCGACGCAAAGTCGTACAAGGCCAGCTAAAAATCAGTTATTTCTGACATGAATTCCGTATTTACAATATCAGCAGATCGAGAAAGTTTACCATTCCCTTGGCAAATCCCACCAACAAACGCCGTTCCTCTCGATTCAAATCAACAGCCGAAACTGCACCCGCGTCTTTTCCCGGTGGAGGACATCGGAATATAAGTGTCTGATTTAAATCTAGCAAGCAAACCAGTTTATTCTTCTACAACATGATTACGCAAATATCAGTGACAAATTTATTTAGCGACAGTAACAAATTTATTTATTTATATTTACTGGAATTTAACGCTATTTATTTACGATTACGTTAGATGTCTCAAATTTTAACTGCTGCAGTGTGAGTATGAGAGATCGACATCCAATAAAACCAACGTTTAAACCACATACAAATACAGAGGCATCCAAAAAGAAAGACAACAGTTTAAGTTTTACAATTTACCGTAAACCAGAACGTAGCCAGTAGATGTACCAACCGCTATTTTCAAGCCAACAAGGACCACTGTCGGATTTCCATAATTAATTGCCGCATCCTAACATATGATATCATGTACATGAACAGCGGCTTGAGAATTCTGACTAACAGAACCATTGTGCATATCTAAATGATTCTACATTTATTTCTACAAAACCAAATTACTGTACTGCAGTAACCAAAGAGATCAAGTTAAATCTGCGAGCCAAAACGTACCGGCTTTGCAGAGCTGATGCTAGTTGTGATATTCCGCAGCTTCGCCAATTTGATGATACTGTCGTGAGCTTTCAAACTGGCAGCGCATTTTTTAATGGATCTGCAAAGCAACAAAACAGAAATATTTAACTATTTAAACAACTCACACAGAAAAATTTATTCATTTCACATCAGGATAAATTTTTATCAACAAAGCCAGATTTTTGTGTTCAAAAATTTCCGATGAACGTAATCAAAGCGTTCAAACATCAAACGCATCAAATGGACAACTTAAGACTTAAGAGTAAATAAAACAACTATATGCCAAAAGCTCCAATAAAAATATCTTCGAAACGATCAAAGGAAAACTACTGCATTGCATTCGCATCTTCATTTTTTAAAATATCTTTTGTAGACTTACGATACGCTGCTGACAACATCGAAAAACGCAACAGCAGCATCCTCCACAGCTGAAGTGTAGGACGCACTGGAGTCGAAACTCAGCGATGGATCTTGATTGAAAATTGTTCCCACGTCGTCGTCATTCTAAACAATTTCAGATAAAAATTTCCATTTCCGCACAACACTAAAATCCAAAATCACATCTGCTGCTCAGTAGCAACTGGCAGCTGCCACGCACCTCGTCCAAAATACTTTCAAGAGTCGGTAGTGATCCAATTGGTGGCAAATCGAATTCGGATACTTGCGACTGCAAAAGTAATATGACTAAGTAACTAAGTAGCTCACTTTATTGGTTTTATGATTTCAACTTCAAAGTTCCGCATAAATACTACAAAATTAGTACGCATGCATCTTACATTCTGTAAATCCTCAAGAATGGCGTCCACATCCGTAAGACGAGCTTCCTCTTGCATATCCAAAGCAAATGGATTATTTAAATCATCCATCGCTCTTTCATATGGAGCAGATTAGCATGAAAACGAGGATACCTAACGAACTGTCAGTCAGATCATTTTTTTCCAACTCGCAATCCACTTCACGCGAATCCTGCAAATCCAGGCTTCTGAAGCCACCCAATACGAATACTGTAAGTCTGTAACCTATTCAAGCTCTGACATTTTCGCATAGAAGAGGAAGACTCGAAAAAATTCCCAAAACCTCGATAAGAATAACAATAACCCGAAAAAGCCAAAAAACCTTGTTGGTTTTGACATAATTTTAGCTGCAAGTGCTGTCGCGCTCTCATCTTTTTAGTTCCAACCGGACTGTGGTTGCCCATAAGAAGGGGGTGGTTACCTTTACTGTACTTACTTATATGTTAAATTGTGTGGGATCACCTGTTTCGGATGGCTTTGCGTATGAATGCCATTATGCCGGTAGTTTTTACTTTTTGGGGCTTCGAGCTAATAATTGTAAAGACTAATTATTCCGCGTACAGATTTTTCGACCTTTTGTTAAATAATTAATTCAGCTCAATAGCCCGATTTCGTTTTTGTCGTTTCAGTCCAAGAATTTTCCCGGAAGCCGTGGACAGGGAGAGGATTAGAGTGAGTTAGCAGGTGCATAAGGTTGCTTACAATTAACTGGGTCTATGTATCAAAATTTTTATAATGTTTGTTTAATTACAGTGGAATTTTCATTTTTAATTCGGTAATTAATAGATTACTAATTCTGTAATAATTCGGTTAAAAATCAGCGCGAGCATATATGTAAATCAAGTTGAAAACAGTCGTGTTGGGTTGACGAACTCAAAACTAGGAAAATGCCGTAATTTGGAAAAGAGACTTGTCTTGCAACCACAAAGAGTCACAAGCTGGTCAATAATATGGATTACTTATCATCAGTGTTTCTCAGTATATTCAGTACTGATCAGTAACCACGTAAAACTGGATCTTCAACGGCACCTTGGCAATTTCCCACAACGGGGTGCACTCAACAGAGCAAGGACACTTAATCTGGCTGAAGTATGTGCAATACACAGCAAGGCTAACGTGTACCACAGATGCCGGCCAGCCCGCTGCGGACGTGCCCTTTTCGTCACTCGGCTGCATAATTAATTACAAGTACCTCGGCGGCGGACTGCAGATTTCGCTATAAATATAAATTGTCGGAATATTTTCAACTTTACTAGATACTTCGTTCCATAGCAATCGCTTGACAAAATTTCTAGCTAGCTACGCATCGTTTCTCAAATTTCCTTGTCACCTGCCGGTAACCTTTTCGCACTTGTCGCAAAAATTTGCCGATCGCGAAAGTTGTTACTAGCCTTTCAACATTGTTCATGCTGAATCATGGCGCTTATTGTTGGTCTTTTTATTCTTTATGTTACCATCGAATTGTCCATTGCTAATATTATCTGCCCCGGCCCTAATCAGAGACCGTGTGGGGTTGCTTGCTACGACACATTTCTGGAGCAACAGTGCCTGAATGGTATCATTTGTAAGAAAGGCGAGCGGCTGTGTGGACAGAAATGCTACAGTCCGTTCCACGGACAGGTAATATTTTAGTATGCTGCAGATTACGCTTAACGACATGAAAACAAATTATTTCTCTCTATGCATTAGTGGTATCCGCTGAGTTAGCAATACAGTAATAATAAATATCAATAAGAAATATTTCGCTGTGCGTAAGAATGCTAGTGAAGCAAAGTGTCTAAATGTTACGACTGCAGTGCAGTGTGTGCATACTCGTACTATATCACAACTGTTCCGGTAGATTATGTTTTTTTAATGAAATTTGTATAGCAATGCATCGACGGAGTGATCTGCGATAAGGGCATGAAACTATGCGAAGGTGTCAAATGTTATTCCACGTTCCACGGTCAAAGATGCTTTCCCAACGGTGTGGTGTGTGAGAAAGGGGAAATCGTTTGTGGAACGCAGTGTTATAATCGTAAGTCTAGTAGTCCGTAGCTTTATTATCTTTGGTCTGATATACTGTTTTTATATCATGTCCGCTTTTGCCTTGTGTAGTACAGAATACAATGTATTCATTTTATCCTTAAAAACTATGTCCGAATTGCAGCCTTGATCGGACAGCAATGCCTCTCGGCCGTTGTCTGCGCCAAAGGTCAACTGTTATGCGGAGACCACTGTTACAGTCCCGAAACTGGTCAACAGTGCAACATACCCAGTCCTGGATAAGGCAAATATTCTAATGCGCACATAAGGTTCTGAAATGATTTGTTATGCACCGTGAATTTTTCCAGCAGTCAGTAACTGTCACGTGCAACATACATCGGGATGCTATGCATTATAATTGCTGATATTGCTTGTATTTACATATATATGACTGGTTATTTGTGTCGTATCCGCAGTTGTGTACAAAATCTAATTAATTTGCATTACATTACTTAATTGCCTAAATGATAATGGCATGACTAAACAACAATGGAAGTTGACAGTAAACTCTGATGGATAGAGGAAATAAAACTTTCTTCACAGAACTGATTACCGAGCGGAAGTAATTCATTTACGTACTTGCACTTGCGCCATTTGTTCTTTGTGATGTACGGACAAAGTACGTATATCTATATAACTTGTCAGAAATAGGCGTTGCTCTTTAAATAAACATTTTGATGTTAACACAGTAAAATCAGATCTATTCGAACTCAAAACCGAAATCTATTAAATCCGGACGTGACAGATTTTGTTGTATCCATTCATCGATCTTTTTACTCGATTCTTCGTCCATCGTGTCGTGCCATTTTCCAACAGCCCCTTCAAACAACCAAATATCCGCACTACTGGTCTGCTCCATGCGCTTGTGTCATCACTGTTCTTACCTTTTCGAATGTAGGGGGAAATTTGAGAGTCATAGACGCCCACAACATGATCGCGTTCCTGGCGATTCGTAACAGGATTGGCTTGCATTTCGGCAAACGAACATTCATGGCATATGCGTTGGATTTGTTCATCGCTCAGTTCTTTTCCCAAAAAAGTGGCTAGCTCTTTTACAGAAGCGTGAAAATTCTACAGACGAAAAGCGCTAGATTGATTTTGAATGGGAAAACAGTAACACGTTTATGCCCAACTGACCTTTCGCATCTGCTCGTATGAACACACAAAAATATTCGGTTGGTTTCGAATTTTCCAGTATCCGGCAATGTTATCGAAATACGGTGCATACATAATTTTGCCTTGTGGCTTGACCATCTCGTCCACCAAATATCGAATGTCTCGATCGAATCCAACAGCGCGCAGGCCACGGAGCCAGTGGTACATGGACACCATGACATCTTTCGGGTTGCGGTATATATAAATCACCTAAACAACATTATTAATTTCTCATAAAGAAACTAAAAAATTTCATCTGTACAGAGTAGTAGAGCATTTTAGTAAGCTCGTATTTTTAGTAAGCCGAGGTTCAAGAGTGAACTTTGCGTAGTTAGGATACAATTAGGATATTTTGGCGTGCAGTACGTAAAAAACGAAACCCCCACATAACATAGCACAAAATCCACAATCTGAGTCAGTAGTCCGGCCGTACTTTAGCCTTTTCCACGACTGGCTTCGGTAACGAGTCTTTACTCAAATGCGTGGCGTACAACCTTGGTCCTTGCATGTTTTTCAGCTTATGTATGTTACGAAGTTCCGGGTGCTGGATTTCAGTGGGAAGAACTTGTTCCAGCATCGGCACCATAACCTGTACCGGTTTACCCGCATGTAAGCAGGCAGCATCCGCATCATTCGCAATCATCAAAACTACCGCCGACAGCCACCCGGTTCCTATATTACCAAGTTGTCAGGAATGCCAGAATTTTATTCCTTGCATGTGGAGTCAGTTACCAACGTTTTCCCCCAGAAACTGATAATGATTTATTAATACTGTTTTGATACCTGATTTTGGGAAAGAAACAACGCAGATATCTCCATCATGCGCTTCAAATTCATCTACCTGCGGTAGCGATAAGGTCCATGGCAATGGAACTAAGCAGCCTTTATGGTCTTCCCTGGAAATTCATAATTAGCTAAAATATGTCTCGATTAATGTAAACTGACAATTTGATTTAAATTCAAAAACTGTATGTTTTTTGGATCGATTTAGATCTCAACTCATTGGTGAAATACAGTTACGGCACAAATGGAATTATATCATCTACAGTACATGCCGTACCAGAATTCGTCGTCTTGGTAAACTGGACGCTTTTTTGCACTGGCATCTGGTGTCCCGGCTTCCGGTGCCGCCATGGCAGTAAGTTATGTACCAGTAACTGTGCTCGTAGATCCAGGTGTGTGAACCGTTTTGACCTTTATTACGCACAGAAGTGCAGAAGATTATGCCATATCAATACAGTGGAATCCAACAGTCCAGTTTCAGCTCTAATCAAGATCAAATTCTGACAGACTCGCGGAGTTCCTACTTGATCGAGCGTAGAAAGAAAATATTCGGAAATGTGTAGCAGTGCTTTATACCACCGGTCGATAGCCAAAGGGCACAAAAACAAGATAACCGATCCACTATATGTACCGCACTTGCTTCGAGCTATACATTAAAAACTTCTGTTTAACCTTTTTTACTGACTTGGTCGCTTTAATGTCCGTACAACCATATATAAATCGTACGTGCAGTTTAGTAAGTAGTCTAGTCTACCTAATTGTAAGATACTGTAATTAGTAAAGTGTAATTAGTAAACTAAAAGTAACTGGAATATATATAATCTTTATTGGTCAAATCGAACACAAGGCGCAATGTATCGAAACATAATAGAGTAATACAAGAAAGAGTTACAACAGGTAAATCTCATTTAATTTGTCCGCTTCACCAACAGTCCCGAGTACAGATGTCGCGTTCCCTTTTTTGAATTTCAAGCGACAATCGTTGTCGCAGAAATTCGTGTGAGCGAGACTCCCCGGTATGTAGCTGCAGTCTTTTGCCGGATTCTTTTACGATGCCAATAGCAGAGTGTCCCCATGGTCCCATCGTTTCAAAAGCAATTAGTGCAAAAATGTAACGGCCGACCAGATAGGAATACAGTCTCGAATTGTCATTGAAACCTAATTATTGTAATTGAGAAACCACAAGGCATCAGACATTAGTTTCGGAGCTTAAAGTTTGGGTCAGCATATTCCATAATATTAGTATACATCTTGATATTCAATTGTGAGCATGCAATTTTGTTGGTTTTATTGATTACATCATTGTGGCATATATTTTGGAGTCTGGATATTCCAGTTGTGCCTATTAATTTTGAAAAACTGGAAATCAGTCAAATCAGTGATGACTGCAGCATTCGGTTACGGTTAGCACTAATGCGAATGCTGTGGTGTCGTCGTGTAAGATTCGTCTTGCACTGTAATTATTAGTGGCTAAGTCGTTAATTTTCGCAAAACGTGCATGTGTTCCAATCCGACTGTTTAAAAAAGACCACTTCTACCAAATTAAACCATATTAAAACTTTTGGGTTTGGGGAAAAAGGACAGCTTCAAGTTCATTTTGCGTCCATTTGAAACGTCCCAGGACAGAATAACAAAGCAAAGATCTCGACAACAAATAGAAAGCTAATCAACAAATCGGTAACTTTAAACTTAAAAATGGCAAGACGTTCGTATAACAGTCACTATAACTAACAAATGTAGTAAAAATTAATAATTATTGTCATTTTTGAATTTTGGCTTACGACTGAAACAGTAATCATGGTCAGCTGCCGCAAAATAACAATGTAATAACAAGACGTACAAATTCTGCGCAAAAGCAAGTCGCAACGCGGTTCACCGAGGCAAGCTTAAAACTTCTCATTTCGCTTGATCTTGGCCAGTTGTTCATCGTGCTTTTCGCTCAGGAAGACCAAGGAACAACAAGCTCCCACCACACATAAAAACATATCCCATTGTGCATCATAAATATCACCTAGAAAAACAACACATACGGCTATGAAAAATCGCGGACTTCCAGATAAACAGAATTTTTGCAAACTTTACGATATAATGAATACTTAATACACCTGTACAATGGTGAGTCGGTGATTGCTGACCGAATTAAGTACGACACAACCACCAAGCTGAGCGGCACACCGGAAATTAACCATACTGACACTATCACACGTTGATAACGCCATAACGGTACCTTGGCTTCCCATAAAATCTCCACTATCATCTGCTCCGGACGCAGCCGTCCACCATTCCACAATTTCGTAATAAGCGGAGCACGCCGCACAAATGCAGATGACGATGCCGTTGAGCCAGGCTCCTTTACGCACGGCTTCCTTGCGAATAAGCACCTCGCGGGCCAAAATTGCTGGAACAAATCCTTGCGCAAAGTGCCCCAAGCGATCATAATGATTGCGCTTCAGATTAAACATCCGTTGGAACCAAAATCCAATGGGCACTTTGGCATAGGTATAATGTGCGCCTCCCAGAAGGATCAAGGAGTGCAAAAACATCAAGCGATACAACAGCGGTGTCAAGCGAAATTTGCGGTAACGCAGAAGTAGAAAGGGAATGGCAACCAGCACTGGCGCTGCCTCCATGAACCAGATCTTTACTTCAGCACAGCCGATGAAGGATACAACCATCGCGACACATGTCAGAATAAAGAGCACTCTGGGTTCGTGGAGTTCCATCCAGGACTGCGGTGCTCCTGTTGGCGTGGTCGAAGTGCGCGACGGATCGTTTTCCGATAGCGGCTTGCGCGCCGAAACTGTACTCCGCTGAGTGCTCATGGCTTGAAAAACAATAGTTGCTAAAGATACAGAAACGAATAACCAGTAACCAAAAGAGGCAGAAGAATCGAAGTTCAGAAGCGGGTTTCTCACCAGCTGAAGTAGGAATGTTGCGTGGCTTTTTTAATTTTATTAGTGTTGTCTCTTGTCAGCTGTTAATAGGGTGACACAATTACGGCCGCCCGGGTTGTCGGCTAAACCGGAAACGCCTTTAATCGCTATCTGATTCGCTAGCCAGCCAGCTACTAAGTTGTGTGGCAAAGATCCGGATTATAATCCGCATCTCAGAAACTTGAGCAGAACTTCAATTCCTTGAAAATAAAATTCATTTATTTTTCACAAATAAGTACGTACCAATTGTAGTTGATTGTTATTTCTTTTCCCTGTTTGGCTACTTTTCCGGAAAACTATCATTTGACAGGGTGGCGTTCTCAGATCCAGTATCAGTAGCACGAACAGTGCCTGGACTTCTTCGAGTGTTCTTTGCCGTTTGAAAATGATCAGATCGCACTTATTTGTCAGATTGGGGTCCAGTAATTTTCGCGCAATAACTCCGCGTAACGCTCGATCCTTGAAACTTCCTACCTTGTGGAAACCTCCGGAGAAGGAGAAAAAAGGGGAAGAAAAGAAAAAACCAATGATTCGCACTGACGACCAGCGACGAAAGAAACCAGATGCTCTTGCTTTGAGGCAAGCAGCGGAAATTGAACGGAAAACGTTGTATTTCGATGAAATCAGGGAAGATCTACGCAATAAAGCGACATTTCAGCTGGCAATAGCCAGTTTTCTCCAGCGTGATATCCGTCGAGCAAACCACGTGGACTTCATCTACGCTGCATTAAAACGGATGAAGGTACTGAGCAAAGCTGGGACTGTTCGTAACTTCGTACGCCTATGGTTATCGCCTTATCGGTTATGAACTTAATCGTTGCTGATTTAGTCTTGTAAAGAAAGCACACGTTATATTTTTTCAGGCATTCGGAGTGCATAAAGATTTGGAAGTGTATAAAGATATTTTGAACGTTTTCCCCAAAGGCAAGTTCATTGCGCAGAATATGTGGCAGGTGGAATTCATGCATTATCCGCGCCATCAAGATTGCGCCATCGATGTCCTGTGTGAAATGGAGCATAATGGTAAGAAACGGTTGTTGGGTTTCTGTTCGGCCATGATTTGTAATGCGAATCATCGCCGTATCCTGTTTCTTCTTAACATGCTTGGATATCCATTTACGACCGTTCGCCTATTGACTATCGTGGCTTGTTAATCATAGGGGCAAACATTAATATAATCGCAACTATGTGCTTTCTCTTTAGCTGTGATCCCCGACATTGAATTATACCATATTATTTTAAATTCATTTGGAGATCGGTCGATCGTTATGAGGAAACTGAAAAGAATGTTTTACTGGCTTCCGAAATTTAAACATGCAAATCCCTACCCTGTACCCATGCTTCTGCCTAAAGATCCGCTTGAACAAGCGCGATTAGCTTTGGAACGAATGAGTCCAGATCTTAGGCGAGAAATTACGACTTTTCAGGTACGGGAAGTATCCATAGGGTCAATTCACAGTTCAAATCATGAAATGCTAAATTTTTCAGTAAGTTATTCATCATGCCACATGGAGATGTGTTTTGTTCACTTCGGTGACTTTTGGATGTATACTCGTATATTATAATCTGAATATCTTATAACTTTAATTTGTGTGATTTTTCGCGAACGTTGCATTGTACGGGCAGGTTCTGACTTTATGTTAGTAGTTTCGGTTTATGGACTTACATCACGCATGAACGGTTGATTACGTTGTTTCGATTTTGAGATGGATCTCTAATTTTATACGAGTATGTAGTAGATATTATGTCTTGTTTACGAACTATAACAAATGAGTATCGTAATTCAGGAATCCAGTAAATCTCTACACATTTCTGTGTTTATACAGTCGGTAATTTTGTTGCAGCACTGTCTTATAACCTGCCAGCGTTGCATCTACCCGCCAGCGTTGCATCTCTGTACCTTTGATTTTCCTTCGTTACTATAAAAAGTACGAAATTTTAATTTTCAGACTTCGGAAATTCCGACTGCGAGCGATAAGACCTGGGTAGCCAGCTGCATTTGTCCGGACCAGCGCGAGTTGATCTCTAATCTTCCACCTGATCGTCCTTTGTTTGTTGAAGGCGAGTTTCAGGTGTACTTACGGGACAGCGCTTTGAAGTATTTTATTCTACGGGATGAACTTGACCGATTATTAGAACCCGGTAGAGAACACGTACCAGCTCCTCATCATCAAGTTGACAGTAAGGGTTTGATTGTTTCTAAACGACTATTTTTAGATGGAAAATTTGCCATGCAAGTAATAAATGGTCTTTGTTGTGCAGCAAATACGGATTGGGATCTGTTTTTTAAAACGGAAAAGCCTAAAGAATTTGCAAAAGAGCCATCGGTGCATGAACAAGATAATGGAAAAATACTGGGAATGTGCATTACGGGATCGGCAACGAAAGATTCTTTAGTTTCATGGATGGCTTATCTCTCCAGGACCAATCCTGAGCTAAAAAAGCGGCCAATTGTTTTTAGATTAAGATCCGCTGCTGAATACACAGACATAATCCCGACTGAGAGTGAGCAGGTTCGAGAAGAAATTGTGATGAGCTTATAATCTGTGTGCGGATACTTCTGTAGCATCGTGGAAGTGATTCAGCTGGAATTATTTTACTGCCTTGTGGGTTGTTTTTTATGGATTTTGTTTGGGATTTTGCTTTTTGTCGGTCATTGACATCTGTGTATTCTTGATCGCATGCAAGTTCTCTGACTAAAAGCATTTCGACGATTTCGTGACCCTCGTGAAAGTGTTGACAGAGAGTCGGCGCTAACAAAACGAAAAGAGGAAGAATATTATTGTTTCCCTGACTGGTGCGTTGCTTACAACACTGCGGTGGCAGACGAAAAATCACCAGACAAAACTGCCAGTGCCAAGCGCAGACGAAAAAAAATCTGACTAGGAAATCCATTTAGGATTTTTAAGAAAACCCCTGTACTTACTACTTAGTAAATTTTATCCGCTTTATCGCTAAGAATATCCCCCGCAAAACGATATATTAAAAGGCAGTTTCCTTATAAGACCGGAACTTATGAACAGGGCATACAGATACACTGGAAATACCGCTGTTCTTGTTCAGGCAGTGCTGAGTGCATCGACATCGACATAACACTGTCTTATACAGACCATTATTCGTGGCGTACCTGCATTTAATTTTAAAAAACACAATAACAAAATAATTTATACCAGCTGCTGTGTATATTATGACGTGGTTTATAAATTTATTTATTTCTGGTGGATAAAATTCGCCAGCTCTGGTAAAATTTTAATGGAAGCTTTCCATAAAGTTCCACAATTCAAACTGTGGCTACACTTGTTCCAGTATCAGAGATCTCGCTAAGGACTTCGCATAGTTGCTTCATTTGTGATATCTGCGTAACTGCGTGTTGCGACGTTTGACTATGGATGGTCTAGTTCTCGACGAAGACACATCCCACAATTTATCGGATGACTTCACGGAGCATCAGTATCGCGCTCTTGGTGCACTGGAACGTCTGAGTCCGGGTTTGTTGACTGTTCCGTGTTTTGATGTCGCCAGCTCTCCGTCGACATATTCACATTTGACGGAACACCGTGCCAGTTTTTCGCGACGTCTCCATCATTCTTCCGGATGTATCAGCGAAATTCGCGCCTCGACCATCGAAGTCGAGGCGATAACTGTCACCGTCGAGCGCACGGTACACGATTCAGAACAGGATCAGCATTTTGTTATTGGTGATGCTCATGAGGATATCAGCGAGAAAAGTCCGCGATCGAGAAAAGGCAGCTTATTTCCTACAGTGGAATCCCCGGAAAGTGGAGTCCATGAGCAGCAGGTAAGGAATTTGAATCTTTTTCGAATGTCGTGCGATTTTTAATAAAAATACGATTTTATGAATTGTCTGTATGATGCTGATTGCTGACTGTATATGGTTGCTTATGGCGTCTTTCGTGCGTCTTTCTTCGGGATGCTTTATTTTTGTTATAATTTGCATCGCAAAAATTGTTTTGATATTTGTAAGTGTTGGTTGATGTTATTAGTCTTATATTTAGTATGGATGTTAAAATTTTTACTTTTAGGAAAATGGTACAGATGTGGAAGACTGTGAAGAAACAGTGACGCATTCTTCGGATTCTGTCGATGGGCATTTCGGTGTCACTTGTACCTCGGCGTTTATTCCGCGCGACATAACCACACTCAGACATTCGGCTACGGCAGCCGTGTTCGGACAACTGGAAAACGAAAGAAATAGTGATGAAAATGAGAAACATCCAGAAGGGATTGCCGAAGATAGCGACAGCGTGCGCAGTAGTCCATCGACGGAAGATGGGCCCGATTACACAAATATGACATGGTGGAGAAATCAGACCAGGCAGCTGTTTATTTTGAGTGATTCTGGAAAGCCCATTTATTCACGGTAAAAATATGGGTTTTAAAATGACGATGCTAGTGTTCCCGTTAATGTGATGTTTCGTTAATTTTGACTACTGAGTTTATTTTGCAGCTTGTTAATGCTTGTTCAAATTTTTTATTGTAAACTTGAAGATATGATTTCGCTGATAAATATTTCTCCTCGCGCATAACGTTGCACAGTCGAGGAAATTTTGTTGACTTCGTCGTTATACGTTATTGGGTAGTTTCTTTTCTGAGATTATTTTTTTGGAAGTGTTTATGAATTTTTTCTTTTCAGACACGGAGAAGAGGATAAATTGGTGACGTTGTGTGGCGTGATGCAAGCGCTGGTTTCTGTGATAAACGACACAGATGGTGATAATCTCTGGAACCTGAGTGCCATAGGGACATCCATATCTTTTCTGGTGCGGACCCCATTGATCTTGGTGACGGTAGCGCGGACGGGCGAAACCGACCGGCAGCTGCTGATCTACCTGAATTATGCATATGATTTTGTGATTAGTGTCTTAACGTTGCCACAGTTGACCAAAATCTTTAAGCGTCATCAGAATTTTGATCTGCGACGCATGTTGGCTGGAACGGAGAAAAGTCTGGATCATTTGATTGATTGGTTTGATGTGGACATGGGCTTTCTTTTGGGTTGTGTCCGGTGTCTTCCATTACCGGTTTCAGTACGCGAAAGCATTAATACTCATCTTACACACTCCTGCCAGAAAATTCCCGGCTTGGTTTTTGCCATTGTAATGGTGAACCGGCAGTTGATCAGTATTACCAGATTGAAAAAATATGTATTGCATCCAGGTGATATTCGCCTCTTGATTAACTTAATCGATGCATCCGATTCGTTTAAAACTGCCGAATCATGGATGCCTATCTGTTTGCCGAAATTTGATTCCAGGTTAGGATATTTTACATGTTGCGTAATGAAAACTGTACCCGATCGTTGATTGTTGTAGTGGGTTTCTTCATGCTTACATTTCGTACCTGCGGGACTCACCGGTTTGTTTGGTTTATCTTGGCGTTGATCCGCAACTCTTTCACACTTTAGCCAAATCCGCTGCATCCTTTTCCGCGGTACGTCGCAGAATTTTTCTGTGGTAATTCCGATTGCGGGAAGTTCTTTTATTCTTTTATATACTAATATGTAATATGATAATTATCAGTTTCTGTAGCTGGTTGATCGCTTTTTAACTACTCGTGTTGCAATTACGTAATGAAATCGGTTACTGAACCTGTGCATGGTTTTCTCCAACTGTCTGCTATAAACTGATTTTTCGAATTTTACTTTTGGAATTAATTTAAAATGGTAAAAGGTTGTTGATTTTCACTTACTTTATGTCGTCTTATGCTGTTTTGTAAGTCAGCGCGCAACGTACATAACCTTTTGTCCTAATCGCAGAAAATGGATTCGTCTGGTGACTTGAATGCAGTCTTGACGGCAATGAAAACCACGTCGTATTATTCGACATCTCAGTCTGGAGTGGCGGAATTGCGACATTTTGTTTACAAATCCACCAGTGCAGCTCAGTTGACCAGTCCCTTTGTGACGGTTCCTTATGCTAGCAGTGATCAGGCGGAAAAACTACGAGAATTTTATCGGTATCTCCATAGGCGGATGCATTCGCCAACCAGAGCTGCTAAAATTATAGTTGTTACATCCAATACGGAAATGCTTTTAGGATGGGTAAGTGAATTTTTTATTATTTTTTATAGTTTTATTTCACAATTACTCGACATTTGCTTAAATATAGGTGACTTCTGGATTCGAATTGTATGCTGTCCTTGAGCCATTCCTTTCTAAACACCATGCAGTTTTAGCCATTGAGAAGTTGATAAAATGGATTAAGAAAGAAGAGAACCATCTTTTCATTTTAAATTCACCTGTTTTCACCTAAAGGTATGATTTTTTGGTCGAGCAATTAGGATATTGAATGTCTGCGGAACCGGTGAATTGTTTTTATTTTATTTTGAAGACATTTTCGAACTGTGATATTATGTTTTAAGCGGATTTGTTTATCATTTAGCGTAGAGCTCGATAGCCTATACTTGATCAAATTATGAACTGAAAACATATTTCATTTACATTGAGCATACTGTGTCGAAAAGATATCGATTTCACAGAGATGAGCTCAGCAAATACTATCAAAGCATATGCCGAGAAAAGCATGGGTTTTATGACCTGATTCTGGTATGCTCAATCTGTGCGTTCATTCGCAAAACAAAGTGATAGCCGTTTGTGTCGATATCGAATAGCGCCATTGCTGAAGAATATCCTTTCAATATACGATGTTCCCGTGGGAACGAACCTTCAACCTGCAGATGCGTTTCTTTCGAGCGAATTGACTTCGATATGAGCATTTGTGCTGTGTGTCGAACGCAGTCAGCAAACACGGCATGGCCGGTTGCACTCGAACGCCTGGCGAAAGTCCTTCTGCAGGTGGATGTGGCTAATGTTCTCTTTACCGATGAGAAAGTCTTCTCTGTACGGCGGATGGTCAACGGACGGCCAGTGCAGTTGGTTGTTCCCGTTTTCATGGGAATCAGCAAGAGACATCGGTTCGTCAGTGCACTGCCGCGCTGTCCACCCCTGACAGCGGAAGAGTTCTGTCAAGTGGTGGAAACGATCGACGACATTATGGAAAGAGATGGAAAACTGATCCTGCAGCATGACCGTGCTCCATGGTTTAGTGCCAAAAGGACAAAGCACTTCCTGGACGAGCGATATCCCAAGAGGTGGCTATCGCTGACAGTGTGGCCGGCAAAAGGGCGTTTGGTGCATCCACTAGACTGTGGTATATTTCCGGCAGTTGAGAAAGAATTGAATAACGGACACTTACAATCGGAAAAAGAATTATTTGAAAAAATAAAAGCCATTGTTGGTTCTTTTTCTTCTATGCAAATGGACAAGGAGATCGATATGATTTTTCATAGAATATTTAAATTTTTAAATACGTAACAGAAAAATGCTGGTGTAGTCCGTTCCTAGACTGTACTTACGGTACAGTGAGCTTTTGTTTGTTCAACAGCTGTTTGTGTGACTGTGTATGAGCATCTGAAATCAGCTAGCAGTAAACTACCAGCGACTATTACACGCACGCTTTGCGTAATTAGTAAAAAATATGGTAATCGCTACATGGTAATGGTATGGTAATCGTAAAAATATGGTAATCGTTATAATTTTTTTCTCGTGTTACGCAAAATAATAACGTCAACTCATAGAGTTAAACTGACCTATCAGATAATTTTTCCCATTTAGTGGCTGTTCAGCCTGTTCTATTGTTTAACTGGGTCGAAGAAGTGAAATAAGTACTGTATTTTCAATGTTTTATCGACAGCATTTCGGACGGTAATCGGTCGGTGCTGGCAAATATTTGCAAAATTAATGATACCTATATTTGAATTTATGTGTCTCGTTTTTATGACAAGAGCATGTATTAATCAACTCTGCTTACGTTATCCGACAATGACCCGGCAAATTTCGTTCAAAATTAGTGGTGCATAAAACGTTTGCTACAGAACTGCGCCAGTATTCCGACAGTATTAAGGTTTAAGGCGTACTTCATAATCGTACGTTTGTTTCGCCTGCATATTTATTTGCCAATCATAAATCTTCCTGTGTTCTAACACCATCTTTTATCAACTGTGCCGCCTCTGTAGGTCATTAGTTATTAAACCCTGTATTACGTGGTTTTATAATTGATGTTATTTATTGTGTATAGTTTTTTACATGGTCATCGGTAACTAATTAATTGTGAGGCTTTGCAGCGTGCTTTATGCGAACGCAATATTTACGCGCGGTCTATTTAGCCTTTATGCTTGCAGCACTACCCGAGTAGCGGTCCTACGTATACGTAATTGCAGCGTTAACGAATTGTAATATTATGCATATATCATCCCAGACCTATAAATAGTGAATAATCTTTACTGTCAGGCCATTTCTGTTCAGGTGCTTTAATCATCATAAGGTGTTTGTGCGAGCCAGAATGACCGGAAGTAAAGGTAGTTGCAGGCGACACCCTGTGCTTGTTGTATTGTGGTCAACGGTTGTGATCTCCGTTTGGTACAGTCAGTCAGTGTCATCTCAAGGTCCGATATCGAAATGTACCGGCACTATCCTGACAGGATCAGCTGCATTTGGGGACTGGCGATCGAGTGCGCCAGGTAAGTCTGATAATCTATCGCCTGATTTTCTCTTGCATACGATCTTGTACACTACTTTATACTTTGTATATACTTATCTGAATACCTATAACTATTACGGTTAACGTTTAGTAGCTGTACTCGTGCTCGGATTTTGTATGATAATCATAATTTGTATTTCATGTCGCTTGTGCACTTTTAAGCATTTTATAACATAATAACGGCAATAGTAGAAATGCATTTGATATTTTTAGGTATTTGCCGACGGATCACGGTTAACGATCTGCCGCCCCCCTTCGCTACACCATCGGGGGTGGCATTTGCAGCCATCATCCCGCGACCGGCTGGTGCATGGCCACAGGTCAAACCAAATTTCAAAGTTGATGAATTTTTCACCGGATTGAATAACAGTCGAATTGTCCGCGTGGCCCCTAATGGAGACATTTTTGTTGCGGAAATGATGGCAAACAGGTACCGTAAAAATATTTACTATAGACTGGTTTGACCTTTGTGTTACCGAACTAATGTGTATTAAATTTTGGGATTATTAATTACGATTGCCGCACAGGGTAAGAATTTTTACGCTGCACAGAAAGAAAATACGATGAAGAAATTGCTTGGAACGACTAGTCAAATTTATACAATAGTTATCTGTATAATAGTATGCTGCAGTTTAATAAAATAACAAATCTATTTTTGTGCGAAACAATTAAGATCACTTGAACTGAAAATATTATATGAGTAGCAATGCCTAACTGCGAGGCTTCATGCGATGTTTAAAGTATACACACATAATTTTTTTAAGTCCACGGAAACCGGAAATTTGAGGGATACAATATCTGTAATTGCCTTGGCTTTTAATCACGCTGTTCATTCAGTCCACAAATTCGGTGTCATGCGGTTTCATAAAAGGAGTAATCTTTTGTAGAATTCGTGTGTTACGCGCTGCCGATGGAGCTTCCAAGCCCGACACAGCTAGCATCTACGCGAGTGGTTTGAATTTGCCATTTGGTATTGCATTTTATCCACCTGGACCCAACCCTCAGTGGGTGTATGTCGGCAATACCGGCAGCGTGGTCCGCTTCGCCTATCAGAACGGAGATCTTGTCGCTCGGGGTGCACCGGAAGTGATTGTTCCCGTTTTGCCAGTGTAAGTTTTTTGTTAAGTAAAGACCATTAATTTTATGTACGTGAATTATTAATTGTTAAGAAAATTGCAATTTCAGTTCTCGTAGGTACTAGGGATCGATTGAAAAACAGTTCTGTTAAATGATTAATATTTTTTAATAGACAAAACGGTATTGTTTTGGTGCTTACGAATTTTTGTTGTGTCGGTAATACCGTACTAGTACTGTACTATTCGCCTATTTACATTTTCTGTTTAGTGATTTTATCTGTCTAATTTTAGTGGCGGTGATCACTTTACAAGAGATGTCACATTTTCATTGGATGGCTCGAAAATGTATGTGTCGGTGGGATCGTGGACTAATTATGGAGAAAACGGCACTGCCATCGAAGAAGGGCGCGCTCAAGTAAACCAGTACAATCCGGATGGCTCTGGATTTAAGGTTTTTGGTTCCGGTAAGTAACACGGTCTCTGTTTTGTTAAAGAATTTTTGCAAATTTAATGTAAACTGCGGCCTATGCATGTTTTACCGTTTTGCTATTGAAAAGTTTTAATATCCTGTGCAGGTATCCGCAATGCCGTGGGAATCGCTATTAACCCCACAACCGGCAAATTATGGGTGTCTGTCAATGAGCGCGACGGTCTCGGCGACAACCTGGTTCCAGATTATATTAGCCATGTGGACGACGGAGATTTTTTCGGTTGGCCATGGTACTACATCAACGGTACTCAGGATCCGCGCCAGACCGACGCCCATCCAGAACTGCGCGCTAAGGAACGGACTCCGGATGTCCTTCTGCAGGCGCACTCAGCCTCCCTGGAGATGGCCTTTTACACCGGCTCATCTTTCCCGAGTGAATACATGGGGGATGCCTTCGCATCGGAGCACGGCTCATGGAATCGCGGGAACCGTACCGGTTATAAGGTCATCCGGGTGCCGATGATTAACGGCATCGCCACCGGCGAGTATGAGGACTTTATGACCGGTTTCGTCACGGATACCGGTGATGTGTGGGGCCGGCCGGTGGGAGTGGCGGTCGCCAGGGACGGAGCACTGTTGGTTTCGGATGATGGGGCCAATACCATCTGGAGGATTTCCTATGTGGGCAACGGTACTAGCACGGCAACACAGGCGACTACGTCACCGGCGACTGCGGCTCCGGCTCCTGGCTGCACACCTGCGGCCTACTATGGTTAATCTGATGATACTATTTTTGGAATTTTTTATACTAAATTTTTACTTGTTTCGTCTATAAAAAATGCACTGGATTTGCTCCGACTGAAGGAATATTTTACCTCTTTGTATACTGCGAACAATGAAGTAAAACAATAATTCTCACAGCACAAACATATAAACCAATAACGCTCTGAATTTCGTAGTATGATCCGTAATGCTTCTAACAATAATTATACTTGGTGAATCGAAGTTAGCAAAAATATAGTTAAAATGTAGAATCAAAATACAAATACAGTGAAACCTGGATACTAAATACACCTTCGGTTAAAGCAAAACCGTATGTATTATCCAGGTGTATGTATTACACAGAGCTATTTTACAGTCTATGGGACGCGCCGGTTAAACTTTCCGCGTATGTAATTTCCAGGTGTATGTATTTACCGGTGTATGTAGAAGACAGGTTTCACTATAGTTGATTCCACATTGAAAAAATTGCTCAGATGAAGGTTTTCAATAATGGGAATCCTTGGATAATTTTACTTTTCTTTAAAAATTTAATAATGTAATCCATCATCCATGTACAATCCCGTTGACCTGGTAAGCGGTTGATCCCGTTTGACAAGACAACAGAACTGGATACGACGGAATACTGATGCAGTTTCGTGGATTGCCAAAGTAAACACAGTGATCCTCTCAAGAAGTGCAAGGTTAAGGAACTGGATGTTGTTCGCTGGCTTATAAGTAACATCGGATAACATGGAAGATGTCGTGATGATTGAAATGCCGCCGACATATAAATTGACAAGTGGCAGATGCCGTGTACAGTATACGTACACTCGATGTTAATAGTCGGTGCACACTCACAGGATATGCCGGTTTTAGCCCTATAAATAGAAATTCGCCACATTTCTCCGCAAAACAAAAGATTCACTCTTCTGCGACGTCGTGTTTTGGGTTACTCCCGTTAATGCCTGTTCATATCCAACGGAACAATCTTTCTGTCTCCGCTATGATAATCAACAGTTTGTGAGAAACTCTTATCATCAACGACGATGCAGTCTAGACTTTCAAATTGCCTCGTACCTATAATATTTGGATTATTCTGTTGCACATGTCCCGCTGTGACCGGCGGTGATATATTAACGGGACAATCAGCATTCGGAGATTACACCCAGGATGCACCGGGCGTCCGGCGGAAAATATTGGCCACTGATTTGCCTCCTCCCTTCACTTCCTGGGTAGACACCAGCCAGCCATTGATTCCGCGGCCAGAAAATGTTTTCCCCCAAGTCCCCAAGGATTTCGTTGTGGAATTATTCGCCGATGATCTCGATCATCCGCGGCTGTTGCGCACCGCTCCCAACGGCGATATTTTCTTAGCCGAGAGTTTTGCCGATAAGATTACACTTTTCCGTCGCAACACGACAACCGGGCATGTGGACAAATTTGTCTATGCCACCAACGATACGGGACTGCAGTGGCCGTTCGGAATAGCGTTCTATCCACCTGGTCCAAATCCCACTCACATCTATGTGGCCAATACGGCCAACATTATCCGGTTCAATTACAGCAACGGCGATGTGGTGGCCAGGGGCCCAGGTGAAATAGTCACGGAACAAATTCCCAGCGGGAGGATGATTCTGCTGACCGGCGGAGGCCACTGGACGCGAGATATTGCCTTTACGAAGGACGGTCAAGCGATGCTGGTATCGGTGGGATCGCTGACTAATGTGCAAGCCAAAGCCGATGATAATGAAACGGATCGGGCGATGATTCTGCGTTTCAACGTCAACGGTACCAATAAGACCCAATATGCTACCGGTAAATTTTACGATGTTATGAGCCAGTGCATAAAACCAAGAAGTATAGAATGTAGAAATGATGTTGATTTTTTTAAAAAAGGTATTCGAAATGCCGTTGGCATTGGCATTCATCCCGAAACCGGCGATTTATGGGCATCCGTCAACGAACGCGATGGTTTAGGTACCACATTTGTGATTGCAAAATAAATACCTGTTATGACCGTACGTAAAAAAATAAGCGAAAGCACTGTTACGTACAATGTCGTACATAAAAGTGTGATATTAGCGCGGTCGAATACTTCTACAGATACTGTATCTGTCTGTAAACGAACAGCACTGTACTGGTTTTTTCTACTGTATTCTAAACAATGAGCTCAACAGTTTTTATCATAAAAACATAATTTTTGCTTCGCCCGATATTTTACTAATTTGTTAAACGGTTCCCGTATGTTTCGCAAAATTGACATCGCATAATTTACGAGTGCCTTCTGTTTTAGTAGTGCATTGTCAGCGCAAAGCAATTGGTTTTTGCATGCTCCTGTTAGGTGATGATTTAGTGCCGGACTACGTTACGAGAGTCAAAGAAGGTGAATTCTATGGATGGCCATGGTTTTACATGGGCAAGAACATTGATCCCCGACATAACATCACCAGCTACCCTCCGGGAATGCTGGAAAAATCGCGCATACCGGATGTGCTAATTCAAGCACACAGCGCCTCTCTGCAGATGTCATTCTATACCGGAAAAACATTCCCTAAAGAGTATGTGAACGACGTCTTTGCAGCACAGCATGGATCATGGAATCGCAAGAAACTCACCGGGTATAAAGTGGTTCGTGTGCTGGAAGAAAACGGCCAAGCCACCGGCGTGTACGAGGATTTTGTTACCGGTTTCGTCACGCCGGAAGGTAAAGTGTGGGGCCGCCCGGTCGGAGTGACCATTGCCCACGATGGATCGCTGCTGATTTCGGATGATGGGTCAAATTCGATTTGGAGAGTATGGTACAACGGCACGGATACAAACGGCTGTTTAGCACAATATTGTAGTAATCGACACGTGATTGTGATTTTCTTAATCATGCTCTTGGCTTTTGTCCGCAGTCAGTAAAAATCTATGGAATATGTAAAACAGGAAATTAAAAACAACTACCACTACCAAGTGGGTACGGCAAACGGAGAAAGCGCACAAGCAGCTGTTGACCTTGACTTTGAACAAAGTAAAGTGTAAATTCTGCAATGTAATTAAAATAATTCTTAACACTTCCAGTTTGCGGCGTAAGCACACAAGACAGTGTCACAAGCAAAAGTATCAATTTCTCATTTTCTTAACATTTTCAGATAGAATTTAGAATGTAACAGCATTTACGCAACATCAGCCAAGCAAAATTAAATATTTTAGAATAACAGTCAAAGATACAAATAAGATTCCACCACACGTCTTTGGATTATTGTGTAAAAGTAAAAATGATCAAAAGGCGGTTTAATGTAAAGATTTTTCGAATCAATCAGGAAAAATACCTTGCGAAACTGTACATTACGGCAGCACATTTAACCGTCAGCTAGGAGTATCCGTAGTATTCTGGCTCTGGCGTTGTCGCTGCCTTGTCACGGGACCAGCATAACTAGGGACCGCTCCACCATCGTTGGATGAGGTAGACGCTGACGAGCTCTTCTTCCCCCGTCCTCTCCCAGCAGCGCTTTTGCTGTGATCTGTTCCGTCCTTCTGATCGCTGCTAGCACTGCCTTGGGAACATCCAGCTTCGTCACCGACATGTCTCTCTTCCGAAGATTTCTTCTGCTTGTCATCGTCGTCCTTTTTTGTCTGTGAATCCTTGAGAGCAAGGTAGACTTGCTTGCAGGCCTCCCAGTCAGCCTGTGAATCCATCCCGATTTCAATCCGACTGCACGGTAAATGGATCATGGCGAAATTGAAAGGCAAAAACTGAAAGTGCAAATCGCTACCGCGAATCTAAATCAAAGAAGAACGGCACCCATCCAATCTAATCAACCTTTCTAAAAGATGCGTTATTAACTCACAGTTCGCACAGTGTACGAAAAGAGGCAGCCAAATTCTCTTAAAATTATAAAAAAAAACACCGATCTCGCGAAAAACCGTCAAACATAAGATAAGTAATTTTACGAAATTTCACTAACCTGCTTTCAAACATCAAACAACTGCAAACTTTCAAGCTGCGTTCAGCTTTCACGTAAACAACACAGAAAGGTACGGAAACAGACGACAGCACAAACTGCCCGGGAGGCAGTTATCTAACAAAGTCAAAGTACTTGCCAAAGTGTAGAACGTGGGCAGCAGCTGTCATTCGGGTTCTGGCTTGGTCATTGTGTTGTAATTGTTCTCGTTTCTGCTGTTACGCTGTAAAGTGTAAAGCCAAATGAATATAAATAGTGACAAAGTTCATTCTCATCTTTTCAATTTTTTATTCAGGTGTGCAAGGTTTACATGTAACAGATTTTTGTAGCGAAGCTGTGGGATACTGAACAGCAGGGATGCCGTCCTTGTTGCAGCAGTTGGTCAGCAATCTTCGTAGATCCGAAGGGGATCTGCTGTCAGGTGCTGCTTGTTTATCTCTGATTACTCCCGTAATATCCCGCTTTGCTACCGATCTCGCACACGTTTCTTCTTTATCGTCGCCTTCGGAGCCCTCTCCGCGAAGCCCTAACAACGAACAAAGCAAACTCCTATCCTTGCGTGAAGATCTCCAGTATTTAGGTTATATTGCAGATCGGATTTTTGGCCTGATCATTCTGCATGGCGATGGGACGCTGCAAGGGGCTGTTTCCCTGCGGCCTTTCCGATCCCTGAAGTTTTTAGAGCTGCGCCGGTTACCGTTACATTTACTGAAGGGGTTGACCGTTTTGCGAGGACAACTGGAAACTATTGTATGTGTGCGATCTTTACAAAATTTGGAACTGTTGTTGGTTAAATGCGGAGGCGATGCTGCTGATGCGTTCCCGTGGCCCCAATTGCGCACATTAGTATGCGTTGATTGCGAACTGGAAGATCTAGGTGATGCTTTGGATTGTGCGACAAATTTGTCTAGTTTAGATCTCAGGTAAGGCCAAATATGTTTATCTACTTACAAATGAATAATGCTCTTAATGCATATTCATTGCTGAATATTTATTATTGTTAGCTGCTTGCTGCTCCGCATTTTCTAACTATTTATTAACTTTTTCTTTTTGTTGTTATTTAAATCTGCTAAAAGTTTCAAATGTTGATTTTTTAGCCGAAACTCTATTCGTCATTCCAAGACTGCTCTTCTTCGGCTGGATGAGTTAATTAACGTCAATTTAAACTACAATTTCCTTGAGAAAGTGCCAAAATTTTCTCCTTCAGCGAATCATCGTTTACGGGTTTTAACATTGCGAAATAATCGTCTTGAATCACTGGAGGGATTAGAAGACTTGGAAAACCTGCAAGAGCTGGACATTTCTGACAACTGCCTGATGAGTCATGATACGCTATGGCCGCTGCGACGCCTTCCGAGATTGGGAAAGCTTTCTTTGTCCGGAAATCCCATCAGTTTCCATAAGAAACATCGCGTACTAACTGTCGTTAATTTGAATTCTCAAACATTTAAACAGCGACGGTTTTTCCTTGACGGTCTACAGTTAACGCGAACTGAAGCAGCGTACATTCCGGACGAGCCCATTGGGTTTGGTCGGCGATCCATCTCGCCTGTTGATGCGGAAGCCGTGTCGATTCAGACTGTCGCTAGTTCCCTGCAGAACAGTATGCAAGAGGGTTCCGTGATTGACGTGCCGACTTCTTCAGGGAAGAAGAAACAAATGCGAGTCAGGGTTGTGCGTCTGGATTCATCGCAGAACAACGCGGATGCTGCCGACCAGGGCCAAGAACGCACGAACGGTCAGGGTTGTACTTGTGTTATCTCATTTAATGCCGATTTGTGTTTTATTTAATCGACGTAATGCTTTTTTAAATAGTTAATGCTTTTTTAAATAGTTCGTATCAGATGCTTGACCGGTTAGAGTTATTGTCGAGGAGTAGTGAATCAACAGCAAAACTTTTCTCTTCCTTTTTGGGTTTACTCATGTACTCGGTGTTTTATTTTTTTGAATAAACTTCAATAACCACCATTTATTAAATGTCTTGTAGCTAAATTCTTGATATCTTAGTTTTAATATTTTTGCTTACGGTGTTTTATGCCAAGTTATTAGGTTGCCCAGTCCGGCCCCTGTGCATAATTAGTAGGGGAGATTTTGAAAAATCGGAATGATGTTACTAATGCTTGTTGTTTGCAGAACCCCCCGTTGACATTCTGAGCTCCTCGACATCATCAGCATTTGCGCAAGATATTGAAGAATTACGTGAAAAGTTTGGAGAAGAATGGCTTAAATTCCACGCCGTTCAGAATTCTGTACCACAGTCTGCGCCTATAGCTATCGAAGTTCCAGATTTCACCGCTCAGCTAATTGACGAAATCATTCACCCTCATGACGAGCAGCTCACAGCGGAACCGGAGCGCATTCAGAGCGCGGAAAGTATTGACGATGCACCTCCACCTTTGCACACAGAATCCAACGAAAATGAATCTGATCCGTTTCTCGTACAGCTGGAGGATAAGCCGAATTCCGAAGATGCTTTGTTAGTGTCATTAGGTGATAAGCACTTGATTGAACGAAACATTTCTGGGGTGATAGTTGAGATGCTGGAGAACACTAGCGTATTGAAGTGTGAAATCAGCGAGGACGATCCGACACGGTTGTCAATGTATTTTGATTACATGCGCAAAGATCGACGGAGTCGGAAATACTGTTTTGAAGATGCGGACCAAGCGTTGCAGTTTCTGGATTTGGTCAGGCCGTTGGTGGACGAAAAGGATGTAAAGTTTCTCAAGTATCAATGTCTGCAGTGCAACAAAATATTTCCGGAATACCAGGCTGAAACTAAAATCAAGTATCGCCCTCAGAGCGCAGTCCAAAGTGGATATTCTAGTTCCATCGGATCCATGTCCACTTCCAATAAAGGTATCTTCACGAAATGTTTTTCCGTGTATATATCACAGACATCTGAAAAATATGGTCGCTGTATAAAATTTCCTGTGTTTAATTGTTTTTTAATATTTCGCTTCGAAAGGCTTTACGCTAAAGTAATATACTTTCCCGGTTGAATCAACCCCTTCGATTTTATCCAGAAAGCGGTTTTAATTATTTTTTTGTCAAATTTTTTTTAAACTTTGGAGGAAAATTTGGATACTTACATACTTTGTTTTATTATAGTCCGCGCTTTAAAGTGTTTTCTTCAAATGATACAGAATAGCTGAATAAAATTATAGAGAGAAATCATACTTGCATATAACCATACTTGCACTTCTTTGTCTTCTTTTGAGATTTCCTAAAAAAGAACTTCATTTAGGCATTCTGGCCGAAATGGTAGCTTGTCCATTCTGCAGCAGTGAAATGCTGGTAGAAAAGAAATCTGACTCATCTAGCAGTGACTCCCCGGAAGCGGATTCTCATGCCGTAGATGGCACAGCATCCACGTCTCCGAAGAAAATTAAGCGTTCCAGCAGCGTCGCTGTACTGGCGAACGAACCTACTGACGACGAAGAAACAATCCTCCCCGGGAGTTATAAAACCCCTTCAATGGGCACTTTGAGCCCACCGGCTGCCGAACGCAGTTTAGAAAATAGCCTGTATGACTACGGCCGAAGAGATTCCGCTGAGGAGACGTTGTTCGCTGTGCATGGTGTTGACGAGGCGATGAATTTGCTCAAAATGGACGGATTAGCGATGGAAGCTCCGGGGTTTGAATGGAGCTATGATGATTACACGGCTGTGGATCACCGGCTACGCTTGCACGTCGATATGAATTTGTTGACCGAACCTGATGAACAGTTCCAGATGATTGTGAAGGTTGGTGGCGATTTTTTGAAATGTGTAATTCTTATTTGAAGTTTCTGTAACTTTGTAGGTGGATGTGTTCACGATGGAAGGCACTTCTCCACGCGAAATGGTCTGGGTGGTGTCCAACCTGAATGTTTTAATTTGCACTTTAAGCGAGGATTCCAGGTGGGTATTTGGTAATTTCTCGCGACTGAATTCCTCTCATGATTTAAATTTACGATTGGCGCATCTCTTGTAAATGTATCGGTGAAAATGTCGATATTTGGAACGTATTGTTTAATCAGTTTGAGTTATGTAGATATGCATATGTTTGGTGCTTAGTAGAGCTTATGTAAAATCGCGCAAGAAGGGTGCGCGCATTTTGGTGAGTCTTTTTGTTGCAGTGTTGACCCATCAGAGTGGCTTCGCCCGCAGCAATCAATCTCGTTGCGAACTTTCAACCTGTTGCATACCGTTTGCGATAATCAGTGTCTGCGACTTGGTTTGACGGATGGATCGTTTCTCTTGCTGCTTTTCCGCGATGAATCCCGAGCACAGAAATTCGCACAACAATTCCAGGGTATATAAGCACACTCAGCGCGTGTGATGTCTAGAATGCGTGACGTTGATACTTGATCATATTCCTTTCTAGAGGTTCTAGCCAACAGCAAAGTACCGTTTTATCTGCGCGAATCCAGTGACGTTTCCACTGTGGATTCCTGGTTGGCAGCGATACCGTTTGAAGATGAGGATACCGAAGTCTGCCTATCCGTCACCTGCCGAAGATTGTGTTATATGGGCAAATCACCAGTTAGTTTGATTTGTACGGAATCACATTTGATCATTGCCACCGATGATTATTCGAATCTGGTGCGCAGTGGCAGTACCCTTTTCACCTTGGTCGATGCGAAGCCGCTGTCTTCCATTAGCAATTTGGTAAGCACATTTTATTGTTAGATGGATCAGTTTTCCCGAAGTATGCAGTCGTTTTGTGGCAATCGATGGCTTATTTGTGTGTGATTTGCAGGTTATGCACGCATCATCGCCGACAGTCCTGGGTATTAAGTTTTTCAACGAAGACATCGATGCAATCAATCAGTGGGATTTCCATTTTGAAGCTCTGGATGGGCTTGAAAAGATTGTCCAGTCCATACGTTCGCCTTGGGAAAACGTTGTCTTCCATGTTCCACTTAATGTTGAACTACATCCGTAAATGTTGCTCCGGTTCCTGTGGTGTAATTTGTGGTAGTTTCCTTCGGTTGTTTTTGTAGCTTTGTGATACGCAGTGAACTTTTTTCCCGTTTCATGTCTGATTTGAGAGATTATGAAGGAATCAGAGGGATTGATTTTACCATTTTAATTTATTAATGTTCCGTTGGTATCTGGCCTGTACGAATATTGACGTACACGAGAAACAGTTACGCCAGTCGTACAATAAACGCATAATTTTATTGTTGTCAAAAAACATTCTCGTAAACATGTAGTAATTTAAGTGGAATTACTGTCCGCCGCAGTCAACACGTTAAGTATGTAATTTGCAACAAAATTACAAGTTAACCGTTTTAGGAATTATACATATTTAGTTCATTTGCCATAACGACAGCAGAACCCTCGTTATGTTTTTGCAATCTCGGCGATTCTTGGTTTAGAAAATGTTCATTCAAGCGGCTCTTGGTGGCAAAAATTAAGCTGTAGCGGTCAGCTTTTTCTGTGCCGATGTTCTTGTAAACAAACACTGTTTTCGTTATTCAGTAAATTAAATCATGGTCAGAACTTCAATGGAGCATATCACGATTTTAATGGGGCATTCGAAGATAGCTGATATCGAAATCAAGAAAAGGTCAACTTCAGCCAGGTAAGTATCCAAAGTACATCACAACCACAGCGGCAGCTTTGTTCCTTGCCGAAAAAAAAGAGATTTGTTAACTAATCTAGGATCGCTGCGAATTATTGGTCGACGGAATATAAGTTATCCAATATGCAACAAACTCCTCGTATTTCCTTCCGCCGACAGCAACTAGGGCATTTTGCGAGGGACTGTTGGAAATCCATGTATCACCGAATATGAAAATTTCCCCATCCTCCTTGAGTTTCTTTAGGAGCTCAAATAAGACAATTTTAAAAAATCCCTGTCCCCGATAATTTGGGCTTGTGTAAGCTCCCCCGACGTTGCCTTGGGCTTTGTAGAATACCCAGGAAACAGGAATGGCGGTTTCGTTGAACAGGGCAACATTCGGGTGATGCTGCTGGATCAAATGCCGGAAGAACTTCCGGTTATTCTCCGCGTTACCGTAATGTCTTCCGCTTGTTAGATGTTCCAAATGGTCTTCCGTTAAGAATCCCAATTTGAACCCATGGGGCAGCGTATAGCTGTTCAGAGTGAAAAAGAATAATTTTAGCATTTTGTCATATTCTGGACAGCATCAGCGTGTACCACTACCGCTGCTTTAGTTGAAAATTTAAAAACTGTTTATGGCGTAATTATTTTTTATTATTAATTTATTTATAATGCAGTTTGATTGCACTCGCTGCAAATTTCTCGTACTAAACCTTTTCCGGAGAGACAATGCCGCATTTTAACATATTGCAAATACCAAGCGTGTATCTGCAGTATACTGTAAAGTGTAAAATGCAATATGTCCTTACGAGAATGGAGCAAGATTATCCAAATTATAGTAGAATGCGCCGGGAGGAAAGCCGTCTACTACACCAAAATACTGAAATTTTCCAATGCATGTTTTGTTTCCATACTCCAATAAAATGCGATTTTCCGGCTCATTGGTGCCTGCAAATGAAAGTATATTAACGGAACCATTAATTTAGGCTCAATTTTCGGCAACCGATACGAGAACAGCTTTTCTCTTGAGTTGATAAAAATCTGACTTAATCAAAATGTGCATTTCCTTGTTACCGCTTGCAAATTTGCAGTCGTTATTAACACCATTAATGCACTTCTAAACCAAATTCATTTATTAAATTTAAGTGACATGACCATCGCATAACAAGTTAATGGATAGTTGGAAGTACAGATATGTGTACCAATAAACATTATGTTTTGTGTCCAGTCCACCGCAGTCTGCTGGAAAATCATCTCACGAAAGCGTTCGGCGTTTTTTGAATATGTGAACACGGAATACCCGTTGACAATTGGTACATAATCCTGCAAAAAAAATAACTTTACATGTTTTCAGATGTACTGGAAAATCTAACAGAAATTAAATATGTCTGACCTGCCCATCCTTGGCTGGTCGGCAAATACAAACGGAAATGTCTGGAAAACTGTCAACGACAAATTCCAGCCCCGGCCAGGCATACCGGTTGCGAAGTGCATTTCGCGTCAGGTGGAATATCTAGCACGCACAATATTGTCACAAGCTGTGCAACACTCTCACTCTGTCCGAGGGGAAGATTGGCTACTTCCTAGTCGGAGGGAGCTGCCAGTGCCGCTCTACTAGGGGGGAAGAATGGCTACTTCCTAGCCTAGGAAGCTTACGACCAGCAAAACTACTTGCTGCTGCTACACGAAACGAAAGAGCCGCACTTTCCAGATCGAATTTAATAACAAAAGCAAAAGATCAGAAAATGCAACTAACTCTATCGCAGAGACATACCCGGCTTTTATACGCCGTAGAATAACATGCCATGATTACGTAACAGTTCCGGCGGCAGCGCCGACCAATATGAGTACAAGAAGGGAATTATACAACAACTCCTCTCAGGAGCGCGACAATATTCTTTGGCATTACTCATCGAAAGATTTTCGGGAAAGCTGAACTGACATGATCAATTTATTACTAACAACGAAAATAAATTTACCATGTCAGAGACCGCACACTCGAGGCGGTAGACACCTCTTGTGGCTTTGCTCTGTCGCCCGCCCGCGCACGGCTACTCCATTCGTGCCGCGCTATTACGCTGCTCACTCAGCGTATACTTTGTCTACGCTGACCAATCAGCGCATTTCCGCACTCTTGGGGGCGTAGCCCAGCGCTTACGAGCGATTCTATGCTTTACGGCATCAGCTGTTGCGTACCCGCAGCACGCTGCATCATTACCACTTTTACTGACTTGCGCGCTCGCAGCTACTTTTTCCACAGTGATACCGCATTGGTTTTCTGTGTTTGTTTGTGGTTGCTTTATTGTTACCAATAAAGGCGATATTTGCCCCATTTTCCATCTGCTTCTGTGTCATATCTGACATGGTAGCAGACTCGCTCGGTTTTCTTTCCTGCGAGACCTCTGATTCCCAGTGAAGGCAACACGGTCGAACTACGCTGATCGCCTATAAGTAGGCCAGCCATCCCGCGACCATCATCTCCTGCATCATACGGATCTCATTGGAGATCCGCAGCGCGACGGAATAATCATACGGGTCAGGTTCATAAGTGGACCTCCCGCAGCTTTGGCTCCCCGCTCAAAAACTGAGTTGGGTACGTCGCTGTTGACCAAATAAGCGCCCTACCGGGTTGCGTTGATACGGGTCAGGCTCATAAGTGGGCCTCCCGCAGCTTTGGCTCCCGGCGCAAAAACTGCGTTCGGTACGGTCCTGTCACACCAATACGCCCTATCGGGTGCGCTGCGGCCCTTACGGTAGAAAAGGGTGAAGGGGAACGACGGAGCAGCAGTTTGGACGAGGAGAAACTCGGTAAGACCTGTTGTGGCGTCGTAGGTTTTCGGAGAACTTTCAAAAATTCGAGGTTTTCGTGTAGAACCTAAATAAAACCCTTCATAACTTTTGAACCGTTCATCCGATTTGCGTAAATCTAGCATTTTCGGATTCCTTGAGAAATTCTGCACTAGAAAAGTGTAACAGAACTCTCGAAAAATTTTTCCATAATTTTTGGCGAATTATCGGCGAAAAACAACCGCCATTTTGTCCAGCCGGAATTTTCGCGAAAAAGTCGCGTGACGTCAGCGTGGTGATTTTCCATAAAATTCTGACCAATCAGAACATGTGGGAAACTTCCCCGTGTTATAACAGTCGTAGTGACTCATACTTTTTTGAATTTTTGCTCACGGCACGCTACTCGTGACGTAGAGCTTTTTGCAAGACCATTTCGTAACTGACGTCACACTGGTCAGTAAAGTAAACTAGGGCCATAGGAAGCTAACGCTAAACCTGAGCTCTAGCGTACCTGACCAGCACCGACAGCGATCTAACCCAACGTTCCGGTCCGGACCAAGACCAAAGAAACCTTCTAAGTCCCAATACCATGGGCCAAACAGAAAGCGCCTTGGCCAAGGTGATGCCATACACCAGCCATGAGCAACTCCAACGGAGAATGCTCAGTCCCATGGACAGGCGCCAACAAAATGACTATGCCAAGCCTCGCGGGAAGAACTATGCCACGCGCGAACCAACGGGGCCTTACGGGCTCCGTAGCGCCAGGCCAACCAGTTCTGACCCGGACGAGCCAAACTCGGCCGGCTCTACGAGTTCGGTCGAGGCCAGAGCCAGGCGGGACAACCAAATCCTGCCGGCTGACCTGGAAACCAGCGACGAAAGTCTGGACGCCACCCGGGACGACACATTCCTGGAAGCGTCCGACGGGTTGTCCGAGGCCAACCAGCCTCAGGACAGCCAACCTGGCGCCGATAAACCGGCCCAGGCCAACAGTGTCCCTCGGGACTTGGCACAACAACCGGCCATACCTGGTCCGGGCCAAGTCCAACTTGAGGCGCCAACGGCGGCCACAAGTGAGGACAAGACACGCACCGATGGACCAGGGCCAAACAACTTGGCCCGGTCCAACCTTGACGTCCAGGATCTGAAAACAAGTCCAACCCTATCGGGCTCGGACCAGATCCAACCTGAGGCACCAACGGTGACCAAAGGTGGACGCAAGGCCAAGGGCCAAGCCAAAAGGCTGGTCCAAAGGCACATGACCAGGGCCAACAGCCCGTGAGTCAGTCGCCCATCATGTTTGAAGTCGATGGCTCAGCACAAACAACGCCATCGCCGACCAATGACGTCATCGGCGCGTCTGGCCCGTCCAAACCGGACCATGAGCCAATTGTGGACCTGGCACAACTAAACAGGGCCACAGCCAGGATGGACCTTAATCAGCCCACCTGGGACATAAACAGCGCCAGCGTCACCCCGCCAAAGCTGATCCAGGCAACCCGGCCCGAGGAGATCGACGAAGTCGACCAACTTCGGACCACAGTACGGGACCTGACTAAACAGCTGGCAGATATTACAGAGGCAACCCTGCTATCCGAACGTTGGATGCAGGACGAGATCTGCAGACACAAAGACCTTGCGGTCCAATCGGACGCAGAGGTTAAACGTGTCTCGGCCATACTGGCCCAGACCCAACTTGAGCTAACCCAGCTCAAGTTGTCACCATGTCCCAATGCTGAGCGAGACCAGCTCGGCAGGACAATCCACAGCCTAGAAATGGCTGTGGCGGGACTCGAAGCTTTGCTCACCTCTACGAGGACTGAGCTGGCCAAAGCCAAGGATGACTTGACTGCGGCCCGGACCACAATCGATGAAACCGATTCAGAGGCGGACCGCCTCTCGAACGAAAATGAGCGTCTTACCGACGACTTGGCCAACCTGCAGGACGAAATCAACCGCCTGCGGAACGGCTACAATCTTCTTTATGAGAGCCACCAAAATCTCATGAAGACGATCCAACAAGGAGGACTGTTGAGCCAAACGGTTCAACAGAAGGAGGCACAGAACGTGCAACTCCAGCAACAGATCGTTGCCCTCCAGAGCCAGCTCAAGACCGAATCAACCATTCGGGTCCAACTTGAGCAAAACAGCGCCATTGGACATCAAAACTTTGTCCAACTGGAGCAGGCCTTCAACCAAGCCAAACAGGTGATCCAGGGCCAACATGACCGGATCATCACTCTGGAGGCCAATAACGCCGGCCTGGTCAAAGACTACCAGGCGGCCACTCAACGTATAACCGAACTGAACGAGGACCTGGAAAGGCTAAGAACGGAAAACGCCTGCTTAGACGCGGAGAAATCACATCTCGAGAACTTACATTCTGAGATGTCCGCGGAGCCACCGTCCTATCACACCTTTCCGGACTCGGATACACAACGTCGACAAGAAAAAGTCGACGAGGCTCTGCGGCAGGGCCAACGCTTCTACCGAGAGCCAGTGTATCACCAGCAGAACTATAACGTTCACATGGCTGTGGAAGGACCATCGGTTGGACATCCCCCAACGGGGCCAACCATACCTACACCTCCCAGCCCAGTGAACCAGGGATCATCAACGGCGACAGTAACGCTGCCGCCACCACCAATCCCGGTCACCACAACAGCCACTATTGGTCCAACGACGATAGTGACACCCGCAACGCAGACTCATGCGTCTACGTCAAGCGGGCCAGGCTTCGACCCAAGCCAGGCAATACCCAGCCACAGCTACTTTGGGTCAAGGCCATCGTACCCGTCCTTGTATCCGTCCATATTCCCGAACATGGACTTCACTTTTAGTCCACACCCGGCTACAAGCCAGGCTCACACCAGCGGCATGGATCCAAACCGGACCAGCCTGCCGAGCCCAATGTTCGGGCCACCAGCCACACAAGGACAGATGGGAGGCCAAAGTGGTACACCAACGGTGCAACAACCACTAGTAGGCCAACTAAGCCTATTTGGCCCTCCTATCTCGGCGGCAGCCCAAACGGGCCAAGCTCAGCCGCAGATGGGCCAAACCACGCCCACGGGCCAAAACGTGCCCAACCCACCAGGCATACCGCCAACAGCGGCCATGCCACAAGGACCAGCAGCCCAACCAGGTCAGGGCCAAAATGCGCCCATGTTGGTCCAGCTCCCGAATGGAGCATACGCATGGATGGCGTCCAACGGGGCCATCCAGCTTATATCGGGACAGCCAATGTTGGCTCAACCCCAGCAGGTGCCGCAGATACCACTGCAGCTAACACCTGCCCCGTCACCACCGGTCAGTCCAGCTCTCTCAACTAGAGAGCAAATCAAGGAGATGGCCCAAGAGATGGGAAAAGCCACCGCGAGAGCTCAAGTCCGCACCGTGTTGCCAAAATTTGATGGCAACAAAACAATGGTGAAAGGGTGGCTTGCACAGGTCCGACGGATCTGTAAGCAGTCGTCCGATCTGAACAAACCAGATCCGGACTTTATGAGCCGCATTTACATGGCCCTATCGGACCCTGTAAAAGAATGGTACACTGGCCAAGCCAACCGTGAAGACGAAGACGGCTGGACAGTGGAAGAGTGGCTCCAAAAATTCGCCACTCGCTACGGTGATGATAATCAGCAGGCAACTGCCATGGGGGAAATCACACACCGGTATTATCAGCACGGGCTGAAACCCCAGAGCAGTATTATGACGCCATGCTGACTCTCCAGACGCGCGCCGGCCTAGACGACACGATGACCCTCCACTTTCTAAGGGAGAACGTGAAAGAGCCAGAACTGCGCCGCGCTCTGGACATCCGGATACCAAAGTCACCGGCAGAATTCCGGGACTATGTCCGGCAATATACCATGGGAAAGCCGGAGTACGAGGGAAAGGCAGGCCGCGGATACCCAACAATCCGAACGGCCATACAAACGCCACCAGCCCAAGTCGTACCACAACAACCGGCACCTTATCCCCCGCAGGCTACGCAAGCCCAAATTGAGGCAACATACGCCGCCATCGCGGCCTTGAACTTAGCCTCCCCACAACGTGGGTCTGAACCGCCCA